TGGCGCCAGCTGGAGGCGCTCCACAACGTGCTGCTCGACTCGTGCCCGGTGCCCACGTGATACTGCCACGTGGCAGAGTTTGTGACTCGTGTGACATCCCAAAAGATATTTAAAAGTTAAAGTTTCGATCGATATAATGATCCCTTAGACAGTTTTTAATGGAAGATTTTTTTTGGAAAACAATTAATTTCTAATACTGAACAGGAAAACTACAAAAAATATAACTGTGTGCCTTATTAAGTCGTGCCATACGTTTGAAATGGTTTGAAGTTTGAATGACTTCGGAGGAGCATTTATTTAAACTAAAATAGTGTATATTGTAAAAACTCTCTGTGTTATAAGTACAAATCTATAGATATTTGTATTAATTCTTACAGTAAAACTAAAAGCTGATTTTAAAACAGAAAAATATAATGAAGACGATTAATTATTTTTTTAAATGATGCGTTTTAAACCAGAACTTGTCACGTATGCTATGACAAGGAGTTTCTTTCTGTAGAATTACATAGTTTTATTCCAGTCAAATAGACTAGTCCATTATGAAAAAAAAAATATAGTGTAACCAAGAATATAAAAATCGTCTGTACACAACGCTGCAATCGTATATCCATTACATCTTTATAATAGACGTCAAGGAGTTTGTTCCATATTTTTCAGCAGATTGCAAAGATTTTTATATTTCAAATCAAGTCATAGATAAAGAAATAGAGCTGTATTATCTATATATTAGCTCTCAGAGGCTAAACTAGAGGCTAATTGTAAATAACTCGTTATATAAAACTCATCACATAAGTGTCGACAACACACAATACTCATGTACATAAACTACTTAATTTTTGAGCAGCAGTATTCTTAAAGTTTATAACTTGTAAATAGGTTTGTTTTATGTCTTAAGTTAAATGTTATGTTTATTTAAAATATGTCTAGAAACACTGATAAGGATTGTCTATTAATTTTTTTAACAAAGAGACCAGTGACTAAATAGATTTTAGTCCCCTTTCTATCTTGTAAGAAAAGGATGAGAAGGGAAATTGTATTTGACGGAGGTGGGTATATAGAAAAGGGAACCCTATCTTATCTGTTCGTTCCTTTGTCGATAAACTGTAGCTTTGGCCAGCGGTCGCTTCGCTATTTTTGCGAATTCAGGCGATCGTTTGCCACTTTATGGTTTACAAAAACCTAAGAGTAAAATTATTTTGTAAAACACTATTGACTCAAAGCAAGTTCGTAACTGTTTTCGATTACGGGTTGGCATTTTTTTTTTTACTTTTTTTATGAATTTCAAAAAATCTCGTATAACAACAACGTAACAACGATAAGGTTGTTTGTATGTAGACTGCAGCTTTAATAGTTAAATGAAGTGTCAAATATAATAAATAAATATAGCCCATATCTGCCAAAATGTCGACCAATTTTCTTATGATTATGACGTCATTGTTTGAGGAAAACCATTTTTATTCACTAAAGTATGTTTCTATATATGAATAAAATTGCTTTATGTAATTTTTTACATTTATGTCGTGTTCAATAGTTTTATTCATGTAAATATATGATAAGTATAGTTTTTGTACATAAATAAAAGGTATTTATTGTAAAATTACGAAATAAAAGCCGTGTAGCAATAAAAAACATTTATTTCATTTATTCCATACAATTACATCACAAAATAACGTAAGCACTCTATCAGCGAACATTGAAAAATAGAATATTCCACATTTCACTTAAAATCAAATAAATGGATACATTACAAAAAAAAAAATATTACATTTGTTCGCAATAGAGTGCTTAAATATTTTTTTCTCTCCTAACATATCTTGATGGTTTTCCGACAAGACATAATTCCAATCCATATATTGGAACAAAACGACAGAACTTTGAAAGTTGAAATAAATCGAGAGACTTACAGAATAAATAAACCGTGAATTAAGGCCATTAAGGGATTTTTTGCAATTTTTTATTGTTTTTTGTACGTTTTTCCAATGGAACCTCACGGTGAAACATGTTACAAGACACTGCCGTTACTTCTATTGTTATACTTAATTAAAATGGACAGATGCGTGAAATGAAATGAATGACCTCTAAGAACTTTCAATGACAATATTTGAATAAAAAATAATAAAAAAAATTAATTTACCCAACTCATTAAAACTACTAAAAATCACATTTCTACATTTTTAATGAACATTATCTAGATAATTGTTTTTATACATATCGTTGTCTCTTTTACTCCTAAAGAGAATAAGAGAGGTGTATGTTTTTTACAAGTATTTCGATAATGAAAACTCCCAGCTTTAAACACTTTTCGATGCACCTTTTTTAATTTCAGGTTTTTCGCATACAAAAATATCTCCAAAACTATTATGCAAGAAAATAAAAAAAACTCTACTGTGAATTTTTTCAGCCAACTCAAATAAAAGTAAATTTTCAATTTTCTCGAAATTATAATATTTATGTAAAATAAAACATTTAATTAATTCCATTTATTAAAATAAAAATATAACTCGCTTATATTTAGACATACTTTTAATCTGGCAACAAACAAAATGTTGCCATTAAAAAACATAAAATAAAATTGTATTGACTTCTTAGTTGCAACTCGCCGGCGTTTTCAATAATTTAGATTACCACAGATAAAAAAAAATAAAAAAAACATTTTTAAAATCATAGAACTGCGATGAAAAGTCAAAGATGTAATTTACTAAACATGGACATAAAGCAGAATAATTTCTATAAAACATAATTAAGCTCTAGAAATTATAACCCTAATTTTGGTTACTTCATCAGAAAAAATCAAGTGTTTTTAAAGCGGTTTTTTTTTAATTCTTAGAGCTTTAAATTGCTAAGTTCAGTATAAGCTGAATTGTCCACGTTTACCGATGTTCAGTTTAATTTTGAGCAAATGTATTGATGAGGGCAACACTCGTGTGAATGCAACGATATTATATTCATTAGTTATCTATATTACATTGACTACGGCACGGTTTTCACCTTTTACCTGAAACAAATAATACATAGTTTTCAGTACAAAATAGTGTATAAGCATTTACAATATTTTTGTAAGTGATATCTGTGTTATACTATTATCAAATTTAATTCACACAGTATAATTTTAAGTGATGTTTTTCTAAGCATATGAGTCGGTTTTATAAGTTGCCAAGAGATGGCTCTAGTAGTATCAGTTATAAGTTTAATTGTACATTATTATTATCGAGTGTAACTCGCACAATGAGTATTGTTACTAAGTCTAACTCAAATGTTGAGTACTGTTACCGACTGTAACTCAAATGTTGAGTATTGTTACTGAGTGTAGCTCAAATATTAAGCATGGTTACTAAGTGTAACTCAAATGTTGAGTTTTGTTACCAAGTGAACTCAAATGTAGAATATCTTTACTGAGTGTGAGTCAAATGTTGAGTATTATAACCGAATGTAACTGACACGTGGAGTATTATAATCACTCACATGGAGAGGTATCCGCGCGCGGCGGAGCGGCGGCGGCCCTCGAGGTAGGCGATGAGGACGACGACGACGAGCCCTCCCAGCGCGCACCCCACCGCTATCGGCACCGCGTCCGGCAAGTCCGGCGAGCCGCACTCGCGCGCTGACACACACCATCATTACACCATACGTCACACAACAGCAGATGAGAATGAACTCGTCAATCGACGACACTCAGTGAAATTACTATAAACTAATTGCTTGAGACGCGTGTGAAATTAAAAAATAGGAATAAAAATATTACTCAGTGATAACGTAGCTTTTTAATGGTTACCGCCAGTAGTTTTCGAGTTATTCCAATACAATACGAAAATACAAATCTTTCCCCTTTATAATATTAGTACACATTAAAACCTTTTAAACATCAAATAGTTAAAAAAAATCTTACTAATATTAAGGCGAAAGGTTGGATAGATGGATGGATTTTTTTTATAGTTTGTAGCTTAATCTGCTGAACGGATCTCGATGAAATTTGGATAGATATAGAAGATATTCTGGAAGAACACATAAACTACTTACTTCCACGCGGTAGGAGTCAAGAGCTAGTTATGTATAAATAAAATAAAAATACTTGGAATATTTTTCGTTCACGATGTTTTAATATTAAATGACTTATCTGGAAGCGAAACAAATCGGTATAACAAACGGGTCAAGGTTATTCGGTAAATCCCGAGGAAGTTGCGGAAATTTGGCAAAACAACATTCTGTAAAACCCTGAACATATAAAATTGGCAATGGAAATGCTTTCAATTATTTATATTGCGTTTGTCATGCTATTGTTATTCTTCACTAAGCAATTTCTTAATCTTAACTAAGATATATCAAGTTCTATAGGATATGCTCAAGTATAGGAATGAGATGTAGTAAAAAAGTAAATGTAAATCTATTTATTTCATTGTCTTTGAAACAGGGGACTAGAGGCGTTTGAGAGCCGGCATCGCCTTGACCGGGCGTCGCTCCGGCTGCGGCGCGGCGCCGGGCACGAGGCAAGGCCCAACATTTAAATGTTTAAACAGTTTTCCAGGTTTTTATAACGTAGCAAACTCACGATATTAAATCACGCGCCTCGCTACTACATATAAGCTGTTTAAAATAATGTAAATTATTTATTTGCTACATATTTTTTATCTAAGCAGAAAAATCTTTTGAAGATAATCTTGCTTTCGGTTGAAAATAAACGTAACTTGACCAAAACCTCTTTAGCCTATGATCTATATCTAGGCTTGGAGGACATATTAAGGAGTTTCTTTTCCCCTAGACTTAGGTCTTATTCGTAGTAATTTTTCGTCTATTTTACAGTTTCGATTCTGTTGGAGACACTTATGACTGACCTGAGCTAAAGCTATTATTGTTGTGCTGGGTTCGGAATGCCTCTTCTTGCAGCTGCGACAGCGTCAGTGTTGCTGCCACGCTGGTCACCTCAGCCGTCAGATTGAGCTGAGTGTCGGCCGCGCAACGGTACGACGTGTTCATCGGCATGGCCCACTCCGCACCGTGCCATACATCCACATGCCCAGACAGTGCTACACCACGGACAGATGCAATTATAACCACTATACACTGCTAGCCTGCTAATGAAGTTCTCTAGTGTAGATTACTCCTACTAAATCTACACCTAACTGTGAGTACAATATAAAATAAATCTAACACTCATATATATTTTAACAAGTAAATCATTGTGAAACAATCTATTAATATTGAATTGTAAACAAATGACTTAATTATTACATTAACTGTATGATAAACAATAAACAAACTAATTGTAAACGCGATAAGTTATCAAGTTGATATTGAAACGTAGAGACTGGTCTTCATGACGTCATAACTACAAGTCAAAACTATACTTTCCTTTCGTAACTCTGTATTTGAATATATCTAGAAATGGATGAATAAACACTAATAAATCTAAACGATTAACCTAGTAAATGTAATCAACACCATTTTCTAATTATCACAGTTAAATGGTCATTAGAAAGTCTTTAAACAGGTTTTAAAGTATAAACAAAAATGCAAATCAAGTATCACTTTTAAAGTAAATATCCAATCACTATACTAGAGGTAGGGAACCTTTTGTTAACTTACAGGAGTTGACGAGTATCTCAGAAGAGATGGTGATGTTTAAACTGTTGAGGAGGTACGTCTTGGTGGTGTCGTTGGCGAGGAAGTGCATCGTGAGGGTGTGGTTTCCATCATCCCAAGCTAGGCTTAAGCTCTGCGAGGTCGTATTGCAACTGCCGTCCACGACGGACGCATTGGATGGTACGTTGAGGAGAGCGTAGCCCAACGATGACGCTGAAATGGAAACCGTACTTGTTAGAACATAGCTTAGATGTCTCACCTGCAAAATTCATAACAGTGGTAGAACCCGCTTTAACATCTTCGCACGAATAGACCGGCTCGCCCGGTGCAATACCACGACCACACAGAAGACAGGCGTGAAGTGGGATGAATTTCGCGTTTCGTCTGATGAGTGTGGTTCCGGAGGCCCAACTTTATTCCCTTTTCCTTTCCATCCTTTTTCTTATAAGAAAAGGCAGGGAAGGGAAAGTGGATTTAACGCTGGAGGAGACGCATAGGAAGGGGAAATATCCTCTTTATGTGCGTAACTTCCGTTGACTAAAGGTAGGCAACGTATCTGCGCTTTTGGGCAAGAGTCGCTTCGCCATCTTGGCGGATTCAGGTGGTCGAATGCTCGTTTGCTACATTATGATATAATAAAATCAGATATCAATTACTTCTGCTAAATAAGTATTATGGCAAAAAACCTGTCTTGTCCGTCTTTTTGACCGACTTCCCAAAATAAGTAGATACTCAATTCGTCTGTATGTTTTATAAGGTACATAAGTGTCATTGAGATAACATAGCTCATATTTTGCATTAGTGACATGACTTGTGGCCACCAAGTTGATAAGCACGATTCATTTTATCAATGTTTTAATTCGATGAAATAATTTCGCAGAAAGAAGTCGAATTGCAAACGCGGAACCAGTCTGCGACGGGCGTCAGATCACGTACGTCCGTGATATTATTGCCGACCAATTCTTACATAACATCATTGTTTATCTGTGGTAATGATTATCATCCAATTACATTTAATTCATGCAAATTAGACAAAGAAACAAGACATACTTTATTTAAAAAAGAATTCATCCAGCCTTAGACTGCTGTTACAGTAGAAAGAAGGAAAACAAGAGTATAGTACTCTGCATTTAATTTGTCACGTTGGGAACAAGAGTACTCGACGTGGCAAATCAAATGCATAAAAACATGCCTAGGAATAATATAACCATTCTGTCAATCTGGCAAAAAATACAGCCATCAGCTGAACATTTTCATTCGATCGTATTACACAAACAAGCCAGTCTGTGCAGATACAAAGCCGTGACTCATGCCACAGACCGACAGCACGCCCCCTTCTCATTGCCCGTTATTGTACATAGAATTTGTTTAAAATATAAATTTATATAAATTTCTATTCGTTCTATATTGTCACATTTATGCTTATGCATGTCATGATAAAATAATGCTTGTTCATCGTTAATATAAATTGTTAGCTTGAGTTATTATAATTTAAACAATATGAAAATTCGTTAATAAATATAGTTTTAAGAATCTATACAAGAATTCAGTAAGATTAAGGATTACAGTTATTTTCTATCCTCTCTTATAATCTTATTACAAGGCTATGTAATTTTATTACCATAGATAATGTAAAAAAATCCTACATTTTCTTTCTATCGTTAGTTATGTAATGTATGTAAGCATTGAATGTTATTTATTAACAGTGCTGTTATCTTAATGATTTTACACATTTATACGTTTCTTACTAAAATTAAAAATACTAATGGATGGACATTTGTTAGTGTTTACAGCCAACTACCTTTCGCTGACTGCGTCTGCGTGGAATTAAAAATAATCAAAAGCAGCGTATATGTTCTTCCAGACTATGGAATGGATGGATTGTGTGAAGGAAGATATGCTTAAGAAAGGAGTGGATTCAGATATGACGGCTGATAGAGATGTATGGAAGAGCAGCACATACTGTGCCGACCCTCCATAAGGGATAAGGGCAAGTGGATGATGATGTTCTTCCAGACTATTCTCTACATCCGTACAAAATTTCATCGAGATCAGTTCAGCGGTCAGGCTACAAACTCTAACAAACTTCCATCCATCTAAACTTTTGCATTTATAATATTAGTATCTGCTTAACGGATCTCGATAAAATTTGCCACAGATATCGATCATAGTCTAGAACACAGGCTCCTTACTAAGGTATGTAATTCCGCACGAACGGAGTCAAAGGCAAACGCTTGTTAATCATATATTAACATACAATTTGATGTTGAACCAAATCAGTTTCCTTGAAAACTTATATTCGAGACATGTTTACTCTATGCCTGTATACACAACGCCATCTTTTAGCCCTATCTTATCACACATGTGGTGTCTGAGACCACTTTGAGCACTGTATTTGCCATACTTTGGTACAAACTTCAATCCATAAGATTATTTTGTATTCCAATGACTTTGGATATAAAACACCACAATATTTTTATATCGGAAAACAAAAAGTGAGGGATAAAAACCTCACAGAGGTTTTACTGTAGATGTCCCTTGTCATCTAAAATATTATATTTCGAAAATCACTCTCGATAATACATCAAACTTGGAATAAACACCTCATCTATCTTACTTATATCATAAATACGAAAGTTTAGATGGATGGAGGGATGTTTGTTAGTTTGTGGCCAAACTGAACGGATCTCGATAAAAGTCATAGATGTCGACCATATCTGGAAGAACATAGGCTACTTATTTTTATTTTTTAATTCTAAGCGGAGTCACGGGCGAAAGCTAGTAAGTTATAAATCTATGATTAATTTTCATCATTCATGAATTATTTAAATCGAGAACTGCGCGACACGAGTCCGTTACGAGGAAAGTAAAATGAGTCCTTTCATAAATTTTCCGGTACGGCTGACCGTTAGCGCAGTCAAATTACTGAGAGAGCTCTGCTGAGTTTTACCGAGAACTCTCAGCAGTCATTCTCATAAACGATCACAATTGTAATACAGCAGAACCTCGATAACTCAAACCTTCAAAAAATTAATGTTCCCTTCCCATCAGAGACCAAAACCTCTATAACATAGACCCTTGATAACTTAAAACCTCTATAACTTAAAATTTGTTGTGTTTCCCTTGGACTTTAACTTATCGAGGTTCTACTGAATTATTTTAAATAGATATTCTCATCCGCAAACGGTGTTTCTCTATGAAAAGCTTTGGACTTAATGTATTACATCAATTTTTCAATGATAGGAAATAAACGTCCCGGCTGTACATGCTAATAACAGCCGCCTTATCGCAGGATGACCCACGCCATACGTGTAACATACAAAGGTACAGTCAGCTTCATAAATATGTAATGGTTTGCGGTTTTAAAAACATGTTTGTGAGTTGTCCGTCTTCCGACGATGAATATACAAGTTTCTGTATTTATGAAGCTGACTGTACACTAATAAATGACAATGAGACGTCACAGTTTAGTTCTGATTAAACATTTTTACACCGTTTAAAATTGGATATCCTTTCTTAGTATTTCTAATGGAAACAATTAATAAGAACGTTTCTGATATTTATAAATTCACACAGGGAAACTACTCCATTATTAGTCACTCGTAATTACGTAAAAACTGTTTGAAATAATCTAGAACTAGCTGCTATTTGCAGCTATTTATCAACCGAGTCATGCAGTATTCGAATGACACAATTCTGAAAGGAGCAAAAAAAATTCCAATTGTCCGTTACTGGGCCATAACAACTGTTACATTTTTTTCCAGAGAAAAATGTTCTTAATCACGTAGAAAAAAACTAGATGAAAAATCGCGTATTTCACAATTTTAAAAGGTCACAATAATGAGTTGTGTAAATCAAGTAAAAAGCTATTAAATCATATCTTCCAGAAGTCATTAAACAATACTGGCCATCTAGAAACAAAAAAACACTAATCTGTACTATTATAATAAAGCGTAAACACACACTTCTTTGTTGCCTAAGATGTCAGCAATTACAGCATATTTTTAAATAATTCTTTTTTCAATAAAAAGTCCTACACTTACGTCACGCTTTAGGCTATATATTTTCACGCCATTAAACTTTCGGGGTAAATATTTTGGATAAAAACCCTAATGTGGGAAAGAGACCATAAGTTGCTGCCAACATCAAGGAAGTGGGGTTGCCATGAAGTCGCACGGGAACAGCTGGTCTAGATATAAAACAATAACAAATAAAGATCTAGACTGGATACTGTATGTAACAACTTCGATAACATATAACACAATGAAATAACTAGAAGTGGCAATCGAGTTTGCAATAGCTGACCAGTATTAAATTAAATAAATAAAAAATCCTTTAGATATTATAACACAGAAGTCTTACTAGTACTAACGCAAGATATCTTAGAAGTTAATTACTTTCGGTAAGAAGATATACTTTACAAGATTAAATGCTAAGAATCGGTTTACTCAAGAGTAAACACAGCTGCCTCGCAAAACTCTAGGCAATTTGTTTGTTATATAAATGGTCGGATTTCGCACAACCAGCGATGCATGAATTAACAAATAAAATAAGACCTGGTGTCCAAACGTAAAATTATACTTGAATGCTTCAAAATATAAAAATAGCGGCAATTTTTTGCCACAACCCTGCATAACCTAATTGCACGAATTACCGCAATTTACAAACCTCTGTCAACTCTGCACCAAAATTACACTCTACTGATATATTTAATTTCAGTTTATTTATCATAGTAATCTATACTTCGGCTGAAGGCTTCGAACAGCAAAGGCATTCGATAGTTGATAAAAAGGCAGGGCTTGTGGTAGCTGGCAATTTATCACGTGGCGTGAAGCCTGAACACTCAATAAGTGTTCAATAGACGGCTATATCTAGGGCTGGCAACTTTATACCACGAACAGCGAAAAAGAATTATTGTCCTTACATTTTTAACTTGACGTAAAAATATAATATTCACCATTAACGAGCAATAACTTATTTAGGACGCACTATGACACAAACCAGATGCCCCAATATCTATGTTAATCCGGAAAATTTATGTCAAATTTGAAGTAAACGCAGCCCTGGGCATACCGTACTGTGTTTATTGCACTTATGAGGTCTATTGTGTTTGCACCCTTTGGAATATATTTGCCTACATTGCTCAGTATAACATCAGAATAATCAATAATATAACATGGAACCTCGGACAACACTACACTACAAAAACCTGTTATGAATTCCTACAACCAATCCCCTCATATATTGATATCCAATAATGTAAACAAAGAAATGCCAATTACTATACTTACATTAAAAACAATGTTTTATGAAGCCCTATACGGACAATTGAATTGACGACCCTATTCAGTCATAAACACGTAAAGCAACAAAATTCCGATCGAAAGAGCCACATAACTTGCAGCTATTTCATAATCGGATTAAACAAATAACAAAGGTTCTTGGTAACTACAAGCAGACGATAGCACTTTCATTGTAATAATCTTTAGTTACAAGAACAAGAATTCTATAAGGCGAATACACCATACCACATACTGTAGATAATAAAATCAAAATTGGAGATATGCCAGTGAGAAATTGAAAGAGGTTAGCGTGGTATGGATATATGCGGCAAGAGGATGGGGATATAAACCAGAAAGTGTTAAGAATAGATGGCTACAAAGGTAGAGGAAGATCGAAGAAAGTATGGATGGATTGTGTGAAAGCGGATAGGCTTAAGGAGGGAGTCGATTCAGATATAACGAGTGATAGATACATACGGAAGAGCAGCACATACTGTGCCGACACTCCGCAGGGACAAGGACAAGTTGATAATGCAGCGATGAAAGCTAAAGATGGACCTTTGGTAATTAAGGTTTCCATCTATTGCTTTGCGTGGTGCATATTTCAGTCTATTGGTTTGACATCAAGGTCATAGGGTAAGTGATTTTCTTTTGTCTCTACGAGTATTTGGCCAAGAAAAATCGCCACTGAGCTAAAAACGTGTCCCGCTGTTGTCACGTTACTTCGATTAGCGTGTTCAACATGTCGACAGCTTGCGACACTTGTGCTTACGTTTAACAAAACAGTGATGCATCTATAATTTGTATTGTTACGATTAAACAATGTTTGTGTTACGTCACAAATTCAGTTTACAAAATAAGATAATCATTAAGACAAGAAATATATGTAAAGAACTACAAGAACTGCTTTCAACTATAAAATTAAACTCGATTTTATTGCAGTAGAATCAATAGAATACATGGGATTGTCTAATCAATACTCGCATATTCCAGAATGCCATTGTAATGTATACCTACGGACTATAAGGTCACTAATAAAACGGTTACTGATAATATGAGTAAATACTTAGATATAGAAATAGATAAGCCATGGTCGAGGTTAAATGGAATCCGATTTATTGGATTTATGGAAAAAAAATACATGCTAAAAAACAAATTTAAAAGTTCACTGAACTGTATTTGGAACAAGTATTTTTTATGTCTCGCTACATATGCGTTCATTTGTTTTAATATCAAGATAATGATTATTTTAAGAACAAATTGTGCCCTCAATTCTGCGAAATTATTAAAGTTGAACGGAATTTTAAAGTATTTTATAATTAGAACCTTTTAGACTTGAAGCCTTCAGAGAATTCTGCCAATATAGGACATTTGTTACTATCAATGACAAGGGCATACGAATCCATCGTTACCTGATGCCGCAGCCAGGGGTCAAAATCGACCTGAAGATCAACATCATGTGCCAATTGCCGTTTAACTTCGATTGTCCTGCAAACCGGTACGTGAATTGAATACATCCGGCGTGTCCGGGCTGTACTCCAGTTTGATCTGTCCAAACTATAAAACGTCTAGTATGCACTTATAAATTTACAGATACCCTATGGTATCTCAATTATTTCGATGACAAAACAACCATTTAATAACGTTAGTTATGAATGTGGAAGTACACCGGTAGAGGCAGACCTAGAAAGAGATGGATTGTGAGAAAGCTGACATGATCAAGGGAGTGGCGATTGAAAAGACGGATGATAGTTATTTGGAGGACGAAAACCCGTTGCGCCCACGGCAGTAGGGAAGGTAAAGATGAATACAGCCATTTTCTTAAAACTGATTACGAGTGAAACCACTGCGCAGTTATACAGAAATCATTGATCGAGGTCGGTCGGAGTCCGTCAAACGATTTGTACGACTTCAACACTTCGTAATCCGAGTATCGACAGCCAGCGATCAGAGTGAACATCACAATATCATTTATAAACAAAATTATTGCACAAACAAGTCTCCACAGTCACGTGGGCAACGTCCAACCTGTTTGAAATGTAAAAATCGTATCGATTATTATTTTTCCGCAGCGATTTTTATCACAACTTCCTCCTTGTTATTTAGATAAGAATTCAAATTAAAAATTTATGATATAAATTGTTATATAGACCACGACTCTAAGAAATGTAGATCTGCCGTCTTTCCAACCCAATCAACAATTACATGCATTCTAAATTTGACAGATTTTAATGTGATTTGAAATAAAAATTAATAAAAACAACAATGTAGTCACGGTAATCAATCTTTAAAAAAAATATAGTTACGAACTTTCGCCCGCGACTCTGTCCGCGAGAAAAAAAACAAAAGTGTGTAAACTTTGTGTTCTTCCAGACTATGGTCTATCTATGGCAAATTTCATTCATTAGATGTTTGTTAGCACACAACTTCAGTATAACTTGACTGAGTCAGTTATAAAAAAAAATTAAGAAGGGTCTAAATCGAAAGCTAATCATTAACAAACTTAAGGATCACAATTACATTTAGGTTATGATGTAAGAAAAATTACAAATGTCACAGAATAATTTGAATAAGAGTAATTTCTTTTACAATATTTAAAAAAAATCTTAGTAAACTTTCAACATACTTTCAGTGACAATCAATTCTTAAAACTTCGTCTTTCAGCAAATTTGTAAACTAAACACTTTCAAGGTCATCCTTTGTACTGGCTTGGCTATTCAATGTCATTGTTTCATTGTTATTTGATTGCAACATATATTGGAATGTATACAATAATACGAATATTATAAATACAAAATAATGTATGGATGTTTGATACTATCATCTCAAAAAAGACTTCTCAGATCTGATCATTTAAAAGAACACATGCTATATATTAAGTTGTAATTCCACACAGATGAAGTCAGATGCTAAAGCTATATTACAAATATATTACAATAAACCCCTTATATACCTTGGAGAAAGAAATGCTAAATTTTGATAGCATAAAACATCAATATATTTTAAATGTTTTCATTTATGCATACAAAATTATTTTAATTGTTCAAATTCATTACTAAGATTCATTATTTATTATATAAAAATATTATAATAGCAAAATCCTATACTATTATTTGGTCGACTGACCGGATAATAAGTTTGATGGTTAACTATCTATGTAGATATATAGGAACGGGAGAAGTAACACAACTATATATGAGTCATTGTGGGGTCCCGGGATGAGCTCCACAAGTCAGAAACTTTGATTATGAAGAAACCGCTGGAGCAGTGATTCTCAAATCTTTTTTTGTTGCGGCATTTAACAATTTCAAAATTTGGCAGCACACAAAGAAAAAGATAAAAATTATTTACTTACTACACCGCTGCATAAATTTATGACAAAAATTTTTAATATATGAAATAAACTAACGTATAGTACAATAATAACTAAAGATTTATTAAGGGATTAACTATAAACTAATAACAAAAATTTGGCGGCACACAAAAGTGCTGCAGCACAGTGGGTAAGAATCACTGCGCTAGAGGTAAAGGAACTTGAAAATTTGAGGTTTCTTGGACTTTCGCTTATCCAGGTTTAATTATGCTTCAATTTAACTGTTACCTGAGGTAGTTGAAGTGATCAAGTGTAATAGGGAATTAATGTTTTAATTCATAGGTTAGTTTTTTAAGTAAATACTATGGATATCCACTTATAGGACACCAAGCTTATAGTGATATGTATGTCACAAATGACCCAACAGCAAACTTGTTTTGATATTTTCTTGAAAATTTCAGAATTGTTATAATATGTTAAGTAAAACTTCATGTTTGTAAATTACTTTTTAGTAAAACAAATAGGGCTACTTACTGTTATTCTTGGGATATGTAATATTGAGCTGAGCAGCAAACTGGACAAGGATGCATGTGACATTAGTTTTCTTGTCTGTGTAGAACCAGGTGCCCTGTGTGGGCCGGGGCAGCGGGCCAGGGGCAGGTGTCGGCTTTGGCTCAGGAGCAGGAGTCACAGTGGTAGTAGGCACTGTAGTGGTGTTTGGAGCTGGTTCTGTTGTAGTTGTGGGTGCAGGAGTTGAAGTTGTGGTAGTAGAGCTAGTAGTGCTCGTAGTCGAAGCCGCCGTAGTTTCAGGTTGAGGACTAGATTGCTGGGGCTCTTTTGATGGCCCTATCACATCTACCGGAGGTGCAGCATCTGATACACTCTCTATAGATGGTGAGATCGCCGGTAGATTGATTAGTTCAGGTTTCTTTGTCGTTACGCCTCCTTGACCTGCGAGAAAAGTGGGTATAATTGATCTTATTGGAATATGCTTTGATATAACAAAGTATTTGAACTTTCGACATCGAATGCGCTACATTCACAGATGTTAGCGCTCGCATAAAACGCAAAAACAAAGCGACTCAGAATACGTAACGCGATAAAAGTAACAAAGAACTTGCAACACGACATGTCGAGAGTCACTTACCTATTATTATAGAACTGCAAGTTACCGCTAAGAAAATATACACTTTCAGATAACCCATTTTTCACAAAAAAACTTAAGCAACTTTTCAAGGATAAAACGTTAGAAACGAGGTATATTAAAGAACAATTTCACAAGTGAACAGCAATTGCGGATTTTATTTTAATCCGATGCTTTCGGCTGAATGAGAAATGTCAATTTCGTTTCTTGATTATTCGACAGCTGACCAGTGTTGCAAGCAAAAACAAATGAAGTCCTACTGAAACGGTAACTTTTAAGCAGATATCAACAAACTGTTTCTACTTAATTTGTAATGTTCTTAAGCACTGGTCAAATAATTGTTGAATTCAACATAAAAAAAACTGTCCTGACGATTTTTTATTACATTGAACGGTTTATTGATTTTCAATTTATTTTGATACACTCTGAATAATAAAAAAACATTTCAATTTTAGTAAACTTAAGATTTTAAACTTAAGGTTTTTACTGCTGTGTCATCGGAATTAAAAATGATTTTTTAAAATATATGATTAATTACTAAATGATTTAAATGATTTTGTTATCAAAATAATTCGTAAATTATTAACCTGCTGCGAATTATCTATATATTAACGTAAACGACTTAATTGCTATGTCATTAGTCTAAATATCTAAAAAACAAAACTTACCACTTACCACTCAGTATCAAAATAACTTTTGTTTTGATAAAACGCAGCAACTAGCAACATTGGTTTGCAAGAAAATTGAAAAATTCCTGTGTCTCTGTCTTACCAACGACAATATAAATTTGCCAAACAAGAACTTCCATAACCTTGACATTATTTTAAAAACATTATAACTACTTCACTTTTTATTTTGGCGGCAAATTTAAAACTCACTTCTTTCGGCCATTTCGGTAAGTTTTTTGATGCGGAAATTTAAAGTAATTTATTCATTACAAGTGATATTTACTATTTTACTAACTCGTAGATTTGACTATTTTATCATATATTTTATATTAGGAAGATGGGGTTTTCCAATAGGTATTTCAAAGTTTACCTAAAATAATACGAGTAGATCCATCTGGTCATGTTGAAATTATAGTTACTTAATAACAGAATAACAATTGAAACACCCTATATTACTATTAAAGTTTTATTTAAAAAATCACACCAACATTACATAAAGTATCTTAATATTTAAACAATTATATACCCATTAATATTTAGTTCTTGAAAAATGTAAACAGTTATCTTAAATGTTTAGAAGATGGATGTAATAATCAATTATTTGACACAACAATATTTCATAAGTTTCACCATGACATTAAAAAATAACACCGGAAGTCATTTTTCGTCACGAAAGTAATCAAGGTGTAGTAGATTTGAACATTTATAACCTCTAAAAACCATAGAGTTTCCGGTCAATAGAAAGTATAACTACACTTCTCGATCATAAAATTGTAGATTCAACACTTATTCCTATCCAAGCAAAGGATCTTATGCTATAGAAAACACTGTTTATGTCATGATCCGTAGATGATAAGATCCATAGATGTTAAGCGTAAAACAAGATAAGACCAAAAAATATCGCCTTTTGTCAATTTCTTGACGCTAGGTTCACACTTGTCCATTACAGTTGGACAGTAGTGCTTAATAAATGCAATGGCATTTGACTGGCAGAGTGAGTAGTAATCACAAAACATATATCTACTTAATAAATAGTATTAGAACACTTAAAAATGTATTTTTATTCGACGTATATCTCAAAGCGTGCGCGGCCGATGTGGCGTGAGCGGTCGTACAGAATATCGCGGGTCCATATCCTGCACTCCACGTTGATCAGAACACCACCTGAATGAAATAAAGATGGTTTTATATCCTAAATTATAAAATAGATGAAGTAATAGTTAAAATGATTACGTCGTGGGTTCTCAAAGAGAAGCGCGATGAGAGGTCCGGGCAAAGGGTCAGGTTGTGCTCGAGCGGAATGTGGTATGCGGTCGGCGGTATGCAGGCGCGAGGTGGGGAAGCCGGGTGGCAGGCCCGCAGGGATGTACTGCAGCGGCCCAATGTTCTCCTGATCCGAGCTGAACTCGCCACCGCACGAGACCCAAACATAGTCACCGTACACATGAGCAGGGCGTTGCATCTACAAAGAAAGAAAATCTAGCATTGAAGATTCACTTGATGTGGACTACTGCACTATTTGTGCTGATATTTTGTTACTTAGATATGAATGTTCACTAACCATGATCTGCTTAATGTTGTTGGGCATGTCAGGAGGCAGGGCTAGCGGCAGCGACACGTTGTACGGCTCCGGCACCCAGTAGTGGATCTGAGGACATAATGAGACATTACAATTTCGAAATGCGAAAATTTTTATAAACAGATTTCATCTTATGCTTTCCTCTTTTATTACAGTATCGCAATGTAATCGAAAGATGTTTCGTCTGTGGTAAAGTGAATAAGAATTGAGTACACTTACATGCGACAGTCTGAGGAAGACGCAGGGCGTGCCATCGCGGTAACCGTAGAAGTTGTCAGCGATGCAGGGCGCCCAGACGGAAAGCGCGCGCTCGCAATTAGGGCTGGGCACGCGCTGATCGTGGCGCAACGTCGAGCATGGAGCGCGTGGTGGCTCCTCAGGCACGTTAGTTTCATACGCTGCACAAAGTAAATATTAAAACCTTTTGTATCGATGTTTCACATTGAAATCATTCCACAGTTGCTTACCACGGAGGAAATCATTGATGCGGTTGTACCAGGGGTGCCAGCTACCGGGGTCGTTGACGCGGAATTGAATGAGAGGTTGCTCGCGGTTGTACTCGTCTGATCGAGGCCATACCTCCAACTCTGCTCATAAACAACATTATTAGAAGAGATCGAGTCATTGAAAGCTATTTGACCCTTGATAACAAACTACGAAATTTTAAGCAATACCTAGTTAGCTTTTTTGGTAATAAAAAGAAAGGGGAGAGTAAAATGGTTGTGTTCGGAAGATGCCTGCGAGGTAATGGTTTTCGGATAATGTTAGATTTTTATATCTCTTGTGTCGTAAATCGGTTTTGAGAATGACACGAATTCACCCAATAGGTCGTTTAATATATCAAGCACATAAATTCCCTTGTGAACGTAAAGTATTTTTAATTAACTTTTGCTTTTTATTCTCGCCGCTTTTCTATTGCTAGGTGATAACTTACCAACGTATCGGAACGGCAAAATAAGACCAAACACCAAGCCGATTATTGCTCCTGCGAAATTAATTACATCATTAAAGACCTGTAGTACACTAAAAGAAAATTGGAACCGAAGCGAAGCGAAGCGTGTAGGCTCGAAAATTGAACGTAGAATTAGGTGCGCTTTGTGCCCGGTTCATTGGCGCCAGTTAGTGTTTACATTATGCCTGATGACATTCCAGTTAAAAGCCAACTGTACTGGCCGGGTGTGAACCACGCATTAGATAAGATTTGTACTGCAAATCCTAGCTGTCAAATGGTTCGCCAGGGTCGTATAAAATAGGGTTCACTTCCGGCTCGCATTTACACAAGTAAACTGTGTAAGGATTCCAATGTAATTTAGATTACGAATTCCTTTTATTTTTTAATCTGTATAAAAGCTCTTTGCAGTACAATATTTTCCGTGAACGTCGGACATAGTAAGTGCATTAGCCCATTAATATCCTAGCACATTGCTGTGCCGCGGAAAGTCCGCCAGATCCAATAAAAGCGAGGATTAACGAGAACAACGGACTTGTTTGACTGTTGGATAGTGCGTTATTAGCTCGCAACTATATCCTAGTTTTATAAGTACCAGGATACAATACGTGATAAGGATTTCAGCGGGTATTCATTGGAATAGAGGTCATTCACTCTTTAGAGCGGGCGCACACCATCGACTATACAATCGCACAATTGTGCGGTTGTCGATTGTTTTGCAGACCATTCAACTCTTCAGTTGAACAATAAAAATCTAGAAAAATGTGGTACACGCGATAGAAAAATATTACAATTTTGAAATGACGTTTTTAATTTAAATTACTTTTTAAATTAAACGGTTTTATTTACAAAAGGCTACGAGAAAGTTAAGGTAATGTAGTTACTGTGTAGCTTTGTGTTGATGCTACGCCGTAGCAAGTACTGTTTGGTTAAAGTTTCTTTAAGTTAATGGAATGGCGAGTTTAAGATAGTAAAAGTTACTAAACACCAAATATTACTTTTGTATATAAAGAAATTGTAAAAAAAAGCCATTCACACGATGTTCTGATATTAGTACGTAGAAAAAAAAAATATTTACGTGGGTGTTAATTTTTTTTTGAACAACTGATTCTAATTTTGATAACAAATTACACTTCTAAATTGTTTTAATACAAAGATCAAATCAAAACAAAAGCAATTAAAAAAAACTGAAAAAATCATAAAGTTTTTAAAACTTATGTAAATCTGAAAACATCTTACCTATCACCAACAACAATGCAGCAACGCACACTAAGATTTTTATGGTTCTCTTTTCGAAACCCATTTTGGTGTAGCTAAATTCTCTTCTCTGTGGATTTCAAATCCCGAATCCCGGTTCCCTGGTGCCGCGCTGAAGTGCCGCCGGCGACTGCCGCGTCCGCCCCGCTCTCCCGACAGAGAACGGGATCACAAGGCATCGTAAAATCAGAAACGACGTACATTGAAGACTTTGTATGGATTTATTTTTCCTTTGCTTAAAACACTAGCGTATCTCATTTAGTTATCGAAGTTATTTAATTTACTTACTAATATATTGTTTAATAAATAAAGTTAGATTAGAAATGTGAAATATTTTTAAAGAAAATAACAGATTTTTTTTAATGACTGTATCCATAATTTCGCAATAAATCGCTTATGGTTTTGGTAAATCCTTTGTTTAAAAACATATAGTTATTGTCGCTGCCGTTATTTTTGACCGACTTCCCAAAAGAAAGAGGTACTCAATTCGTCTGTATGTTTTTATAAAATAAAACACAGATAATAACTTGTTTCAATCATGCTGTTTGGTCGTTCATTGGGAATTCCTGGATTCATATACATTTTTGTTATTAAAATAGCTTTATGCGCTTCTCTACATTAACTATCCAACACTTATCTATAAATTGTAAAATGTGTTAAATACGGTTAAGTAAATAAACATACTATAATCAATGGAGGTTCCGCAGACGACGAACTGGCGCCTGTGACGTCGCCGCCTTGGCGCCTTGCAGATACTATGCTAACATTTCACCAACCATAGTCTACGTAACACAGCTGTATCATTCCCAATAATAATATTTTTATACACTATCCCTTTATGGGAACAACGATTGTCGATTGTTTCGGAGGAAATTCAACTGTTTAGTTGCACAACTAATAATCGAGTTGTGTGCGCAATTCCATATCAGCTCATAGGAATCAGAGCACGACTAAACAGTTGTGCGACAGTTTTGTCAAAGGTGTGCGCACGCTCTTTAAGGGGAGAGCAACTTCCTCATTAGAGACGCCCCTGAAGCTTAACAACAAATCAACAAATTTCAATAACGTAATATTTGCTCTCATTTTTAACAAATGTTCTAAAAATAAAATTATTTAAATGGTCCTACTGTACTACACTGTACGTTTCAAGCATGGTGCGACATAAAACAGGGGATGTTACCATTGTTACGTAATGGACAACGCCAGTGTTGAGAGACAATGGCATACGAAGTGAGAAGATTCGAAGCTTTAAAAATATTAACAAAACTTCATAAAGATTACATGAAAAGTAATTGTAAACTACTCTTAAGATTATTTCTTTACATCATTGCTTGTTCTCATTAGTTTTAGCAATTCAAAATGTTTTATGTTTAAAATATTAGCAAAAACACTCAGCTCTTGTACTATACTTAATGATCTTTCTAAATGCAATAGCTAATAATCTGAAGTACATATTTAGTGCACTATCCCATGACCTTATTCCGGTCTAAGTGAGCGTAATGTCTCAGACTGTCTGTCGCCGTCCCATTGTTTGTGAGTTTCTTCCATTGTGTTTGTAACGATTACTGTATTTACTCATACGTAAACTTTACTATTGAACTAAATCTTAATTATTTTTATTTTTTTTATATTATTGCAGTGGCTAACGTACACCTGAATTCGCAGAAATGGTAAAGCAACCGCTCCCCATAGATATACGTAGTTGCAGTTGCGTTGTATACCCTTAATCGAAAGAAGAGGAGATGCACATAAACAGCATGTTCCCCTTCCTGTGCATCTCCACCGTCCAATCCACTTTGTCTTCCCATATTTTCCCCGTTAAGAAAAGAGTGGAAAGGAAAAGGAACTAAAATTGGGCCGTACATTCATTTAATTTCGCAAAACGCTAATTTTGTGTAGGCAAAACTGAGGACTAAATAGTTATATCTTACAGTTTTGTTAGATTTATTTCAACAGACCGTGTTTAGATAAAACTAAACGTGTGTAGCTTCATACACACTATGAATTTAAAGGATAGGCAGGGTTTCGTAAATATTATTATCTAGAGAAATTACTTCTCACTTATACATACATTCTCGTTAGTTACAGATACTTCTTTCGTTACTATGTCCTTAATGTTATGAATACAATCATGTAATTTCTCGATACAATTTTCTATTGACAATTTATTTTCATTCATCTTCTTTGAGACTTCAAATATCGTTTCCAATTGCGTTTGATTTCGTGCACAATATATGAAGACTCCAGGTAATTGCTTGATTATTCAATTTGTTTACTGAATCTGTTCATGTTTTTACAAGTTCTTCGTACGCTATATAGGTCGAGGCTGTGAGAGCCGACTGCGCGGCGCCGGTTCTGGCGAATTTGCTGCTAATGGGGGATGGTTTTCATATTTCATACTTTTACATTTATTATGATAAAATGCGAAATACAATACGTATTCGTATATATCTTATTTGTTTTAGTAAAATTTAAAGCACTAAGAATGTCATATAAATAATTTTATTCAAGAAATTATTGACTAGATGTTGCTCGTGACTTCCTTACTAGAAGTAAATTAATTCTGGTCAATAATAGTAATGTTCATTTGCATCGAAAAAGGGGGATATGAAGAGGTGCAACTGCGACCCCTAATACCTAGATCGTATATGAACCATAATTCGCAACGGCATAAAAAAAAAGTAGCTTATTAAAATTTATTTAATTATTATTAGTTTTGAGAAATGCTGTGTTATTTTCTTAAATTAATATAATTTTGAACTATAAAAAGGATTTTCTTTAAAGGAAATTGGAAAATACCGATTTAATAATCATAACAGCTGTTCGTTAAACGCCATCTAGTGACAGCCACTGAAAACTCTTAATTACAATGCTAAGCATGTTGTTTACGCGCAATAATGTAAAGAGAAAACGTAACTCAAGGAATTAACTATAGTCCACAAAAAACGTTCATCCAGTAAGTTTAATTAAATAAAATGCGTTTAAGTGATTTATTCTGTTTTATTCCATTTTCAAAAGCAAGAAGATAACAATGAAAAATTTTCTATGTGAAATCTTTATATAAAGGCTTATAGATCCGCTACGTAGTAGGCACTACGTAGTCATGATAAAAGCGGATATCCCAAGCTCCTCTACGGACGCTTGACTACGCTAAGTTCTCAGCGCCTCTGGCGACAATAATAGTAACCAATATCATTTGTACTTTTGGTGATCCACACTGAAAATTCACACGCAAAATCAACTTTGCCAACAGTTTTAAGTTAGTGAATTGAACAATGTTCTTCTAAATGTCGAAATGGTGAAATTTCGGAACCGAGATTGAACGCTCGTTTATATTCTGGGTTCCGAAGTAACTAAATTCATCATAGAACTGTGACAATTACAATTTAACCCAATTTGCAGAAACAGGATGCACAGAGAAATAATAATGAGATATCTGCACTAAGGAAACTGATAGTGTTAGTAATCATTTAACAATTCTGAGTGTGATAGTCAAAGCAATTGGATTTCGGTCTGTTTAAGCTGCAATTCCGACACTTGACAACATGTAAGTTCTTTACATGACAAAAGCCCTGAAACTTTCATTTCTATTTTTTGGATTGTATTGAACCAATAATTGGATATTCTTTCATAAGTAAAGGATTTATTATTCAATATTTAAAATCTGTACAGAGATTCAAATGTTATATAAAGAAAAAATATTTGTATTTTAGTATGATTACAGATACGACTTCAAAAATTACTTCACCATTAAAAGGATACGTTATCAGAGAGTATCATAGGCTATATCTTTGTTATGTTTAAATATCGAGCGGGCGAAGTCACGAGCAACAGCTAGTCAGGAATAAAAAGGAAGAGGAATGCCTAACTACTTAGGTGAAGGTAAATAAAACACACGGGAAAGCTAAATTGGAACCAACTATTGCATATTTATTGACTCTCCGTCCAGAAAACATTACATAATAAACATTATTTAATAGTTTAAAACTTTAAGCGTGTAAACGAAACTTGAAATCAGTGGCGCCCTCTGGCTATTCTAAAACGAATATAAATAAACCGCCGACTATGTGGCTCTATTGCTAACGGCGCTTGGCAGCCGGCGCCGGGCGTGTCCGAACATGGCTTGGCATCCTGCGGCTTCTGGCTTGGCGGCCAATCGCTTTTAGCGTTCCATACCTAAACTTGACTATTTATTTGTGACAAAGTTAAAAATGAAAGCGGCTACACGAGGCGACGGTCAATTGGCGGGCGGCAGGTAGTGGCAGTCGTGTGGAGCGGTCGGACGCCTCGGCGCCAACTGACGGTCGCGCGGCGGAGCCCGGCCCTGGCTCTAACCAGGTCGCTTAGGAGCGGTCCACCATCAGCTCGAAGTGCACGGAGCCGCGCCGCTCGTACCGATCGTAGAAGATGTTCTTGGCCCACGCCTTGCACTCGATGTTGATCAGGACGCCGGCTGTAAACCAACATGTTTTTATTAACACTTCTTAAAGCAAATGGATGATTTTTGACACCTTTTACGGATACTGATGCTGTCAGTTGGCCATCGAAATCCAAAACACCCCATACGTTTAGCTAACAATAGTACTTACTCCTGGGCTTTTCGAACAGCACAGCGACAAGGGGGCTGAGATAGCCCTCCTTGTTGGTGAAAGGATAGTAGTAGGCGGGGAAGCCCCGGCCAGGGATGTACTGAATGGGTCCGATGTTCTCTACGTCCGCGGGGTTCTCGCCCTGGCACGACACCCACACCATGTTGGCGTCCGGTTTCCCTTCCTACGTAACATAAATTAAATTCAATAAAAAGAACAAATTTAACATTCTAATCGTTTTTTTTTTGAGTGCTCGTAAAGCTCTTAAATGTTTGTCATTCAATAATCTTGCTTTAACGTAATTGGTTTTAATGCTCACCATGGTCTTGATGTGATGCTTGAGGTCCTCTGGCATGTTCGTGGGAAGATCCTCAGTAGTATTGTAGGGTTGAGGGGTCCAGTTGAAGATCTGAAACAGAATCAACACAATGTTAGTTTCCATTGGTCCTTCACAGTTCGAAAGACATAGTTTGTAAGAGAAATAGTTCTATTTGGATTAACATCTTATTTCAAACTGTGAACAATATTGAAGAGTTGATAAAAAAGGTATTTTCGAATCGGTTAAGTAATACTACCTTGTTGAGCTTGAGAAAGACGCAGGGTCCGGCCTGTTCGAAGTTGTACTGGTTGGTGGAGGTGCAGGGGTTGAACTTGTCGACGGGCACGTCGCACACCTGCCTTTCACCAAGGGGACCGGTCAAGGGAGTGCAGGGCACGCGATTCTCCGCCCCAGACGCCTCGCCGCCACCACTGCCCTTCTTGCGGTACTCTGTTATACATATTTGTTAGTACTATTGGATATTTGAATACCGAAACGTAAAAAAATTGAAGAAAGAAAATTGTCTGTGGAACTCTTGTGGAGTAGTAGAAAAATGTTAGTGTGGTATTGTCTTACGGTCAAGGAACTGATCAATGACGGTGGCCCACTTGAGCACGGATCCCTTGTCGTTGGCCCTGTAGTAGATGAGCGTGCTCTCCACGTTGGCTGAGTCGGGCATCGGTCTGAAGCCCAGACCTGAACAACGAACATATTAACACTAGAGCGAGAGATAAGTTAACGATACTTATCAGCATTTATATCTGTCAAAAACTTTAAGTTAAATTCGATTATAGGATGTTTGGCGTTTACCAGGATTACTGCCGATCAGCGAACTATCCATCTGCCATTTGGGCATCTTTGAGTCCAGAGTCTGGTAGAAGATGGCCAGCATGGCCGCGAAGAATCCCACGAGGATAGCATAGAAGATGAGATAGAACAGAAGGATCTTGGCTGTGAAAAAATAATATAAAATTAATAGTAGTTCTTCCAAATCTGTCTTAAGTATATTTGTAGACACAGTAATTATAATAATGTAATTAGTTATCTGTGTTTACATATTTCTTGCATCCTTACAAGTTCTCAGATCAACCTAAATGTACACAATGCCTACTGACATTATGTCCTACTTTAGTTGAGGTAATATTATTATGACAACTTATACCAATAATTACAACCTCTTTTGCTTCTTAGATGTAGTAAGGAGTACTTGATTGATTTATTCTTATGTTTGTTATCCTAAAAACAAAGTTTAAATCTAACTGGGACAATTGTTTACATTCCGTAGTTAGTAATAGACGACCGTCGTCTTAATAATTGCTCGTAAGTGGCGTCAGTTACCAACTAACTGCTGGACGAAAATTGACCCCGTTTTGTGCATCAATGTAGCGGACATTTGCAACATCTAGTTTCATTATCTAATACAGCACCTTTGATCTCGTTTTCAATCAGTAATAGATAAGTTACTTAGTAGTAAATAATGTTATTAAACTATTTCTAAAAACGAAGAGTCACCGCCTAATTTATGCTTAAGAAATCATCATATTCCCAATTTTATCCTACTCCCATAAGGTCGTTGGGATTTTAACCTTTAGGTTAATCTGTCTTCCCCCATCTCAGTCATCACTCCCTTCTTGATAATGTCACCTTTACATCCATCCATCCATTTCTTTCTAGGCCTAACTCTAGCGGTGTAGTTTATGCTGATGAATTATAAAAACAAAAGACAGTCTTACTTTCTTATCACGTTCAGTTTTTAATAATAGTAATAGAAGTATAATAATTTTGTAAAATACTCATAATACTTTTCAAATCTCTGAAGGACTCATAAATTTGTAATCAACTACGTTTTAATTGTTGCAGAAATTGGACGAGCTCTAAACTAGACTGGCTTGATTGAAAAGTGTCAATTTTCATTCGTTCAATTCATATTAACTAGAACTTCTTACACACGGAAAGCGATACGAATATAAATTACAAAAGTAAATAAAACAAAGCGACAAAAGAATGCGAAGTAGATAAAGGGAATCTTAAAGTTACACGCAAAAGTATGTTGTAGTCAATTATTAAGAGATCAAATACTTTTAGCACAATATTGTGACATAACCTAGGCCAATTTTTATCGCCCTAGTTTCGTACTAATTATCTATGTAATTAGTGTTGGCGCGCGAACTGACACGTTTGTCGTGACCGCCATTTTTGGAACGAGTATACCGACAAGAGAATATTAAAAATAAACAGTAAATGGTAATATAAAGTAGTATTAAACAAAGTTAAGTCTGAAAAAGTAAAATTTCCGAAGACATTAAAAAGTCATTATTCCTACAAAATTGTTTGAAAACAAATAACGAATAGATGGAGGCAATGATAAAATTGTACAAACTAAATTGAGGTCAGCTACATTTTAAAGTGCATACGAAATGGTTGGGGGCTGGTATGGAATAGGTCATGGCGAGTGCGCGCTGCAAGCCCCGGGAACTGGGCGGGCATGCGCGTTGTACCCCCTTCAGTTTAAACCCCCCTCGCTAAATAAATGAAGTGGAAATCCGATGACGCATAACGATTTGTGAAATGGGACAGATTGTAAAAGGGTGTAAAGTTGTATGATACGCTAGATAGTAAAGTAAGCGATTATCGCTTAATAAAATTTTAGCGAACTGCATTAGCGATAAATGTTGTGGTACCGGTCAACGCTGGGATAGGGCGTGGTTGGGCGACCTCCCTGGGCGCTAGATAGAAAAGAGCGTTACAGGTCTGCGTATACAGTTTCACGTATTCGTATGACCCCCTCTTCCAAGCCATGGTATAAAGGGGGTGCCGTAATAATCTCGCCCAGGGCGCTGTTAAAACCTAGAGAAGGTTGTTCGTGCTTTATGTTGGATTTTTGATACCTATATGGAACTGTACTATTATTTAATTGTAGTACATTCACATTGTAATGAGATAGCGTCGAATGAGCGCCGGCTGTTTCATTGAGCGCAGGATGCTGGCTTATCGCGGTCAGTTAACATTTTCAATGCTGATGGGGACTTTTACGCAGATTTAGTAGAAATAGAGAAGGAATTATCTCCTACTACTCCTATTTGTAACCATAATCAATATGAACTATCGGTTCGTTAGTTGTGTTTGCTTTCATCTTTCAAAAATCGTTTGATTATTTTTTGTTTTAATCTTCTCAAACTGAAGTACCATCTTCAATGCTAATTTTCTTTGTAAGACAGTGGATATGAAAATATGGAGCATTTGCGGACGTCCTTGGATCGATCGCGGAAGGACGCGGCGCGCGCAGCGCGGCCCGTCCTCCGCAGACTCCCTGCCCCGCGCCCCGCGCCTTGCTCCCTTCGCCACTCAGTGTTGCCATATTGCAATAATTAACCGCCAAATTATTACGTTATAATCATAAATAGATTGGGTAATTTTTATCACATTGCGTGCAGATGTTTTGACAAAAGTATTCCTCGAACATTTGTTGAATCGTCGCGGAATCCAAGATGGCGGAAAGGTTATTAGGCGCGAAATATCCCGAAAGGTTTTAGATAATTTTGCATGAATATATTACGCCCGTTGTATAACTTTTCTGTGTGAGTTAAAATTAATCTATTTGATGTGTTAATGTTTAGTACATACGCATTGTAGTTGATAATCTATTCTTTCCTATTGTTTTATATAATCAGTTGTTTAGCGTAGTAGAAAAAACGATTATTTTGTAAAAAAATAAAAGATTTTAGGTGAATTCCTTTTAAAGAGTTAAAAAATATTGATGAACATAGAATTGTAGATTATTATAATTCATTGAAGTCATATGATTTTTAAGGCGCTTTTGCGCTTACGTAACTAACAAAGACGGAGCTGAAACCTGACTTCTGTGTTGCCTATACTGGATTAAATTGAACACCGAATTGCGCGACTCTCGACCTTCGTGGTTTAGAATAAGGTTTAACTTTCTTAAACACTATCTCAGGCTGTTGACTGTTTACATTATTTATGCTTTTTTTTATCTATGAAACCTAGGCTGATCTTATGTGCCAGTGATTCTGTAATGAAAATATACATGAAGTTAATAATATGTGAAACAAAAGATTCATATCAATTAGAACTTACAAAACTTTTATTACTAACAAAATTAAGAGAAAAAAATTGTTTTCAATTGCTTATCTTTTTGACGTCATATTTAGATAACATTTATTCTCTGACTATGTTAATATAGTCCTATGTAATTCAAGAAACTTTTACATAAAAAACATTGATTATTGATTTAAAAATATTTATTGGTCTGGAAATAAATTATTAATCTTAGAATTTTTGCTCTTCAGTGTTACGTAATTGGTCCGCTAAAAAGAGAATTTTAAACTTGAAAGTCTGTATGGAAATGGCAAATACAAAAATTGAACGCGACTTATCGATTTCCTTGCAGTCGTCTGTCATCGATTTTCCCTCCAAAACCGCAAAGGGCGCGGTGCAACTAAGGGATGAATGAGACTTACCCCAACTGGATCCCGTGCGGCCGAGGAACTGCCCTGTCTCCGAGTTCCACAGGAAGATCCTGAAGGCCTCCCATTTGCCTAGGTCCGGCGGCGGGGCGTAGTATTGTTCAGCAACCTTCGTCTTGTCTGCCATGTTCGAACGCCGAGCCGGACTGCGGATGGGAATCGATTGTGAGCGCTTTAGCCCCCGTGCGATGTCCGCTCCGCCCGCACCGCGCCGCCGCACCCCGCAGCCCCCTGCAGCCCCCTGCAACCCTCGCGCACCCCTTACGTAACGATTACGTAAGCCTGCGCGCGCAACTTTCAGACCTACTTCCTGAAATCCAACGCCCGAGACCCCCTGCGCAGCGCGCTCCTAGCGGAGTTATGTTATCAAAGGAGGTCACAGCAAACTGGATGCTTAATGGTTTACAAAAATATATGCTGCTGTCTAACAGCTCTATCTGAAGGTAAGAAAGGTCCTTCTTGTTTGGCAAATTTTGAAATACGTTGGTAAAGCAGTGTCTGGTCAATGTTCCTGATTTAAGTCTAGGCATTGATTTTATGAAAATTTTATTATTAGATTGGAAAACATTTTTTGTAGACGTCTAAGTTGGAAAATAACAACTAACTATATCATCATGTTAAATTGCATTGCATAAAATAAAAAATCAAAATCAATTCATTTACAATGTGATTGAGATTTTTGGTTTATCTAAGTTTCTAAAAAAGTCTTCTATTCCCTTATTATCAAGGAATTTTCCTGTCATTTTAAAATAACTAGCAAGAAAAGAAACATCTGCCATTTAAAATTAGCAAACAAAACGTTGAAACAATTTGCAGCAACCGACAAGAAAGGAAGAAATCCTGTTTTTCTTTGTAATTTTATTGCATCTCATATACGAGTAGTCAGTAATTTTTTAGAACTTAGGTTTAATGAAAATAAAAAGTTTCAATATTCCATTGATTTTTAATACATCATTAATTAAGTTACAATAAATATTATAAAATATGGCATAATAAGCACAATATACTGATCTAACAATCCTTTATTCATTAGATCATTGATTTTTTTCCGTCTTCTGCGGCGCGGTATCGTCTTTTAATTCATCGTGTTGCGGCTTTGTCCACGCCTGACACACGCACGTGGGTCCTGGACTGCTGCCGCTCACGTGATTACCTCCTGAAGCTTGGAACCCTTGCCCACCTACTCCACTCGGCCCAGATATTTGGGAACCTTGCGTTGACTGACCGTTCTGTCCGTAGTATCCAGGCTGACCCTGGTATTGTCCTTGCTGTGACTGGAACTGCTGGGTTTGCTGATAATTCCCAGTAGGCTGTTGGTAGTTTGACTGATATTGGTTTTGATTCTGGCCTTGAGTGTTGCTGAAACCCTGATTGGTGGGATATGTCTGGCTCGAAGGACCAGAGTAACTGCCCCCATTTTGGTAACCTTGGTAACCGTTTTGTGGTGCGTAGTACTGTGTCTGGCCTTGATACTGTCCTTGGTACTGAGAGTAGCCAGGGTTTTGGTAATTCCCCTGGCCGTTCCATTGCTGGTACTGCGGGTACTGCTGGGGATAGGTGGGGGGCTGTGTGTAGGGGGCCTGCGTGGTCGGTTTGCTCTTGTGACTGTGCACCATCTCTATCACTCCACCTATAATCTTCTCTGGGAAGAGCAACGACCCCGTTCTTACTTCTTTCGTCGTTATGCTAGCACTACATACAGCGCAATAAGCGATCTGTAACGATAAAAACACAACATGATTGTTCCATCTAAAATTAGTTATTTAAGTTTTTTTTATGTTGGTAAATATTTTTCATTAGTGAGAACTTTTCTTTCAAATACTTACCAAGTTACTACTGTTTTATAAGAGCGTACGTACGCCTTAGACTAAACTATCGCACAACTGTTTAGTAGCGCTTTGATTCGGGTAAGCTTATACGAAGGTGCACACACTACTCAATTTTCAATTGTGCAACTTAACAGTAGTATGGGCTACGAAGAAATCGACAATCGCACAACCGTTGTGGAACAGTTTAGTGAAAGTCGTGCGCTTTAAGAGTTCTGGTAATATTTGTACTTACAAGTAAGGCGATTCTGTAGTAAGCCTCCATGTTGTGCGTAGGCAAAGCTCTTGGATCGATTGTTGAAAAGCCCTTCAAGGACACCTTTATATACCGTACCGAGCTTCTTTCAGATGTCATAATAATCAGGGCTGCCAAAAAATGTTTTAACGATGATTTAAAATTGAAACAATTCTAGTAAAAACGCCAACAGAACACTTTAAGCTTTTAGCAATTCGAGGCTAGGGTAGCATTTTTTTTGAATAATTACATAAATTGACAATATTTTTTTTAATACGATCTGCTTTACCGCGTATGAAAGTTATTTTTAATGTGGAACCTAAAACCCTCATAAACATCTCGTCAATGTATTTTTCATCAATCCTCCTTATTTTGTTTTTTTTTTTTGCGGAATTACAAGTAGAAAAATTTAACTACTTATGAAGGATCAAGAAGCTATGGTTATAATTTTAGTATGAGGTTGCAGCCCTGTCCACTGCACATTTCACGGTCGAGCGATGATGGAGGAGGCCGCGACTCGCGCCTTGCATCTCGCGTCACACCGACACTGCATACACAAGAAGCGATCGCGAAGCGAAGCTATAAGAGATATTTTAATTGAGTAATAAAAATTTCTTAAAAAGACTTCAATTAGAAGATCGAAGAAAATATAGAAACATAGAACTATGAAACATAGGAACTTTAAATATATGATAGAACTATGCATAAAAAAACCTTCGTAAGTAGCAGGAAGACAATTGGTACCTTTATATTTTAGTTTAGAACAGATTTATTTATGGAGTCAATGAACTTAAAACATCGCTTCATTACTGCTTGCGGTGTGCAAGCCCCGTTTGATTGACGCGAACACTCGCTGCGTTTCGTTTTCGTCGTTTTTCAGCAAAACTTATCAAGGGCCATCTCCAATACGCGATTTATTAACTTGGTCCCGTTGCGATGCGTTCCAGGAAGTACACTGCCACAATTCGTAAGCAGTTTTTGATTTAAAAGATAATTGTTAATTTCTTTCGCTTGCGTGACTAACGGAGTGCTGATTGCAAGGTCTTATGACGAAATTACATGCAATCACTAATCTAAAGATTAACCTTTTTTTTACCTTCCTCCTTATCCTATTCCCGTAGGGCGCAACAGGATTTAGTCCTCTACATAACTATCATACGTCATCTGTCATCACTCCTTTCTTGATCATGTCACCTTTCACGCAATTCATCTTCTTTCTAAGTCTTTTCTTGGATTAAACTAGCTTTCGCCCATGACTCCATCCGCGTGGAATTAAAAAAAAAACAAAATTGAGTAGCCTATATGTCCTTCCAGGCTATCTAAGTCTATAGCAAATTTCATCGAGATCCGTTCAGCCGTTTAGGCTACAAACTCTAATAAACATCCATCCACCTAAACTTTCGCATATAAAATAGTACTAAGAATATTTCTTTCATTTCAATTATCTAAAGCTAGTACGTGGTGTATTACAAATATTTCGTTTGTACAAAACATTGTCCTAATTAATTCTGTACCAATCAAATAAAAGTAATCTTGTTTCCTTCAGCAATGTTTACCAATTCGATCGAATCGATGGCCAATTTCATTAAGGAACTCTCCTTATAAGTTTTACTTTTCTTTCCTATATCAATTTGTACTTCGCAAAATATTAAAATCTGGAGTAATCCTCTTTAATTAGACTTTTGACTGAAATATCGCACAACTTTTTAGTCGCGCTTTGATTTCTATGAGCTTATATTGAGGTGTGCACACTACTCGATTTTTAGTTGTTCAACTAAACAGTTGGATTTAGCTGCAAAACAAACGACAATCGCAATGTTATGCTATAGTTTGACTAAACACAGTTAGATCTAGTCGTATTCATATGTTGTTATCTTTGTATTTTCAAAGCAAATGACAGTGATGACAGTAGTTTTGTAACTACATGTGTTTTGCCAGTGGAAACACACACTGGCAATGGTCAGTCCGGCAAGCGGTGCGGTAGTGATTAGTGCGGCGGAAGCAAGTCGTTGGTCGCGTCCTCCGCAGACTGCTGACCTCGGGGCCACACGTCGCTATCACGACTACTATGAGAAACAGGGTAGACAGTAATGGTGTGCTCAGGATTTAACAGTAAAATACATCGATAGATATTCTACGAATATGCCATTCTTTCAATCTACAATTTTTTTTTTCATAAGGGGTGACAATGTAGCTATGGTAACTTGGTAGGAAAACTTTTAGCTACGAGTAAAAATTTTGGTTACTATAATTGCGATACTCAAGTATCAACTCTTTACTCAAGTTTTCACATCTTCTAAGATGTGAAATGCTGTTTTTGTGTAGCTGAGCTGAAAGTATTATAGTTATGTCAAGTTTTTTTTTTTATAAACGTTAAATGAGTCTATGCGAATTCCTTTAAATCTGGCTAATGAACAAGGGCACGAGACACAAGGTGACGAATTACTGCCAGTGCAGTGCCGTGAGGGGGCGAGTGGACGATAGTATGCATTACTGAACAATGCAAATATAATTATTAAATGGTATAATTTAAGACAGATGACTTAAAAGGCATAGATTTACTTATCATCTAGTAAATTATCTTATTTTTAATCGCGTTTTTACATATTTCGATTACACAAAAATTTGACAGTTAGATTTCTTACTGGCTTATTCATAGAAATCTTAATTTTGTTATGTTCTAAAATTAATCTTACTACTTCATTGTCGTACATCACTGGCCTATTATCCTGGCGTGTGTGAGGCGCGCCAGCGGAGCCGCGCCGGCGCAGTCTACGCGCGCCTCAGTCCGCGCCGCTTCTCACACATCACAGACCAAGATACGTTACAGGTACGATAGACATATCGTATTCATTATCACGCTTACGTTTTCTACCTTCAGACTCTTACTGATTTTCAAATTAAAACAAATTCAGATTACTTATTTTTTAATGTATAAGCAGTTTCTACATTCAGTCAGATATAAATATAAACAGTTATAGCTAGAAATAATCTTTTTGTAAGACAAATCACCTGACATCACAAGATTGATGAAGGACGTGTTTCATTTTGTGTTAGCTGTCTGTTTTACTGAAATAAATCTTAATAAAAAAATATTGAGTATAAGAAGTTTTAAACAGATAATTTATTATTCCTGTCATTTAAATATAAAGATTTTTATCCTTATCATTCTTCAATTGAAAGGTAATATGAACCGAGTAACACAAGTCAATATAATAAGTACAATACTTATCAAAATGTACGTAACTTATCATTGTTCATGACGAAAGTTTTCTCATTTATTTTCTTAATTTTTAGGCATTTATCTAATTACAAATTGTAATCAAAACATCAGAAATACATTTAGATCCTGTAGACCAAGATTCTGGAAAACCCAATTACCCACCATACTCACAAGACATCATATGTGGTCATAACATTTTAAATTACGTAACTCAATAATATTTTGAGTATGTTTTCACAAATATGCTTCATTCTTGTAGCCACCACACATCACAGGAAAATCAGAAACTTTAGTAAACTACCAGGATATCATAAACAAGATGACGGTAAAGAAGCGACCTTCAGATCTGACAAGCTTGGAGCGGTTCAACTTGTACTACAGAGAGAAGGAGCCGCCGATGACCTCGGGCCAGAAGGCGAAGCGGTTTATCTGGAATCCTAAGACCAGGCAGTTCTGTGGCCGGACTGCCTCCAGCTGGTGTGAGTACATTTATAACTACACTAGCTTCCGCCCGCGACTACGTCCGCGTGGAACTAAAAAAAACAAATGTGAGTAGCATATGTGTTCTTTCAGACTATCTTAGACTATAGACTATATACTACACTATACTTTAGACTATACTATACTTCAGACTATATCAGATCTCTACATCTGTACCAAATTACACCGAAATCGGTTCAGCCGTTTAGGCTACAAACTCTAACAAACGTCCATCCATTCATCCATCTAAACTATCGCATTTGTAATATTAGTAAGATTAGCGTAAAAATCCCACATTGACAATTAAATTAAAAACCATAGTTTCAATGCAATTCATTAAAAATACGTTATGAACTCATTTAGTGGTACGAGGCGGTAAAATCTGGTGATTGCAAGGCGAGGCAGTACTTCATTGTACTCGAGCACAATTCACATGATGTTGCTGAGCGTACTGCTTCAATATTATTGGAATCAGTTCATGAGTTCATGACCTTTTCCTGGCTATTTCACTACGTAGTTATTAGTGTTCTTTGTTTCTAACGTCTGTACAGCCAGCGGTTTGACAGACCTTATTTTATTCTTGTTCGAACTATCGTATAATTTGACTTTACTTTTCGCAGTAGTCAAATTGTGATTGAAGAGTGACGAAGTTTTATTCTTAACGAGCTGTTGCCCGCAACTTCATCCATGTGGTATTAGAAAATATACGAACTATATAAATTACAAAAAGCTACGTATCCCTCGGGAACCGGACATTTCTCTGGGATGAAGCTTATCTCATGTATAGTCCAGATTTTGTTTTATATCTGTGTCAAATTTCAATAAGATATGTTGAACCGTTACAGAATGATCGAGTGAACATTAAAAAACTAAATTAATGAAGCCCACAGGAACCGTAACTTATCCCGGGATAAAAAGTAGCCTATGTGTTCTTCCAGACTATGCTTTAAACCTGTGCCAAATTTCATGGAGAACCGTTCAGCCGTTTAGGCTACAAACGCTAACAAACATCCATCCATCCATCTAAACTTTCGCATTTATAATATTAGTAAGAAAGATGTCTACAGCACAGAAACATGATGCAATATGATATGATATTATCTGAATGATACGCAGTTTCAATCATCTTCTTTTACTCTCTTATTTTCTTACCCGTAATATGAATGTAACGGTACCTAAGGACCGGGGGATTAATTTGCTCGGATACCTCATAAAAATGTAAGTTAAGCCGCTAAGAAAATTTCCGTCGTCTATCCCACGTTGATTCCCATAGTCATAGAGATGTCGCGTCACGAGCACGGCAAGGCGAGCGCGGCCGGAAGACGGGCCGGCGCGAATTGCCGCAATGAGCTCATTGGTACATCCTGCCCGCGCCGGTCCGCGCCGCCGTACACGGCCCGCCGCCGGACTCGCCTCGCCAGACACTACACTTACAGAAACATAGATATGAGGAGCAAAGTATTTTATATAAAAGAAGGGATCTAAGATAACTGTATGGTCGATTCTGAAAGTGGGCGCACACCTTTGGCTAAACTATCGAACAACGGTGGTGCGATTGTCGTTGTTTTTGTAGCCAATTCAACTGTTTTGTTGCAATTAAAAATCAAGTAGTATGCGCACCTCCATATCATCTTAGGAATCAAAGCGAGACGTAACAGTTGTGCGATATTTTAGTTTCAGATGTGCATGCATAGGTACACGTGAAGGCGCCAAGCATTACGTATGTTTTTGTTTAGTTTGTCCAAAGAAATGCTTTTAAAGCGACCGTACTATTTGTAATTATGTTTTTTCAATTACATTTTCAGCCAAGATAGCTTTGTTCTACTTCACCTTTTACTCCGCGCTGGCGATCCTGGTTGCGATCTGCATGTGGACGTTCCTGCAACTGTTGGACGCACGCCAGCCCAAGTGGCAGCTAGATAGCAGCATCATCGGCACCAATCCCGGCCTCGGCTTCCGACCCACGCCGCCGGAGGTCGCCAGCAGCGTCATCTGGTACAGGGGCAATGACCCCGGCAGCTACCAGTTCTGGGTAAAGGAGCTCTCTCAATTCTTAAAAGGTAACATCATCGACTTATAAATTAGAAGTATATGTATGTCCACTATTTGAGATTTGAAGATTCAAACTGCTCTTTTCTAGACTGTTTCTGTCACGTTAAGGGCTTTTGGTATCCATTTAACCGATGTTAACTTATGCAGTGTACAAACGTGATGGTAACAAAGCGGGTGCGGGCCAGAACATCCACAACTGCGACTTCAAACTGCCTGCGCCGGCGGGCAAGGTGTGCGACGTGGACATGAGCGCGTGGGGACCCTGCGTCGAGGAGAACGGTTTTGCATACCACAAGTCTACGCCCTGTGTCTTTCTTAAACTCAACAAGATCTTCGGCTGGCAGCCTGTCTTCTACAACAGCTCGGACGCGCTGCCCCAAGCCATGCCGCAAGACTTGAAGCAACACATCAAGAATATGACCGCATATGATAAGAATTATGTAAGTTTTACTTTTAATTATCATTTTTTTTTAAATCAATGTGCTGTTAATGTTAGAATAAAAAGCCTGAATATAACTATTTGTACATATGACCCAAAAATGTTCTCTGCAAAATAAGCTGACACACATATTTAGCCTAGAAATTTTAAAGAGAAAAAGAAGGAAATTGGGTCAATTAAAAAAGCTGTGTTTTTCCAAACTAAAAGATGACTGTAGCCTGTAGTTGTAAGAGCGGGCGTACACCTTTTACTAAACTATCGCACAACAGTTGTGCGATTGTCGATTGTTTTGCAGCTGATTCAGCTGTTTAGTTGCACAATTAAAAAAGGAGTAGTGTGAGCACCTCCATGTAAGCTTATAGGAATCAAAGCGCTACTAAACAATTACAATAGTTTAGTTTCAAGTGTGGGCACACTCTAAGCCTCTGTGTAAAAATAAACTTTTAAAAATCTTGCACCAATCACAAAACTGTCATTTGTTTCCAGTTGAACATGGTGTGGGTGTCATGTCAGGGCGAGAACCCGGCTGATCGCGAGAACATCGGGCCTATACAGTATCTGCCATACCGGGGTTTCCCCGGCTACTACTTCCCATATACAAACCAAGAGGGATACCTCAGCCCCTTAGTTGCTGTACATCTACAGAGGCCGAAAAGTAAAGTATCACCATTAAGTTTTTTTTAAGTAATTTCTGACATATAACCTTACTAAGCTTTGGAGGCGATACTTCTTAGTAATTTTATTATCTGTGATAACAAACGCAAATTTTCCACTCTTAATTATAGGTGCAAAAATCACTTATAAAATGGCTACCCTTTTAATCCTTTATGTGGGAAGTTTTACGGCCGAATACAGAAACAAATCCTAAACACTGTCAATCATCTAGATTTTAATTGAATTTAAAGTGGCCTTGTCGTTTAAAACGCTGTTATATACTTTTTTAACTATTACTTACTAGTGTTACAAACTATTGAATAAGATGTTTTTACGATTGGTCGCTTTGTTTATGTTTGTTTTACAAGATGATATAGTTATTTGTAACTTTTTTCCAGCTGGCATGTTGATAAACATCGAGTGCCGCGCCTGGGCTCACAATATTGTGTACGACCGGCATGAGGGCATGGGCTCCGTGCACATCGAAATTATGATAGAGTAACCCTTAATCAACATGAAGCAATCGGAATAGGTTTACACGTCATAAACCTATAAAATGGTAATAACAAATCGTCGTTTAAGGGTCACGTAAGTGACTATTGTCTTCCTTTCTCCCTCAGTCTAAAATGAGAAAGAATTTAAGTTACCATAAAACGACCTATAGTAAACATTGAGTATAGAATTAATTGTTGATTTTTTAAAATTACGCTTCTCAGTTTGAACTGTTTTTATAATAATTTCGTCGTAATATGTTCGTTTAGAAATTTTTTCTTTAGATAATTCTGTGTGAAACATCTAAAATGAAATGTGTGAAATCATTGAGTGTAAGCTAGATGACGTTTTAATTAATTTATTAAAGCTTTGTTTCAAAATGTTATAATGTTCTTATTATTTCCACCTGTACAAGTATAACCTAATCTACAGTAAACCATAAAACATTTATTTGAGTGTTAATAAAAAATAATATTTTTAAATACATTTAATACAATCAACATCAATAAACATCAAATAAAAATACGACATCAATCTCATCTCGAAGAATAAATAATAAAATTATCTAAAAATACAATCTCACCGTGTGGTTACAATGTGCAAAACTGACATCAATTGTAACATTAAATACGTTCATAATAACTAATCAGTGTTAAAATTATTATTTAACATCGAGTTTGCACAGTTTGCACAGTTGTCACATAAGGCACATCACTAAAAGCTACATAAATGGGCTGGAACTTCTTACACACGTATGTATTATGTTACTCAAATAATTTTGTTCAGAAAAAGCCACATTTTTGAATAATTCGTTCTTTAATAAAAAAAAACCCTTGGGCTATATATTTTCACGCTATCAAAGGGGGTCAATAAATTGGAACAACCTTCATGTGGGAAAGGGATAATGAACTACAAGCTGCCAACATCAAGGAGGCAAAATTGCCATCGTTGTCATTTTTTGCATTGTTATTTGCAATAAAAAATTTGACAAATGTAAACAATAAAGTTTTTATAATTTCATGCGGATGAAGTCGCACGGGAACAGCTAGTATAAAATAAAGCTTTTGAAAAGTTGTGTGCATTTGTTGGTCTAAGTTCCAGCCCCGTGCTAAATACTAAAGTTGTGTTGGTCCTGAATTCAGTCAATCATGATCTCCAGATGCGTGGAACCGAGCCGCTCTTTCAGGCTCTCCGTGTAGCGGATGTTGTGCGCCCACGCGCGGCAGCGGATGTTGATGATCTGGTGCACTGGACAACACATTATGTTATCACACTTAGAGCGCGCACTTCTTAGACTAATCTATCGCACAACCGTTAAGTCGCGTATTGAATGCTATGACCATAGAGGTGCGCAAACTACTCGATTTTTAGTTGTGCAAAACAATCGACAATCGCAGACCAGTTGTGCGATAGATTAGTCTAAGATGTACGCCCGCTCTTATGGTAATGTACCCTCTTAAGTACCACAAACAAATGAAATTCAAGAAACGACGGCATTAGAACCACATTTAAAAAGTCTACTCGTACTTGAGGAATTTAAAATGGTTGTTGAAACATTTTACCAAAAAACCATTGCAATATTCGCTATATGTGGTATGGATTTGGTAGGTGGAATATAATAGTTCGATTTTATTATGTGACCTTTGTTAAGTCGAGTTGAGTGATAATACTAGCATACTTACGAGTAGGTTTGAGTAGCTGAACGGCGACCAGAGGGCTAAGGTATCCGGGCGTGTTATCGTACGGGAAGTAAGTCTCTGGCAGGCCGGGGTAGGGCCAGTAGCGCAGCGGGCCGAGCGCCTCCACGTCCGCAGGCCGCTCGCCTGCACACGATACCCACACCTTGCGACGCTGCAATACCAAACATTTATAATATAAATTCTCTTAACTGAATGGGATTTATAACAAGGAGTAACGATGACAGAAGGATTAAAAGATTACTATGAATTTATATGGAGGTCCGCACAATACTCAATATTTAGTTCAACTAAACAGTTGAATTTTCAGCGAAACAAGTGACAATCGCACAACGATTGTACGATAGTTAAGTCAAAGGTGTCCGCTCTAACTCCAAATAAAAAAGAAACGGTAGAATAAAACAAATGAATAAGTCTACACTCTGACGCCTGACGGTGGAGTTTCAACGCATGTTTCAGTATAATGAAAACTGATGTTTGTGGAAACGATTGACTCAGTGACAAGCTCTATTAACTGACCTCTTGAGGTGTTTTTGTTGTGTTGATGTAGTCCTTGATATCTGGAGGCATGCCGGGCGGCAGCGCTGCGGGGTCGTCGTAGAATATGGGGTTCCAATCGTACAACTGAAATGTGAACGTTGAAGAACATTAGAAGCGGGTTCGTGTCCTAATCCCACGCAAACATTGCCCTAGTTTTATAGTTGCAGAAAAACGAGCGCTTAGAACGAGAGAAAGGAAAAAGAAAGACCAATTTCTTGGCGTAAATTTCGTACAATCTATGGTAAGGCGACAAATTAAAGCTATCTATCATCAACAATTTGGAAATGACACATTATGGTCCACAATTATTTTACCTTATTTAGCTTGATGATGATGCACGGCGTCCTGGCCGGATAACCGTAAGCATGCTTGCGAGCGCAGGGCCCCAGCAGGCTGGTATTGAAGGCGCACACTTCTGCGCGTGGCGGCTTCACATCCCCGCAATCGCGCTGATTCTCACCCTTCGTCTCCAGCAGCGATTTGTTCTCGTAAGCTGGGGAACGGTGAACTTTATATGAAGGCATGGAACCTATTTGATAGCTCAAAAAATCTAGTTAAAAAAAATTATCTACCCTAAGCCTGCTTTTAGTAGCAATGGATGACCAGAAAGATTTAGTATGCCAATTAGTGTGTCATGTCTCTAGAAACTTCTATATAAATAGTTAAACCTTGCCTTATTTGTAGTAGGAAAGTGCCATGTAGATAAATCTCAAGCAATCAAACAGAAATCGATTCTATAACAAGAAGTTATTTTAAAACTTCATGGTCTATACTCTCCTATAAATTTGGCATACATTTGTCCTCGTGTTCGATCTGACATAACCCACAAGGCACTCGCCCTATATTTGTGGAATCGTAAAAACAGCAATAAAACACGATGGAGACTTACGTGCAAGGAACTGGTCGATACTTCGGACGTATTTGTCGTACTGCGATGCGTTCTCCGCGTCGTACCAGATCAGCGCACCCTCCTCGAACACCAGCGGACGGTGGCCCATGCCGGGGTTGTCACCTTAAATATATTTACATACAAATTGTATTGCAGAAAAAAAATCGATGACTATGGATAATTCATAACAAATTGGTAAAGAAAAAGACAATAAGAAAGAATTAAGTCGGATTTTCGTTTCTATTTAAAGAAAAAACTTATGGTTCAAGTAGTTTTTTATCTGTGGGTTAGACGATAATTATTCTATTTACTAAGGGTTGACATACACGTATCCCTTATCGATCGACGCAGCTTCAAACAGCGTACATCATTTTAAACATCAAAAATGCTTGCCTGATAACAGATGTGATCTCTTACCTATGATAGAGTCAGCGAGTGTGAAGTAGGGTATCCTGTCGTCCATGGTGGCGAGCAGACCACACATGCAGATGGAAAAGAAGATTATGATGCAAATGTACATCACCAGGTAGATAAGACCTATTACACCTGGAAAAAATAACCTTTTATTATAACACAAACGATTGGATAGCGTTACAAAATTAGTTTTTTTTTAATTTCTTAAACTATGTTTTTATTTGTTTTTGATTATATTTCTATTTGATTTAATCTAGTTAAAACCCGCTATACACATTCAGTTTTATCTGAACAGTAGGTCACTCAGGTAAATCTAACGTGTGTAGGCAATACTGAGAATTGAACAGTTCACTGTTTTCTTAGATTCATCCGTCAGTAAACTGTGAGATAAAACTGTGCGTGTGTAGCGGGCTTAACATTAGAAAGAGGAAAGATTACCCGTTTGCAATGAATAGGCTCTGAAACCATTGAAACGATTTCAAAAACCTTCCGCCAGTAGAAATCCATGTCATCACTGAACACCAAAGGTTATATTTTACTATAACAAGAAGGGGATGGATATGACAGAATAAATACGAGATGTTTTTGCCACCCGAGCAAAGCTGAGGAGAATCGCCAGTATAAAATAATTCTACATTCTTCATGAAATGCATTTTTACATGAAAATGTAACAATGACATGTGCTAATTTTATAAAATTGTAAACGCAAACTTGTTGCGCGTCTGTTAGCACCTCGCTGTTGAACAATAATTACATGACAACGAGCGCTATTAGAACCTTCTTATCGTATGTTCCCACTGCTGAAGCATTTATACGAAAACATAATGTTATCTCCCTTTGACAAAGACAAAATGAAAAGGATGAAATCTTTTTTGTATAGCGTCTACAGTGAATGCTGTATTCCAACATATTGTTATTTGATTAGACCTTTTTATTTGTTTATTTAAACGTAATGAAATTAGGATTGGCTTCACACATAACACAGTTTTAACTAAATAGTGGAACTGTTTATTAAACTTTACTAAAGTCAGTTTTAACTGTATGTAGCGGCCCTTATATCTCTATGTTGTTTTTATTTTTAAGCATTATTACCCAGTTAGAGACAAGGGTATTTATAAAGTCATGCTCTAACATTTTCTCAAAAGCTTCAAAAATTATTCAAGAAACATTTGAGAAGCTATAAAAAGTCATTTTTCCGTACAAAGACACGGATAAACATTTCTAATCGAGCAATAAAGTGAGTAAAGCAATTTCATTACGGCTTTTATCGAAGCCTCTCCCAAGGTGCGTCATAGGGGGGGAGGTCGGGGGAGGTCGCCACCACCACCTTTAACAAACTGTACTGTACAAACTCCGGTATGTATATACTCGTTGCTACGCCGTATTCCTATTTGTGTTTACGATTTGACGTAGGTTGGTAGATTCGGATGTTTTATGAGGTCAGTTTTTTCAATGGCAAAGTTTTTTAATATCTATATGTTAGTATCTTAATATCTAGAGATTGAAAACTAATTTAAGACCCATTAATTAAAGCAATAGTTACTATTCAGTAAAATTGTCAAAACCTGCTGTTAGTCTGTGTCTTTATCGATATTGCAAAATTAGTTAGTCATTGTAGAATAATACAAACACGATACTTGATAGTTCAGCCATAGTTAACTCATCGTATACGTTTCTTTTATTTATCCATACTTGGAATACATGTCCGCTTACATGTAGGACATTGCCACAGAGTAATAGAGATCGAAGTAATTCTGTTTACATACCGTCACTTATTGACAAACGAAGTTAATATTGGACATGGCAAATGTTAGCACAGGCGACAACTGGACACATGGAATATGTACTTCGTTATTTCAAGTTAACTTTTGCGATTGAAAAAATGTTTTTGTAGCTATCTTTACTTTTGATAGTGACAAACTTTAACATCTAAATGACTTTGGTATCAATGTACACTTGTATTTCTTCTCTATCGTCTTAAAACCTTATCTGAAGGGAAACAAAATTATAGTATCGGTGCCTATACTAAACTTGTGTTCTATCCTATATTATTTTAACGATATGTGTGAGGGAGTGTTATTAGGGCAACATAACGCAGTCTAGAATACCTAACGTCTTGCACTATTATTAGATGCGCGTGTAGTTTTCAGTGCGCGTTTAGCCGTAGTTTTAGTGGAAGAGTAAACAGCCCATGACCCGCTATTTCTGGGAGAAGTGAACACTTGGTGGATGGAGTGAAGCGAGGTCGCCGTTTGTGTAGCCAACTTACTTAAGGGATAACAAGTAGGGGATCTAAGTGTACAATTTGAGAAGCTTGGTTGTCATTTGTGGAGATTTCTGCTTCCGTCAGTCAACTTACCGGTAGCTTTTAAGGTTAAGTATACATTTACAATAGCAGATAATATATATACAAATACTTCAATAGTGTTTAAATTACTATTACTATTGATTGTTATCACTTGAGGATATTCTAACCATCAGGGATCATTCATTTTAATAATTACCTTCAAGTTTTTATAGCTACCACTAACTAATGTTTTGAACATAGAAACTATGGACTTGAAATTGTTAGTTTTCGATGTAAAAACATTTCAAAAAATATTTATTTCTTTGTCGTTGTTTCTAAAAATCTTTGAACTAAAATATAGCTGTCTAAAGCGTGTCATCAATCATTAAATCATGTGAAGATAGTGTAGAACTAAGCCATTTCTCATCATCTATCGATAGATTTCTGAGTTAACCTGAATTCAAATAAAATATTAAACAATTTGTAGAACATTTCAAATCTCCGGGTGAGTTATGACCGAGGTTTTGGTTTAAAATAGTCGCGGTGTATCGACGTGATTCACTCCAATCTTTCGTCTGCTTATATGTGAAATATTGAATTCGGTTATTGAACACGTGGTGCTCCTAGAAAGAACAGGAAACTGTACTCTAGAGCAAGGTATGGGACTAAATTATAAGATAATAGTGATGGTATCATCATCATCATCTTCATCTCCCCTGCCTTATCTTACTCCCGTAGGGTCGGCGGGTTTGTCCTCCAAAGCACTCTATCATCCGTCATCTCAGTCATCACTCCCTTCTTGATCATGTCACCTTTCGCGCAATCCATCCATCTCTTTCGATGGTAGTGTTAGTATAACTTATTTTCTGTTATTTATAACTTAGAATCATCATTGTATTATAAACTATCAAACTTTATTAAGACTTAGTTAATAAATCCGGAAATCTAAAGGTAATTGTAGATTTTCAGAATACCAGTACGTTTAATATAAAACTATTTCAAATACTGCCTTGATATCATATATCAGAAGCGAGGCTAGGGGCAAACCGCAGCCATTGCAATGTATACAAGTTGTCCACGCGGCTTCATTTGTATTGATGTTTAATTTGCAATGTTGAATTAAAATTTAAATACAACGCGTTAATAATTTTTTTTTTCGAATTAGGAACAGAAAGAGGTCGCGGCGTTTCTCTGGATCTCGATGCAATTCTTTAAAGATTCATGGACTTACAGTTGCATTTGAGAATGGCCATAAAGAAGCCAAAAGGTCGGATATCTTTTCAAAATATTCCCATGATACCAAAAATTGGTCAACTGGCCAGTTATTTCCTTCTCTAAACACTTTATACTTGTACAAGGATTAATAACATAACTAGGGTTGTCACCTATTCTGGTTTAACAGAATTTGAAGCAATTGTTACGGATTGACATATATACGAGTAGTGTTAAAGAGAAAGCTATGAAACCAAGTCACTTAATGATGTTTGATGTCAAGAGTAAACGTTGCTTTTCCCCGCCAATGTTTGTCTACCTTTAATAAAAATTGACACCCCTAAATCGAAGTATCAACAGTAAATTATAGATTTATATTGGCGAAAAAAAACTACATCTTGTGATATCTGCTAGATTTCGTCAGATACGTTACGAAGTTTACACATTTGCTTCCTTCGTTTACAAAACCGTATCTAAAAACTAGAAATAAACTCATATTTCAAGGTGAAATTAATATAACATAAAGATAGGAATTACTTTGATGTAAAACTATATCCGGGTGGTAATTTTGACGTGTATGACGTCATGAGCTAAATTTCCCGAGCAGCCGGAGTACGTGGGGAAGGGTAAACATTGGTGAAGGCAAAGTGAATCTCGTCACCGGAATATGTTGCTTAAGCCCGCTATAGACGATCAGTTCTAACAGGTTTACTGTACAGTTGGACTGTACAGTCAAAACTATATGTGTGTAGAGAAAATTTTAACTGTTATTTGCTGGCTTTACAAGAGTTTGTTTAAACTCTTTAACATCATTTGACCGGGTCTTTAAGGTTAATTTAAACGAAGCAATATTTGGGTAATTCTACATACTTACAGTTGCTATTTGAAACTGCTATATGCGTAAATTAATTCTCTTAAAAACACTTTTTTTCATAAAAACGGACCTTCAAGTTAGTATCTACTTATTACTTGAAATATTTAACTTGATTTATGCAACTTACTTTTTCTTCGTTTTAATTTAAAGCTAGTAATTATTACAAAGTAAAATTCACCCAATTTGTTTCTCACTGCAGCGGTCGGAGTTCGATTCTCTGTCCAATTTGGACTACTATATAAAAAATGACAGTTTAAAGATTGCTTCGTCCTGCTTCTAAACTGACTTAAAAATTAAGTTGAAGAACAAATATAAAATGTAAATTTTTAAAATGTCATATTGCAGTTCCAAAAATCACCGGTGCAATTATAGTAACTTTAACAGCACAAATAAAGTTTCAGTTCTAAAAGTTTGCATAAAAAAACTCACCCCATCTATGTCCCGTTCGTCCTAAGAAGGTCCTCTCCTCTGGATTCCATATCGCGTACCGTATCTTCTGCAGCAAGGGACGCTGCGGCGGGCGCCGGCAGTAGTTGACCACACCATTAGCCTTGTCCGCGCCCATCCTGCGCGCTGCCTCACGATGCACTGACAAACTGCCTTCGACGCGCCCAACCACGTACGTTGCGAATGTAATGTTTACCTTTATACCTAAATGCATAGAGCTTCTGAGAGTCTTGCTAATAATAATTTTAACTCATAGTTTTTGTAGTAAATTAATTGTCTAACTATAATAACATATTCAAGGTACATTACGTAATAATTTATTTAAAATATCCCATACTTACATGTCATGGTAAAAACACGATATTTAGACATTTCTGCTTCCTGTCTGCGTTCTTAATCTATGCCAAAGGCCACTATCCGCCCAAATCTAGCGACAACCGGCATCGCCCGCCCTCCCCAGCTGCCCTGCCCCACCGGTAACAATTATCTCTCCATCCGCCCTTTCGCCGCCCTACGCCGCCCCGCACCGGCTACTTAGCTAAGTAACCTCCCGGTTGACACTGACACACCGCATGATAACTTAGATTAATAAGGCTCTATTGCAGCTACACTAATGCTAATAGATGTTTACTTAGCTAAGCACCAATGTTATACAGATACCACACTATTTCTACCCTAAGTGAGATATCTTTACGATTCTGAGTAGTAAAGAAATGGCTATATAGATTTATATCTCACGAGCTGTCGCCCGCAAACTTCGTTAGCGCAAATTTGAACCATCCGTTACGCCATTTTGACAGCGCGGAATTAAAAAAACAGTAGCCTGTTTTGTGCCTATCCATGTCAGCGGATTCCCTACAGATCCAAGATTACCTGGAACAAACGCGGCTTGCGGACAGACAAACAGACAAAAAAAATCGATTTTCGTTACCAGCAACGCAAATTCATAATCTTCCGGAAATTTGGAGTTTCTCTTTTTATATTACAGACATTCCAATTTTATTATATCTATATATGGTGTTTGAATATTTTAGTAAGCTAAAAATGGGCAAAAAAAACACATAATTATTTCTAGTTTTATTTATTGTTACAAATAAATTAACTAATTCATCCCAAATGTTATAAAACAATCAATTTGTACATATACTACGAATAATGAAAACCATTATTTTAATTTTTACAATTATTTAAAACACTTATCCTATGGTTTTAACAACATTTTTGTTAACAAATAACATAATTTTATTATAAATAGGTCTTATTTATTTGCTAAATACAAACAGGTGTTGAAGGAAATGCAAATATCTAAAGTTAAGAAGACAAGATTCATTACAAAATAAAAACTTGTAAGGAATAAAAAAGGCTTTTTTCACTTTATCTTATATTGGTATAAAATAACCTAAAATTCTATTTTATTCTTAAAAAAACACTAATTAGCTCCGAATTCTTTTGTATTATGTGTATTACAAACAAAAGATAATCTTAGTGGAAAACTTACAGTACACATGTGATGAATATTTATATGACAAATATAAATAACAGACGAATTTAAATATATTCAATAAAAAAATACTACTCTGAGGTTCTATCACGAATGCTTACCAGAACGTATTCGTAACGCCATCGAATTTGTGATTTATTGATGCACTTTTCGGCCGGTAAGGGCGCTGCACAAATGTGGTACAATTTATGTTGTACGACTTTTCCGTATAAGCCCTCTCTAATAGGTTGACAGCGAAGTTGAAATACAAGGGATTTTAAGTTTCTTAAATATTATGGAAATTGTAAACAGTAACACATTCTAAGAACTAACCACTAACAGGTGGGTCGAATGCCTAATTAATAAAACAATTTCAATAAACGTAAAGAAATTATTTCAATGACAAGCATTTACGTACTTAAAATACTATTAAATCAAACATACAAGCTCGTAATTTACAATGTTACAAACTAAAATGACATGCGTATTTTTATATGTATAGATTATGTACTTCAAGTAGCTACAATTATTTAAAAATCACAATGGACGACGAGTTTTCTAGTCATCCAGAAAGTAGGGTGACCATAATTTTTAAGGGATACATTCCTGACTTTTAATAATTTATATATCAGCAGCAAGTTTCTCGTACTGTCCCAGTTGCAATTGTATCCGGGTGTAACCTGACGGCTCTTTCAGGCTTTTGTTGTATTCAATGTTTTTGGCCCACGCCCGGCAGCGGATCACCGCGGTACTGTTGCTCACTTCAACATAAAGTTACCACTTAGTCACAGAAAGTAGATCTGCCGTATATTTTTATTTTTAATATTTGTTTATCTTGTACATTTCAAAAACAAAGTCTACAAATACTATTATGGTAGAATATGGTTATAACTGGCAAAATTTCATTCCTATCATTTTAAATTATTTTATTTATCTTTCGCGCGCGAATTCGTACGAGTGAAATTAATAAAAAAACAAAAGTGAGTAGCCTATGTGTTATTCCAGACTCATCTACACTAAATCTCATCGAGATCCGTTCAGCCGTTTAGGCTACAAACTCTAACAAATATCCATCCATCCATTCATCCATCTAAAAGAAATTTGAAGTAAGATTTAGCTAGCTCTTAGTTGTCCTTAATAAAAAATAGACAGGAAATTTATTCATTTAGAATTACTAGTTTCAAGCAAAAATAATTACCTGATGGTGTGACTTTGACTGGTATGAGCGGGCTGTTGTAGCCCGCGTCGTTGAGGAAGGGGTAGAAGCTGGCCGGCAGCCCCATGCCCCACGGGTACTCTATCTTTGTGTCGTTCAACTTCTCCTCCCAGCAAGAGATCCAGATCTGCTCGCGCTGAAATGTACAGAAAAATAAATGTTATAATATTTTACAAAAAAACATACGAAATTTAAAATTATAAGGAAAATTGTGAAAAAGTAGCGGTTGTGAACATTCATAACTATGCTGTAAATGTAATAGTATTGTCAAAAAAAATTTTTTGAAAGAAATTATACCAGAATTTTAGAAAAAAAAAAGAACAGGTGTTGGGGTAAATCCCAGTTTAATTAGCTGTTTGTTCCCTTATTCCTTACCTCATTAGGTGCCAGGGCAGTGATATATTCCACTAGATTACTGTCCATGTCTGACGGCAAAGCGTTTAGTTCATAGAAATCCGGCTTCCATCCGTAAATCTGAAAAACGATGGTTCTCATATAAATAAAAAACTACTAAACATATCCAATTGAATAGAATATTTTGAACTTCGTGGTTTTTTCCATTAAACTCAACAGTTACAATATATCGACATAAGTATATCCGAGTTAATGACAACTTTAAACTTGAAATTCGAACTCTACCATAAATGAGCACCTTCAAATGTACTATATTAAGGGCTTGTTCCACGAAATTGTAAATTGGCTGAAAACAATCCAACGTGTAAAATATGAGGTGGAAATATCGGATTTTGTTCCCTTATCTGACAATGACGTAATATTAAGCTATCTGAGACTCTATCAACCAGTGGTGGGACAGGCCCTAAGACTTACAAATAGAGACAATTAATATACTTAAAGCTAATGTTAGCTAATTACGCTTTTCACTACCTTATCATGGCATAATGATAAATTTCTAGAAGAATCTCTTCCCTCAAATAACGTAGTATTTACTCAAGACTTTAAAGTATAGCTCCATTATCATGTAAGCTGTATATTCCGTTCTCCACTAACCTTGTTCAACTTGATAAAAAAGCATGGCGCGTCTGGAAAGCCGTAGTTGTCCTCCACTGAGCAGCCACGCTTTGAGGTGAACCAGCTTTCTTTCATGTACGCTGGAATTGTAAAATATTGGCATTAAATATAAGTGTATTTCGTTCTGGAAGTATTAAACTAAAAGTGGTCAATATTAAGTACTAGAAAAACAAATCTAGATTAATTCTAGATTTATAGATTGGAAACTTATGTTCAATATCAATGAAATTGATAGATAATTATTACTTTCAGTTTAAAATTTATTATCACTATTTTTATTACTTATTTTTTATTATTATAGTTACTACGTTGTAAAGTTGTGGATGGCACATCTACTCCAAACTTCTGAATTGAACTGTATCATTTTTTTTTCTTGTGCTATTGTTCTTTTACAGCAAAATGAAAAACAATTATCAAACATTACTTACGTTCTAAAAATTCCTTAAGTTCTTTTACATAACTATCACTGGAGGCGTCGTCTGTAATTTTTACTGTCACACCGTCCACTGGCCGCGGCCTAAACGCCACGCCAGGGTTGGCACCTGTAATTGATAAATGTAAATTGATATCATTCAACTAAAATGTTATGTAATAACTATTGCTCGCGACTTCGCCAGCGTGAAATAAAAAAAAATGTAGCTTTTTAATAGTAAAGGAATATTTGAAATCGGTCTCGTACTTTTGAGTTATTACAATACATACAAAAATACAAATCTTTTGTCTTAATAATGTAAGTATAGATGACGTGACAACCCTAGCATATTTGCGTCTATATGCATGTTAGCGTTGCATATTTGCCGACTCAATAAGTCCAGTGTTTGCAGTAATCCATACGCCAGCATAATCTTTGTTCGTTCCTATACATTTTTTAAGTAGAGACATTCGCTTTTTAAATATCAAATTACGGATAATATTAAATTCTATTTTCTACTGCTATAGATAACTCAGTAACTGCATACCTTGCTTTACTAATATTATTGCGAATTTATTGTTTTTGTATTGCATTTAAAAATATCATAAACTTTATGACTGTGTATGGAATTTTACAATGAAGTTGACCTTTTGAATGGAGCTCAATTACCTGTTTTAACGAGTGTATAAAAATTTAACCCTAGTTTAAATTACTAGCATCCTTTACCACTTTAACTATTACCCGTGAATTTACTGTACTATATGCCTATCAGCGTGAGCGGGAATAACCGATTTTGTTTGTTTAAATGTAACAATAAATTCGTCTTCATGCGAAAATGTTGAAGTAAAATTAATCTTTGATAATAATGTTTTCTTTTTTATCTACGGGATAAACGAGAAATCGCAAATTTGTCCTGCATTTTTTTACGTCAACGTGGTCACCCTACTTGTACGTCATAACATAGAGTTATTAAATTGTGACACGCGCTTGTCGATGGAAATGATATTTTTATGCTTCATTGTAATCGACAAGGAAAATTAATTTACAGTATCGATTGTTTTATGCGTTAATCTATAGTTTAACTATTTCCCGTATAAATATGTAAAGAATTATATTTTTCCTACCTAGAAATAGAAAATACTCGCACTGTGTTAGTTCTTATCCTTTGTGTTTAGATTAAACATGCAAATACTAAACTCTGAGCTAACATCCAGTTATGCTAATTGACATTCTTTTAAACGGGAAAATTGTCATGCAATCGTAACATATAACTTATTCATTTAAAGATATAAATGCAGGAAAACGTTGTTACCGATAAGAAAAATACTTATATCTTTCCATAGACGTAAAAGAAAAACTTTCCATAATAGATTAAAACTAAATTTACATATGCAACAACTACAAACTATTGACTACTTTGACTACTTGACTACGACTTGACACATCAGAAATAAGCATACTCTTCCCAATGTGCCTTAAACTCTGACTTCTAAGGTTATGTTTGCGTGGTTCACTCACCTATCAAAGAGCTGTCAAGTATGAAGGAAGGCTTGTTGTCATCTAGTGTGAGGAAGAGGCCGCCCATGCACAGCGAGAATAGCAACGCCAGCACCGCGTAGAACACCGAGTAGAATACCACCGCTATGCCTGTAATTAAAAATACAAAAGAATCAATGAATGGTCTCGAAACGATACTTCGTTATTATTTCATATGTAAATGTAAAACTGAACCCTTGAATGAAACAGTAAGTGCCTGTTTTCACTTTAGAGGCACGAGACGCTTCGCGTGCTGCTGTCATTTTGTAGAGCGTCTCGATTGCACCAGTGGAAATCAGATACATGACAAAGATTACCAAAATCAAGAGCTAGTGAAAGGTGTATCTAATGAAGTCACTTAGAGTACAATTTTTTATTCTGTACCTTCTTTTCTGTAGTTAAGGAATGAAATTGTTTATAATTTTGCTCGCTCGAACGTATTCGTCTACTGTTTATAACAAACGATGTAGTTTCGATAGGGCAGTATGGTTTTATCGTCTATTTAAATTTGATGAGCAAACATCGCGGGCGAACTAATTCGGTCTTCGCACGTCACTGGCGAAGGGCACAGTATCGCCGAGGCGTGGTGCCTGGTCAGCAAATTAACTATCTATTTATCTCATAAACTAAGAAAAGAATTTTAGAGAATGGGAATAACACGCGAAAAGATTGAGATGTTGTTGCCAAGACGTGTGCCAAACGGTAACATATTGATTGGTCATGTGACTGGTACGGGCAATGCCCACCAATGAGTTAAACGTGAATTCTTTAGGCGTAGTTCAATTCTCATCCTAAGATTTTTACCCATTGATAATTTTGTCATACTTCATTTACCCTTACCTACAGTATCCGTTCCTATGCGTAGCTGCCGCCGGCCAATCCTGGTAGGGCCTGGGTGGGGGGCTCTACCAATAACATGGGCTTATCGGAAGTAGTAGTTTTTATACTAATTCATGCCTATGTTTCAACGTAATAAGGACCAGTAATATTGTGTGAAACAGTTTCAAGCTCTATTTAATAAACTACAAGTCCAAAAAGAATCATTGCAAATTAATATGAATAGTGTATGAGAAATTACAACCGGAAGAGTGTCAGCCCTTCGCCGCCGTATCCATGTCAATTGATGAATTTACGCAATAGTCTACCGCTATGACGAAAAAGAGCAAGCGGTAGCCAACACCTGGTCCACAAATTGATACCTTATTTGACAACAATTAGGGTTTAAAATGGAACAATTCGCCATGTCAGCGACGATACGCGTGACGAAAGCAACAGCTAAATCCGTTGTGGCGGCGCCTAAAATAGCACTCGGACGCATTTCTACGTCCTTACTGCAAATAAATTGATTTTTATGATATGTATTTAAGTGCTGGCCACACCGACAATGGCCGCTATAATGTGCAGATTCCCGCCAAAAAGTGACAGCTATGTAGATTTTAAGAAAATATGTAATGATGATTTTTTTATAAAGTCATAAAGTAATGGTCAGTTTTATAATAAAGATGCCGTTTAAATTTTAAAAAAGTGCTGTAATAAATGTTGGTTCGTATATTTTATATCTTATGTTAGTTTATAATTGTTACTACTTTGTCCGTAGTATGTCTGTAGATAAGTTTATGTTACCATAGACAAAAACATTAATAGTACATCTATTTACATCAACTAAGGTATCTGTATTTGAAATTAACATGGAAATTATGTTAAAATTTCGAAGATTCCGTGTCTCGTTTTTTGCAATGATAACTTACAAACAGCATGAAAAACTATGTCTAAAGGAAATGAGAGCTTCATATGCAGTAACTAACCAGCAAGTGCTGAATAATTTTATTTTTCAAATAACATGTTTATAAGTTCAGCAAATGTTGAAGAAATCTTGTAGTGATGCTGAACGTTCAAAACATAAATAACTCTTGTACATGCGGTTTAGTTTATGAGAACTCGACGTTTGTTTTGCTGGTTTCAGTTAATATTGTTTACATATCGATGTTTATAAAACCGATTCCAATATTTTAAAAAATCCAAGGGCTCTCCGAAATACATATTACACGCCGCAACAGAATTAAGGGCCAAAAATTAAATCTATATACTTAATCAATACTTCTATACTAATATTATAAAGAGGAAAACTTTGTTTGTTTGTAATCAAATAACTCAAAAACTACTGGGTCGCATTTAAAAATTCTTTCACCATTAAAAAGCTACGTTGTCAGTGAGTAACATGGGCTATGTTTTATATTTTTTTTAAATCTCACACAGACGGAGTTGCGAGCGAAAGTTTTGTTATAAAATGATTAATTTCTCTTAAACTGGTCTTATTATTTCGCTTAATTCAAACCATATTATCTAATCATAGCAACATAAAATCACAAATTAATATAAGCAGAGTCGAATGAAATTAACATACATAAAATGGTAATAAAACAAGTTTATTGATGCAAGCTTAAATACAAGGTAAGATCGACCCTTCAAACCCTTGGCCAAGCCTTTATCTGTGTACAATACATTTACTTCGTGCTGTAAAAACGGGTTGTGTCGTGCCCTTGCTCTCACAATGGGCACGAATGAATGCAGATGGGAGCCGCTAGGGCCTCTATAGCCATTCATTCGGCGCACAAACAAATTCAACGGAATTGATTTCTATAAAGACCTTCAGTCATTCGCTCAGATTAAGCGTTTGTACAAATTTTTAGAGATCATTCGATCGGTAAAACATTTTTACTCAACCCGCGGTATTTTTTTAAATGAACTTTTAATTTGTAGTGTACTTATCTTTATCTATACTATTATAATAAAGCGTAAACGCACACTTCTTTGTTGCCTAAGATGTCAGCAATTACAGCATGTTTTTGAATAATTCGTTTTTTAATAAAAAGCCCTACACCTTCGTCACGCTTTAGGCTACATATTTTCACGCCATTAAACTTAAATTAAAATATTTTGGAAAAAAACCCTAATGTTGGAAAGAGACCATAAGTTGCTGCGAACATCATGTCATTTTGACATTTGCAATTGATAATTTGACAAATGTAAACAATAAGTTTGCAATCTTGCATCGATAGATTTCTGTTGTTACGTAGATTACTGCTAAGTTGATAGGTTTCAGGAATAGATTCAAAAAAGGGAAATAAGTTTTGAACTTTCAAATTCCACGAGGAAGAAGTCGCGGGGAACCGCTAGTAATGTGTAATATCTAAGACAAATAATGAAATAAATAGATTAATAGACGAGAAATTAATTATTTTCAATTTTACTAATCTAAATATTGCTGTATTCAGTAGAATACATGATTTATTTAGAGTGTCGAATTATCTCTTTCAAAGTCCGTGAAATTAAAGTATTTTGCGGGGACGTATATCGTTTATTGAATTCTATCTTAAATAACATTTATAAAAGAATGAAATGAATCGTAGAAGTTTGTGAAGACACGTTATGTAACACATGAATACTATTGAACTTTATTGCGGTTGTTTATGACCGCAACAACTTTGACTTTATAATGTCAGGTGTTAAAATTATGCAATTTTTAAATGAATGCAGACAGATTATTATAATCGCTGGCAAACAAATCTGTAGCTATGAAAAAAATGTCTAAATATTATTTTAATATCACCAAAATGAAGAATTAAATCTAAATTGAAATTCCTACAATTAATATTATAAATCACACTTGATAATGCTTCATTTTATGCAGTTTTCAAGAGTTTTAAATTCAAACTCCTTACATCGAGTAGAGTTTGTACACCCATGGCCAACTAGATTTTCATGAGGTTAATGACATACAGGCTTACTAATCTGTGGTCTACTTGTCTATGGTCCGCTATAATTTGTCTCGAGATGTAAACTAAAAAAAATAATTTCCCGCCAAATGTATTTGTGTTCCTCCCCAGTAAATCGTAAAGGTAATTGAATCCAGCTGCTCTAAGAAACTATAAATTGTGGGAAAACAAATAGATCTTCAGAAACTATTACGTGGTATTACATCTTTGCAAGTTTACTTTCGTTTTAAAAGGTGAAAAGTGGACGTTAAATTTTTATCTCACACTTTTATTGCATTTGTAAATGTATTGTTCATTTAATTAATTAATATCGCTTATAGAATACTTTGTTATCGTTTTTAACACAAATAAATTTAAAGGAGACATTGATATACCGTACAAATACCTCGTGACCTTTGATAAAATAATCAATTTAATTAAAACGTCCCAATTCGTATGATTAAATAATATGGATTTCTTTGCAATTCTATAAATATACTTGATCGAATAGAATACATACTCGTACATGCAGATCAGTGCCGGGTATAGGGCGGTAGGTAACCGTCTAGGGCGCTAAAAGAAAGGGGTTGCCATAGAAATTTCGCCCAGGGCGCTGGTATTTGTAAAATATCATAAAAGTGTAATATAAAGAAGCTTTTATATCTAACTAATTGAAAACAGATAAGTAATTAAAAGAAGTATTTATAGAAATTTATGCTGAAATTCTTTTCATCGTGACATATTTATGAGTCGATTTCAGAGTATTTTACGAGTCGATTACAGTCAGTTGAGCGTAACGCATCGCATGCGAACATAATCAATTACTCCATTTATTCCTCCGGCCGATTGCAATTAAAAAAACAACCGAAATACATTCAGCCAGTGTTTGTTATTGTTTTGTCATTTGTTTAAAAAAGTCAATGGCATTTGACCTTGGTTAAGACATTTAGGTAATTAATAATGGAAATAATTGATGCAGTTAGCAACGAGTAGATAGAAATGTGATGTAATAAACAGATTATCTTAATACAATGTATAATGGAATTAATAATTAATATGAAGTGTTACAGTACAGTGTGCAAAGTAAGCAAATTAACTCTAAAATATAAAAAAAAATATGCTCAGATACAAAGGAAATCTTACCCCATCTCTTCGGCGTTCTTCCCAAAATGCTTCCGTCACTGGGGTCGTAAAAAATTTTTGCAATTCTATCCCCAAAGGACCTAGCAGGGGGCGGAGCCCGAGCCCATTCTGACCCATCCACACCGTTTGATTTACTAGCCATTTGTACACGTTTAAGATTAAATAAAAACCAACTTATGTCACGTTACGATAGAAACATCGATTTGCAATAACGAGCGACTACTCGCATCGACGGTTTATATGCGACTGCGCGTACGCACGCAACGTGTGCGATGTCGGACGCACGTGTGTGACGTCACGAACATGCAAGTGCCGACCCATAGACTATCGACTGATGTTTACCGAATTTCGCTCACATTTCGTAATTCGTATCAGAAACACATGTGCGTGTTAACAAGGGAAACCTAAATATTTTATGTTGTTGATCGATTTCTACGAATTGAACACTCTAAAAAAAATGTTTCAGCAAGTTTTAATTCAAGAGTACATACTATAGTTAGGTAGCAATGTAAGGTGAATTAAAAGATGGTACAATAGTCTTTATTGAAGTGATGTTGACGTCGGTCCGTTTGCACAAATTGATAGATTTGCAGTGCATGTGATCTCATTTCTTGTTCCATTGTTATGCAATATTATCTACATAGTTCAGTAGTTACGCTTATCGTAATAGCTTCCGGGTTCGAATTCTTTGTTAATGACTAATATCGTTTAGGCTTAACTTCCATTCGTCGGTTTAGGCGGTTTTTTGCAAAGTAAAAACTATAAACACATAAAATGAAATATAAGAATTTGATTTTTGAGGATTAAAAAAAATGGTATACTATTCTATTATTTCAAATACACTATATAAATATCATATTAGTAACATAAACTTGCACGGTTAGTTGACTCAGCATGATTTCCCGTGTTTCGTTAACAAGTGTTAACTTCACATCATAACTGAAGCACGCAGGTCAATATGCACGCTGTACGTTCGTACATATAATTATGTATATATACTGCATAGAAACAATTGTTTCTCAAAGCCGGTAGCTATCGTATGACCTTGTAAGCGTAGTGGTTGTTGCTATGTATGGGTTCGAATTCTTGTCTTTTATTTTATAGATTTATGATATCTAATAAAATATCCATTAACGACAACGATAGACTACGAAAACTAATGACGTGCTTTTCTTTTTATTTAATGAATATATTTTATCTATACTATTATAATAAAGCGTAAACACAAACTTCTTTGTTACCTAAGATGTCAGCAATTATAGCATATTTTTGAAAAATTATTTCTTTAATGAAAAGCCCTACACTTACCTCACGCTTTAGGCTATATATTTTCACGCCATTACTTAGGGGGTAAATATTTTACATAAAAATCCTAATGTGGAAAAGAGACCATAAGTTGCTGCCAACATCAAGGAAGCAACATTGCCAAGTTTGTCATGTTATTTTGACATTTGCTATTGATAGTTTGACAAATGTAAACAATGAAATAAAGTTTTCATAATTTCATGCGGATGAAGCCGCACGGGAACAGCTAGTACCTAATAAAACTGGCTATTTATACAGTTAAAATAACAAAGCCTGAGAAACTTATTAAGTTCTATAAACAAATGATATTTCTTATGTTAATATGTCCGACCTATTTCCATAATAAACATGAAACCAGTTAAAACCAATAGTTATTTTATAAAATACTTACCTATAAATCTATTGTCATAGATGGTGATATACAGGATGTTACTAAAGTGGACGAAAAAATATTTTTTTTTGCCCAAAATTTTTTTTTAACGTATAGATAAAATATAAAAATTAAAGACTTTCCTTTAGTCAAAAAAGCTATTACAGCAACCTAACGCTTGAATCAATACAACGTTGGCTTGAACAACTCACTCTGGGGATTTGTTTTTTTTTAAAAAAAACAACATTTGTAGAAATTATCTCTTTATTACACTAATCTAGCTTACACAATATTCGAGGCACACATTGCATTATTTTAATTATTTCATTCATTGATTGTATTAAATCTATACATATAATATGCTGCAAAGGACGGCTTAACGTAAAGTATTAGGTACACTAGGAAAAAATAAAAAAAAATAATAAAAAATACACATGTCAAAGTGATAAAAAAAAACTACAACTTAATAGCAATAGATATCTTAAAAAAATATTCTACGTAGCTTATTTCTACGTACTCGTTATAAAATTGCCATAATTAGAGATTCTTCTTAATAATAAACACTACACATGGACGGATATAACATACCTAAATACATATATGTAAAAATAAATATATAGAATGTAAAAATGTAAAAAAATCCAATCTTAAAAAAAACATGTAAAAGATTATTTAAAATTCATTTTAAGTAAAGTCAATTTTGTAACAAAAAAAATATCAGACTGTAATTCAGTCTTAAAAAAAAATTGTAAAAAAAATTCTTCTCTCATGGACGGACACTTATTCACAAAAAAAGAACAAAGTAAACTAGTTTAACTTAAATGCATTTTTTACATTAAAAAGTCTAAAAAATTCAAACTTTATAACTATGATATTTGTATCCTAAAATACGACTAAATTGGCCGAATTGGCAGTTTTCGTTTAAAAAGTTTATAGAAAAAATTGACACCAATTGCCTCGTGAATTTGAGAATACACTTGAAAGATCTAAAAAATTTTTTTTAATATTCCGCCATCTTAAAAATCAAGACAGCACCTATGAATTTTTAAAATGCATTTACAATCAAATTAATGTAAGAAAACATTGAAAAATCGATTCTATAAGAAAAAAAATCCATTTTTTGCTGCATTTTTTACAATTAAAGTTTCTTAAAATACATGTCTTTCTTATATTAAGTGATAATTATATTTGGTGATACAAAAATAGGTATAAATCTACTGCAGTCTATAAATAAATGGACGGTTCACTAAAATACATAGAATAAGAGTCTAAAATTTACTTAATTTTTTCACGCTTAGCTGGATAACTTCCACTGGCCAGCTACCCTTTCCAACGTGCCAGTTGCCAGGCCAGTTATTGACCAATTGTACTGGTTATGTGTGAAATGCGCAGTTAGAAACAAGGAAATTGGACAAAAAGTGTTTATACATTACTTTACGACATAATAATGAAATATTAAGTATATAATATGGAATGTTTGGAATACTTCTATTTTAATAATTTTATTTAACTTCACAGGTATATAATAATTCCAGTCATGGCATAATAGTCTTTTTTCATTTCTCATATTTTACATACATAAGTTAGGACTTTTCTCTGATAAATGTTAAAACATAAAAATAATCGAGATTCTTTGTATTTCCATAATAAAATCGGTGGTAAATTACGATTTATTAATAAAGCATTATTAAAAAATATATTACACATAAAATATATTGCATAATATAAATGCATATTGTAAAATTGTAAGCGAAAATAATTCGCTAATATTAAATCATTTATTTCAAAATTGGATTATCTTTAGAAATATTTCACTGAGATATTATCACGAAATGATAGTCAATTTATAAAAAAAAAGATGAGAAATGCATCCGTTATTGTTACAATAAAACAGACACATTTCCGTACAATTAAATAGTGTTACCAGCACTAAATACTATTCAATCATAATTTCAAAATGGACGACACCTAATTTCTCCCGCCTGTCGTATTTGATGTTTTTGGCCCAAGCTCGGCATTCGATGTTAATCACTCTACCAGCTGGAAATAAATATTTATTTATACACACAAGAGAAAAATTTACATTTTACTAATATTATAAAGGCGAAAGTTTAAATGGATGAATGTTTATTAGAGTTTGCAGTCTGAACCTGAAAGTATCTCGGTGAATACATAGTGGCGGTGGCAGATACGTGGAGAAAGATATGGAAGAACATATAGGCCAGGGATGTTGCGAATATTCGCATCCGCATCCGCAAATGCGGAACTTCCGCATAGATTTGGACATCTGCATCTGCATCCGCATCCGCATTAATCAGTGCGGATGTTCATGCGGATGCGAATATCATGCAAGTAGCCGGCAGTGTTCCTAGCGAACAAGTATTTAGTAGCGCGGGTTTAATTTATGAACCTCTGCGTAATCGCCTTGGACCAGAAAAGGCGGCAATACTCCTGTTCATTAAGTGTAATGCTCCTATTTTTAAATTTAATTACTAATTTGCCAATAGGTGTTTAATATATAATAATGTTTGATTAATTAGATTAAAAATATTAATAATTAAGTCATCATTGTTTTAATTCTTCATTAATATACTTTAGTAACATAATAAAGGCTGAAATGATGATCATGGTGATGACGATTTACATAATATCTTAACATCCGCATCTGCATCCGCATCCGCGGATGTGAGCCCTTAAAACTCCGCATCCGCATTCGCATCCGCGGATGTGAAAAAATCAACATCCGCAACATCCCTGATATAGGCTACTAACTTTTGTTTTTTAAATTCCAAGTGGATGGTGTCGCGGGCTAAAGCTAGTTGACTTGTAAAGAAAAGTGGTCAAACTGCACAGTAGTTTGTTGGCGAGACACACAAATAGTTCAACTACATTACAGATAACAAATGAACAATAACTACTACAATTCGCCAAAACAGCGAAACGGTTGTTCGACATTGGCAAATGCGTTGCCTACTTTCAAAAAACAGACAGGGACGCACAGAGACTAGTTATTTCTCCTGTCTTTACCTGCCACAGTTGTTAAAGAACACATAGATATATAGATATATAGTATAGATGTTACTTTTGGGGCGCACGAGGTGCAGCGCGACGAGCGGGCTGAGGTAGCCCTCTGCGTTGGTGTAGGGGTAGAAGTAGCCGGGGAAGCCGGCGTAGGGCAGGTAGCGCAGCACGCCCACGTTCTCGCGGTCCGCCGCCGTCTCGCCCGCGCACGACACCCACACCATGTTCGCCTGCACACACATCATTTATAATAATAAGCGTAAACACACACTACTACGTTATAACAAATTTCGTAACAATTATAAATAATTTTTTAAATTTTTACTTCGTGTCGTAGGATGTCAGCAATCACAGCATATTTTTAAATTATTCTTTATTTCATAAAAAGCCCTACTCTTACCACACTCTTTATGCTATTTATTTTCACGCTATTAAAATTAGGAGACAAATAAATCGGAAAAACCGTTATTCGAAAAAGGGACAAACTAAAATCCAATAGTAGCAATGAATCATTGCCATGATAACGGCAATTGTTAGCAAATCGCAATTTATATTAATAACAGAAAAAAAAGAAAGCTAAAATAGCAGAATAGGCCACCTGAGGCACACTCTTGCCACAGGTTACTAGCGTCAACCAGTTTTACAAAGTGCACCATAGATATGTGACTTTTTATGCAATTTTAGTCATAGAATAGTTACATAATCTCTGTTGATTTGCGTGAGGTTCTTGATGTGCGACTGCAGCTCTTGCGGCATGTCGCGAGGCAACGCCGCCGTGTCGTTGTAGAACTCCGGCCGCCAGCCGTAGATCCTAAACACGCACGTTGAAAATACACTCACTACTTTAATACTTAACCAACTGAATGTATTACAGCCTTATTTATAAACGAAGTAAAAGTTAAACTTAGGAATAAACAGAATAAGCAATTAATAGAATTGGCTCCTGCAGCACAGGGGAACCTAGTGCAGGAGCCAAGACTCTCATTAAATGTGTATATTTTTAAAATGAAATAATAAAGGATTTATTTATTTTTTTATTAGTACAAATTTTGCTTATACTCAGTTAATTCCTAAGTTTAACTTTATACCGCGTTTATTTGTAAGGCTGTTACAGTCCAATACAGAAACGAATTCATAAATTAGCTTAGTAAGCGCCGTTTGCAATATAATAGACTATTTTTAGTTTTTTTCAAACAGACTTTAAGCAGCAAGTATTCGACTCCTATATATTTCTATAGTTTAATAAAAAAAATCTAAAATAAAACAGATTTAAAACAAACATGACAATATAACATACTTTAAAATAAAACATCGACACAAATATATTCTCTTGTTTTATAAAATGATTTAAAAATAGCATTAAAGTTACATTATCTCTTAAATACCAACTGGACTATGTAACTACAATAAGCATATGAAAACATAGTATTGCTACATAAGGTATATAAAAGAGACATCAGCAGGATGCAGAGATTAACACAAGTACGGCATCCCGCACCTCGTGCCGATTGCATTTCTACAAACACGCAACATGCACTATTATTATAAATCGGAGATAAAACTTGTAAATAGAAAAAAATAGTTTTAAATATAGAGAAAAAAACGAGGTTTTAAATGTCCTGAAGCCATGGTACAGTCAAGACTATTTGCGGTGTACTATTTACAAATAAAAATGGTTTTCAATGTTTTTGAAATACTTAGCAGAGAATAATTAAAAGTATTTACTGTGTACCATTGAACAACCATTTTTCTTACATGTATTTAAAAGCTGCATCTTATTGCTTATTTCGCTTCATCTTAATGCGTACGAAATGTTCAAACAACTAGCTCTTCAGGGACACCGCCTGATATCCTGATTGTACATATAGTAATTTTTGTAGTTGCTACCTCCTCACTCACCTGTTCAGCTTCAAGAAGATGCAGGGCGATGACTTATGGAAGGAGAAGTGGTTCTCCTCGATGCAGGGCTCCCAGGCGCGGATGTCGACGTCGCACACCTTGCCCGGCGGCGGCGGGCTGCGGAAGCCGCAGTTGAAGATGTTCTGACCCGCGCCCGCAGTCTGACCCTTCATCTTGTACACTATTAACATACTAAATTGCTTCAAACTGCCTTAACTAAGTCACTTATAAACCGGCTGTTTTTATTTAACAAGGTAAATTTAAAATCGGAAAATTGCATGTCAAGGTCATCTTGTTGCCCTTATAACTATGTAGGGTTGGCACAGTATGTACTCTTCCACAAATCTCTATCAGCTGCGTATGCGAATTCACTCACTCTTTTACACAATCCATCCATACTTTCTTTAGTACCTTTGTCGTATTTTAATACTACATTTATTGATTACAACTGATCTAATTCAGCAAGTGCAGTCATTTTTGGCAACTAGTGACACCTTAAACATTATTTCTAAAATAAATAATACTAACCTTTTAAAAACTCGATAAGTTCATCCTCCCAATACTTGTAGCTCTCATAGCTGGTGCCTTTGTACCAGATGAGCGTGCTCCGGACATCGGGCGGCAGGGGACGAAAACCAAGGCCTGGGCTGGTGCCAATAAGGCCCCGGTCCTGCTGCAACCGCGGCACGCGAGGGTTGATGAATTGCTCCTTGAAGGTCACCATGCAGATCATGAAGAGTGCCCCCAGCGTCACATAGAATATTATGTAGAATAATATGATTTTACCTAAAATAAGGTAAAATAAAGATTATATATTTAATCTTACAGATAAAACATGTGTATTGCAAAATATAAATATAAAAAAAAATTAGAGCATATGCCCACAATGTAATTGTGGAATTAAAAAAATAAAATAACAAGTCTATATTGTCTTCCAGGCTTTTCTCTACATCTATGTCAAGCTAATTTTATTGAAATCCATTCAGACATATACAAGATATCTCCTAACAAACATTCATCCATATTTCTAACAAATTTTCGAATTTATAACATCAGTAAGAATTAGTAAGTGGAGGAATTGATTTTTGTTTATTCAGTTAATTAAATGCTTAAGTAGCTTTATTAGAAATTGTATTGTTTGTAAAGTCAATAGTAATTATAGAAAGCAAAAGTAAGTGTTACTTTGACCTAGCTATTGTATGGCTTCACTGGGATTAAAGTCGGCAGCTTATTAAGTGATTATTATTTGCTATCGCTGTTTGACCTAATGATGTCTCATTTATCAATCATTAACAGGATTATAGGGCTTCCCCAAATTAGGAAATTTGCCATAAAATTCTTCACATCAAAATAAATTAATAAGGCAATCCTTCATTTCAAATTTAAATACAAGCTTGTGATATTTTTAACTAAACTAAACTTTTTAATTACACAGTTAAAATTCTTCTACAAGTTTGTAACAACTGTTGTAAAATGAATCTTTTATCTTGTTCAAGTAGAAAAAGACTATACAATTTCTTATTTTCAAAACTGCTATAATATACAACATAAATAATTATTTGACCATATCAGTTAAACGAAAGGGATGGATGATATAGTTATTTGGAGAACGAATATCTGGTGTGCCGACCCTATGGGAGTAGGACAATTTAGGCGAGATGATGACATCAGTTAGGGAGTAGAAATGTGTTTATCCCAGTATACTTAATAAAGTAATAGTAATTTTTTTTTCCCAGCCATTGCTATGGAAAAGAACAATAACAGTGTTGTTTTTTTTCTTATAGTTATTTTGTTCTAGCAAAGGAATTTAGTTAATTTCCATTTCGTATTATTATTTATAAATACAATAAGTTATCTTTAACTTGTTGACATCCTGTTCTAACATCAACAAAACACCCTAAAAAAAGCCACGCCCTCAAAACAAGCACGCTTTATCCCTTGTAAACAACGGTTTGAATTGAACGCTATTCAATTATAACAGAAATTGAAAGATCACTTACTACCGTTATTAAAAAACAAAGATTAGCAGAAAACTCACCCCAACTTTCAGCTGTTCTTCCCAAAAAAGCGCCCGTATTCGAATCATAAAAGAAATTTGAAACATTTCCTCTTCTAATAGACCTTGTCGGTTTTGTTTCAATCTCGAATTCTTCCAACTTAGGATTTCGCGGCATCTTATTAACCAATATTAATATATGTTCTGATAAGTAAATTGTTTCAAAATAAAATAATTCGAACAGTGGACTTTCCACAACACCGCAAAACCGTTTTTGATTGATAACCAGAGAGTAATGAAAGGTGATTGAAAATTATAGAGGTAAAGAAAAAAAAATCTAGTAGGGTTGATTATACCAAAGATTATAAACCTAAACCAACAGCTTTAAAGAATCTATGCTAATAGTGAAATGTCACTGCATTCTGTCCTGTCATTGTAGATTTGTCAATGTCACTGCTGTCATTGGAATTGTTCTTCAATTATAGGTCTTGTTAGAGTGAATTTTTAATAATTTTCAGTAAAATTGTACTCAAATTCAATATCTTCACTCTGCAAGACACCGTCAAAGTTAAATTTAATTTAGAAAGCAGGCGTATATATGAGATTTTAAAAGAAATATAAGTAAATTTACTTTTAGAAAACATGGACTCTTCGATTTATAAGATTATTGTAATAGTTGGATTTATTTCTTTATTTCATTCCGCATTCTCGGCAGCACAGCGTAAGATCTAACGATTTTCATTGATATTTGATTTAACTTTAGTCAATCAGTTTAAATTAAAACGTTTGTTACAGATCGTACGTACCTAAGGATCACATCACAAGAATTCACAACTTTACCCTTAGACGTAAGCTAGTCAAATTATTCGTTATCGCCGTAAACAGGTTTTATTCAAATTAGTGGCAAAAACTTTGTAGTTACATTACATTGCTTTGTAAATAGTGTATTGAATCTACCTTTCATTCAGTTATGTCTTCTTATTAATAACTATTTCAATATACATCTACGAGAAATTACTATTATCATTATTTTTAGCCTTTGCTGTAAATTAATACTTATTCAATCTTAACTCCTAAGCTTAAATGCTAAGTGTAGGTGCAAGTACAGTATCTCCACTGGGTTGCCTGTAAGAGATTTCAGATGAGGCCACTCTTGCATGAATTTTGTTGTAGCTTAGTTTTACTATTCTATTGAAATATTTGTGCTTAAAGAATTAAATAAATATGTACTATATTCAATTTACAGATTGTACTCCAAGCAGTATTGAGTTTGTTTGCTGTAATGTGGGGTGTACTGAATGTAGCTGGCAAGCTCAGAGAAATACCTGCAGCGGCAGAATTAAACAACATTAATTGGGAGACACAGCGTAACCTGCCCTCTTTTTACATGTTCAACCACAGGGGAAGAGCTCTTTCATGTAACTATGTACCAAGTCCTAGTAAAAGTGATTTAGATAATTTAGAATGATTGAAATAAGTTAATTTATAATCTGCACCAAAAATAGATAAATCTGAATAACTGGAAAACCTGCAAAACAATATTGCATTAAATTAAATCATATAAAAATATACAATGTAGAAAAAATGTAGCCGTGGAAATCAATAAAATGTAAAATTAATAGGCTAATGGTAAAGTTGTAATAAAATATTGGAATATTTAAATGTCTTTTTCTAAAATAAGAACATAAACACCTTGTATATTTTATAGTATAAGTTAAATAAGCAATCAGTGACTGAAATTCACTAAAATAGCAAAGCAATTGCTGCCCATAGAAATATATGAACATATTAGAGAATATTTCGTTATGAGATGTCAAGTTAAGTATTTTGTACAGCATCAACTTGAGAAGTCTAAAAGACCCTATTACAATGTACATTTTCTCCTTTCTTTATAAGAAAAGGTAAATGCTGCAAATTCCTTTAGTAAAGAAACTAGCAAAGTGAACTGCTTGCTTCCTTTTAGTATAATTTCATGTAGGAAAATTTTCTTGTTCATTCTGATACTGCTAAGATTCCCTTAATTTTTAATTACGACATCTATTGTGAAAAGATTACAGTTGGATAATTAAAAAGGGTAATATAAAAACACTGTCACTAAAAATAATCTTATATTAAAGTAAAATAGTCAAATATATTGTGTCAACACATTTTACACTTTTTACAATGTTTACTTAATCCATAACTATTATGAACCAACATTATTCTTTCAATCAAATATCTATTCTGTTACAAAGACATATATACTCAGTTTATACATATCAGTACAATTAACACACAGTTTAATAACTTGGTCTTACTCATATATTTTTTGTTTAAATACAATGTTTAGTCTTGGGTAGTACACATATGATGTACTAAAAAGTAATGTTACTTGACGCTACAAAAAGTAACATTACTGAATGGCTCTTGTTAATCGGACATTTGGCACTTTTTCGCCTTGAAAATCAAATCAAATAACGAAGTATTTGATTTGATTTGCAATAATGAGAATCAAAAGTGGATAAAATCATTTATAACTAAATTTATTTTTGCTAATATCATATGTTTGACCCTGCTTAAAATTTGATGTAACATAATCTATAACCCTCGTTATATTCTCTTCATGTATTTTGTTCTCACAAATCTGAAGTACTAAAGGTACTAAAAGTGTGTACTAGTATGTTTTCCCAATTGTACTAGTATGGCGCGCACTTGCAGATGTTTGATTAAGCCCAAGACTAATGTGAATGTGGAAGATATAACAATGTTTTAAATTTATCTATGTTCTATGCAATACTCTGCATATTTAAAAACTGTCCCGACACAAACAGGATTGAATATTTTACCATTACAAAATGTCCTTATACTAAACACTTATCACTACCACTCAGTATCTGCCGCGACCCCCTCGGAAGCCACCTCCTCCGCGCCCCCCGCCGCCCCCACGACCAAAACCTCCGCCACCACCGCCACGGCCAAAACCACCACCTCCTCCTCCGCGACCAAACCCGCCGCCGCCTCCGCCTCCGCGGCCGAAACCTCCGCCCCCACCGCGATTGAAACCTCCGCCGCGACCTCCGCCACCCCTATTGAAGCCTCCACCACGGCCACCGCGCGGACCTCCCCTCCCAACACCTCTCTTGGCACCCGGAGGCTGTGGTAGGAACCTCTTCAACGGCAACAACTTTGCGGGGTCGATATAAAACTGCTGGCCGTCTTTGAAACTCTTGGCCTTTATATTCTCCCCGAGTTTCACTGACACGTAGTAGTCGCGTAAGTTTCCAAATATCTCATCTATTTTTCCTATCTGTTCCTTATTTTCTAAGTAAATTGGAGCGTTGAAATACGGTACGTCTTCTATGTCCACTTTGCAAACTAAGTCATCTTGTACCGTCCAACCGTAGTGGCCCAGGGGAATGACTGTCTCCGGCGGCCCGAAGTCCTGCTGCCTAAAGCCGCCACCTCCGCCGCCGCCTCGGCCTCTGCCGCCCCGTCCTCCGCCACGACCGCCGAAACCACCGCGTCCACCGCCACCTCCTCTGCCACGAAACGACATATCTAACAATAAAAGTTTAATCTAAGATCAAAAATAACCTAAAATAACTATGTTTTCATCACACGCGTTTTTGACTTAAAGGATTTTTTTCAACACGCTGCATAACGAAGCAAAAGTTTCACAGCCTTACAGCCACCCTCTTTTCCATTGAAACATGTAGGCATGTGAAGATTCTTATAAATTGCGTAAAAATTAAATTCTTATTTTAAATAATAAGAGAAAATGCCTGGTTTTTAAATAACGGTAATTGAAACATTAATAACATTCAGTCGAAAAGCTGTAGCCATTTTCTTTGTTTTCTTTTGTCAGGTTTATTTTTATTCTGTATACCAAATCGAAATGTCAAGATTGTCAAGTGTCATTCAGCCAGCCAGCCAGTGTCAATTGTCAAACAACAATTTAAAATTGAATATCGACCGAAGTTACTTATTCCTTTTCAGACAAATAAAACAATAAATGTTAATGAATACACTTATTTCGTAAATAAATAATACTTTTATTACGTTAAAACCATGTCTGCCTTAAATGAAGAAATAAAAGAACTTAAAAGGAGAAATGTCGAACTGGCAAAGGCTTTGGAGGACTCGAAATTAACGACAGCGCAAATAGATAGAGAAAAATTGAATCTCATCCGAGAACGAAACGAGTTAAAGTTAAAGTTGAATGTAAGTTTGTATCTTTATCCATTTACTATGAAAAACACAAGGAAAACTGGGTGTAAAATGAGTGAATACATTACAGAGAATTCGCAGTGGCGGTGCTGCTCAAATACGTCAATTGGATGCTGCACTTCAAGCTGCGATTCAGGAGACACTTACACATTTGGTGCAAGCGTCTAATGCGGTCGCGAGGACTATGGAATTGGCTAAAACATACATGCGCGATAGACAAGAGCTTGACGCGTCCTCTCCTCGCTGGAGCAAGCTAAGTGGAACTCCGGCTGCAACAGAGAGGGAGAGGGTAAACAGAGTTCATCCTCTGCTGATTGGTGGTCAGTCAATCCACCCTGTGGTGTCACTCAGCAGAACTTTATTCAATAGTAGCAACTCATGTAAGATATGTTATATACTTGAAAATTTTAGTTTCATTTGTTGCATAATTTATATTAACATAATTTATATCTCTGTAAAGTAGATGTTGTTAAATATTTTATACATTCTAAATGTCTTGTATTTCAGCATCAACAAACAGGAGTCCTAATCAACAAAACCGCAATGTCACAGAGCGGGCTGTCCCTATGCATGTCTTACAAGGTACAAATTAAGTTTTTCACTTAAATTAGAGTAAACAGTCTTTAATTCACTATCCACTTAAAAAACTGGTTTAACTAACTTCAATAAGGTGGTTCTCATTGCCAAAACCACTTTAAAATAAATGTAAAATTAGTAATAGCCTTTGTTTAACTAATAGGAAAGTAATGTATTTTGCTGGGATCTAATTTATTTTATACTAGCTGTTGCTCGCGACTTTGCCTGTGTAAATAAAAAAATATAGTCTATGTTACAGATAAATTTAACAGTGAAAGAATTTTTAAAATCGGCCCGATAATTTTTAAGCTATTTGATTACATACAAAAATACAAATCTTCCTTCTTTATTATATTGGTATAGATAGATTTTTTTTTTTTCATAACAAAAGGTGGCATCGAGCGAGCGGCCACCTGAATCCGCCAAAATGGCGAAGCAACCGCTGCCCATAGACATCCGCAATTGCAAACGTGTTGCCTACCCTTATCCGACTGAGAAGGAGATGCACATAAAGAGGATATTTCCCCTACTTATGTATCTCCACCTCTGTCAAATCCACTTTCCCTTCTCATCCTCTCCTTATAAGAAAAGAGTGGTAAAGAAAAAGGGACTTAAATTAGGGATTTATTTTACCACTATAGCCATTGCAGCTGAACTAATATTGGCAACTGAAGTAACATTCTAAACAATTCCAGATGTATATATACCACTGACAAGGATAGATGCAGCAGAACTGATGGGCAATCAAGAAGACGATGAGGCTAACAATATAGAAAATAGTACAGAAGACATTGGTCTGGAAGGTATACAGCTTAACATCATTTAAACAGCCAATTTTTTTTTAACATGAATAAACCAGCACTTGATCACAACTCCACCTAACCTAAGTAAAGATGCAGTTGAAGCATAGCTAGCATAGCTATGCCATAGAGTCCGCTAGCTCAATAAGTGCTGATTCACCCTGCCCTTGATGTTTTTCGGATGTACAATTTCATTCAAATTGGACCTCTAATTTTTAAATTAAAATTTTGAATTAAAAGTAGATTTTCGAAACATTTTTCACTGAAAGAATTTATTCCAAAAAAAACCGAACTAATTTTGCCTGGTTTGTTCTCTAGGTTAGGTATTTATAGATTACTAGCTTTTGGCCGCTCGTCCATAGCCACGAAATTAAATAAAAGTCAGTGGCCATGTGTTCTTCTAGACTATGTTCTACATCTATGCCTAAATTCCTCTGAAAGTTACAGATATCCGAACTTTCTAAATGTAAGATTTATCTATGCTTTTAATGCTGTTTTAAATTTCGTATTGTAATTTCAGAGAGTGGTGAGCAGGAATTGGAGGAATCACAGAATGGCAATAATTCTGCATGCATGAGTCCGTAAGTTATTGTTTTGATATATAAAACATATATTAGTCTTAAAAGTAACTTCATATATTTATAGAAGGTTATGAAACAGGTGATTGAGGCATCCCCACTACAAGTTTTATGTTCCTACTCTAATGAAATTAAAAAAGAACTCTTCGTCAAATTACTTTACTATTACAATCTAACCTCTTACTTTTTACTAATATAAATGTGAAAGTTTAGATGGATGGATGTTAGAGTTTCTCTATGAAATTTGGTATAGACATAGAGGATACTCTGAAAGAAGGCATTGGCTACTCATTTTTTTTTAAATTCGCGGACGGAGTCCCGGGCGAAAACTAGTTAATTATTTTTTTTTTTTTATAACATAAGATGGCAAACGAGAAAGCGGCCACCTGAATCCGCCAAAATGGCGAAGCGACCGCTGCCCATAGACATCTGCACTTGTAGATGCGTCGCCTACCCTTATCCGACGCAGGAGGAGACGCACATAAAGAGGATATTTCCTCTTCCTATGCATCTCCTCCATCGTCAAATCCATTTCCCCTTCCCATCCTTTCATGAGAAAATGGTGGTAAAGAGAAAGGGACATAAATTAGGCCTCCGGCACCACAGTCATCAGATGAAACATGGCATTAATTATATTTCTTTGATAGAAGTAATTGGATATGTTTTCAGGCAATTACTTGAAACGGTCATAGAAGAAGAGGAGAGTGATCAGACTTCACCCGCCAGGTATGTACAACTGCAACTGCCAATTTCATATTCAAATATTTCAGTTTCTTTGGAAATTATGTAAAAATATTCCATTTTCAGTGCAAGTTGTGCGGACAACCCGTTAGAAGGTCCTAGTTGGTTGCTTGACGTCCATAATGATACAAGGGTATGTATCGCAATAAATTATTTAATACTAGCTTTCGTCCGCGTCTCTTATCGCGTGGAATTAAAAAAAACAAAAGTGAGTAGCCTATGTGTTTTCAAACTATCCTATACGTCTATGCCAAATTTCACCGAAATCCATTCAGCAGTTAAGACTACAAACTTTAACAAACATCCATCCATCTAAACTTTCGCATTTATAAAATTAGTAAGAAGTAAGATTGCTTTTTATACTTTTTTAATATACCATGTGACCATAGACAAGCAGGGCTCAGAGCCGCGTGTCTCTGGAGCCGGACTCCACTACTGAACTGCAGGACATCGCAGGTAGAGCTTCTACGTCTGTTTGCAAGCAACAGGTAATATCATGAAATAAATGCCGTTATATTTTGTGACAATTCAGTAATAAAAATTGTATATAGAGTGAAGCGTCGCCGGTGGTGGGGATGGCGGGGGGCGAGTTCACTCCCACCCTTCGCCGCCGCAAGCGCACCTCCTCCCCCCAGCAGCCTCCGTCGCGTAGAAACAGGTATAAACAATAAAATAACTTTAAATGTTATATCAAATTTGGTTTAATTTTAACCATATGGTCAATTTGACCATATAGAATGACTTTTATTTACTTTTCTCAGTATCAACAAGCGGGTCCTAAAAGTGGTTGTCGCGAAGATGAAATTCGACGACGAACTGAACCCTACACCTCCTAAGAAGATGAAGCCCCAGTCATCACCGCGGCCATCACCTACCCCGCAGTCTGTTCACCAGAAGGTGGCTAAGCTGTCAGTGTCCCAAGAACAGGTTGAGGTGTTATCACCTATTCTGCAGATGAAGGTCCGGCCCAAAGTCGTGATAGACTCCGCCTTGGCAGAAATGACGCGATTTGACGCCCCCAGCCCCAACGGAGCGACTGACGCCCGCGTCATCATCCTCTCGTAAGTATTGTCACATTTATGGGAATGTTCCCAATACAGAGGGATTTTTCAGGATTATATCTTATATATTCCAATAAATATCTTTATATCTATCGTGATAAGGTTGAATTTAGATTGTTCAGTGCAAAAGATGGCATACTAGCCATTGGTGGCTATATATACTTTTCGTTATTAAAGGCCTGTCTCACCAAATTGTAAATTGTGTGATAACAATCCAATGTTTAAAACATAAGATAGAAATATCGGATTTTGTTCCCTTATCTGACAGTGACGCCATTTTTAAGCTATCTGTGCCTCTATCAGCCAGTGGTGGGACAGGTCCTTACAATGGTAAGTTAGTTGAAAAAAGAGTAGAGAAGAGCGAGAAGTGTTGTAGTTGTATTAATTTAAATATAGATAGTATAGAAATGATACTTATTAATAGTGAACCGAGCACACCCGCGTGCGGCAGCGAGGCCGCGCCGCGCCGAGCCGCCGGCAGCCCTCTACATACTGACAATGATATACAAACACGCGTCACGCGGCGAGACACCAACAAACCTAGAGATACGAGTGCATCTCGGCGGGACACGAGTGCATCCCGACGAGACACTAGTGCCACCCGACGAGACACGAGTGCATCTCGACGGGACACGATTGTCTCTCGACGTGAAACGGACGAGAATCGACGTGACAGTCGGAGCGTGACACCAGAGAGTGACAGCTGTCTTGACAGACAGGAAGGACGCTCTAGAAGACCGAGAAAACAAGTCGTGTACAGAGAAAAACCGCTCAATAGGTATGTGTTTTAAAATGTCTCATAAAAATATATTATCTGATTGTACTTTTACATTATACAATACAATAGCTTGAATAACCGTTACTTTTCTACTATTTTTGCACAATCTTTTTAAGAAACTACCCGCACTGTGCTGAAATTTCTTCAAAGTGAAATTGTAAATATGTGTTTTTTTTTTCCAGAAAATTACGAAGATAAACAAAAACTAGATGTTCGTTGCGACACATTTATATCCATGTATATATGATGTTTAGTATATGAATGTTAAAAATAATGAAATATCAAGGAATGTTAGTAAATTACGTAGTTTAAAAAATACGTTAATGTTTTGAATTGTCAATTATTAATTACTAGTTGTTTATAGCGACTTTATCTGTATTGTGAAAACTTTATTGTATTGTTTATATTCTATGAAACTTTTAATTTCAAATGTCAAAATTAAATACCTAAATGACAACATAGGCCTTTTGCCATTGGATAATGTTGCCATGGAAATCTTTGATGCTATTGCCTTGTATATTTGTCCCTTTCTCGCATGATTTATCTACCCCCGATTTAAATACCTAAAATAGCTTATAGAATATCGTAAGGGGCTTTTAATTAATATACTGTGATTTCTGACAAACATAACAAAGTTTGTTTACCCTTTATTATGTTTTGTTGTACTTATTACTAACTAAAAAAACAGACAATGCTTCTTTACATCTATTGTTACTTTTTCTGCCTTTTTCCTTGTTCTTCGTATATTTTTCTTGTTTCTAACATTAATGAATTCTAATTTAAGAATATATTTCTTTCGTAAAATAAGATGTTGTATAATTATATCTGTTTATTTTATATTATTCTTTCTAAATGTATGTACTTAATAATTTGTATAGATAGATGCTTTTACTGTTTTCTAGATATTTAACTTGACTAATTCATATTTCTTTATCTCTTTGAATCATTCTTAAAATATAGTAAAAAAATTAACCCTTTCACTGAAGCAATATCCTTTTTATGGACTTACTAATGTGCATGAGATTTTAGATTTATTTTCCAAGCTATATAAGGTATTTCTAATTATTTATAGGTTATGTTAATTAGCTGTCAATAGCTAAAGCCCACTATACACGCTATCTTATATAAACAATAGGATCGTGTGTAGCGGGCCTAATGTGGATTAAAAATTGTTTAAACACATATTGAATTGTATCCTGTAAGACTGATAGACAAGTTTGTTTTATTTATTGTAGGAAAACTAAAACAAAATGTGTAATCTGTATTTAAAATTCCTTTTGATTAGCTTAATGGATTTTAATTTAATCTGTTAATATTCTCATGTTGTAATTGTCTTCTGTAATGTTTGTAACCTTATTATTTATAAAATGCATTACAACATTTTATTGGTTTTTTAATTTTTACCTTGATATGTTTTTTTTAGAATTGAAATAACGAAATCAAGTTCGATATTTAGAATACTGATTCCCGCCACAATGGCGCGCTTATTCACAACACTTCTGAATGACATTGACAGATATAAGGATTAGGGATGGGATGTGTTTGCAAATGTTCTAGTGTTGTCCTATTACTTACCGTACCGTTTTCTTGATAGTTTGGAATGATAGAAATAAAACTACAAAACTTCTTTGTAATTTACATTTTAATGTAAGTAAAATTAATTCTACGTATACATTTATCAACAATAATTTAGGGAGATTGTAAACATTCAACTTTAACACACGTCTATTTTGATTGGAAACAGTTAAAACGCGTTCGTAAAATCGCACATATTTAATTAGTATTCATATTAACCAGAATTCGCCAAAATGGCAAATCAATATCTACCCTCAGTACTCTAACACTTGCAAAATCACCAATTAAACATTTCCAATAAACATATACTTTTTTTTATTAAGTAATACACATTTGTTACCAATCTCCATACATTTCGACTTAGTCTCTGACCGGTATAGATTTTTTAAAATTATATAATAAATATTCAATTTAAAGTTCAAATTACATATTAAACAACATATAAGGCCCCAGGTAAGGCAAAAACATTGACATTTCCTGACCTAATATTTTTCCTCTTACAATATAAAAATTATTTAATATTCAAAAATTCAAATAATTTAACATTATATTGAACTGTCTCTACTGTGAACTTTTAAAATATTAACAAGTTTTTTAACAAGGCAACATTAACGATTTCTTAGTATTTCAAGATTCAAGATTTTATAGATAATAAAACATTCTCTACAAGATCTCGATTTAAATATTCATAGAGTAATAAATAGAATTTCAGAATAGTCTTTAAAGTAAACATACATTATTTAGAGTAAAAGGAACTTAATACTTTTAAATCTTGCTACAATAAAATCTGAAATAACTTTGTTAAAGAACATTATATACTATTTAAATATAGTTATATAATTAAGAGCATTTTATTTAACAAACAGCAAATAGAAACGTATATGTGATAAAACTACATAGTATTTGTAAAGTTTAACTATGGAGAAAAATGACAGTTTTACGATTTATTATTTCTCAGTTTATGAAAACAAAATTATATTACGTAAATGTATTTATTTGAAAGAAAACTTACAAAGAAAATTTTATAACCTAACTAAATGAGTCTATAACGAGAAACATTTCCCTTACGACGATTTAAATAAGGAATGAGTTAGTGTCCGCGTCAGTCTAACTGGCGGGCGGCGTGGGGGGCGCGGGCGGTGCGGGGGGCGCGGGGGGAGCTTCTGGCGGCTGCAAGGTCACCTCCACGCTCGGCTCTGTTTGGTTCTAGAAAACAATACTAAATAAATTTAAAAACATTTCTTCTTATATGTATGTACAGTCAGCTTCGTAAAAATTAAAACATTTAGAAAAAACATTGACACTTCTTTGGTCTCTTACTTTTCTTTGAGTTGCAAAATGAACGTATTCGTTAATATGAATTGTTAGTTAGAAGCGTATGGATTGATTTGGAATTACATACATACATATTTTGAAGCCGAAGAGATATATCATACAAGTCGAAAGTTTTGTAAACGTCTACATATTTTTAGCTGACTGTACATTTTTACTGGCTGTAGCCTAAACTCGTCTCAAAGTATCGCACGAGACGCAATATTAGTTATACAAGCCGTTTTTCTCCGTCTACAGAGATATGCACAAATACCTTTTACAGGCATTATGCCCGGTTTACACCAATACAATTGGTCAGTAGAGCGCAATAACTGTACTAGCAATCTATTGGTATACTGTGCCATGTAAATAAATCCAACCATACAATTTATGACTGGTGAACCGCGCGTTTAAAATCTTGTAACATATGCTGAAAAGAGATAGCGAATGTCTGTGTATCTCACTTGCAACTCGACTGTGGCGGTGGCGGTGGCGACTGTAGTGTCGTTGTGCGCATGCGTGCGGTGCTTGTGTCGGCGCTCCACGTGACCGAAGCAATGCTCGCACTCGTCTTCGCTGCTCTCGGATTCAGACTCGTCAAATCTACGCGGCTTCTCGTATATGCAACAACCTAAATAGAACATTCACTGAGGATTTAACCAGTAAAGCAGGACTCACTGGCGCCAGTTCGTAATTACCTTATGCCAGTTGAATCAGCGCTGGAAGCATTATACAACAAGTAGCCCATACTCTGGTACAGTAAGTTTCGTGTCAGCATCGGTTATGTTTAAAATCTTAAACCTAACTGTTTAGACTACAAAGAAAACACTTTCGCCCGTGACTCTGTCCGCGTGGAAAAAAACATAAGCGAGTAGTCCATGTGTTCTTCCAAACTATTCTCTACATCTATACCAAATTTCATCGAATTCCGTTGTTTAGGCAACAAACTCTAACAAACATCTATCCATCTAAACTTTCGCATTTATATAATACTAGCTCTTCCCGTGCGACTTCATCCGCATGAAATTATGAAAATGTTATTTTATTGTTTACATTTGACAAATTATCAATTACAAATGTCAAAATTTCATGACATGATGACAACCTTGCTTCCTTGAAGTTGGTAGCAACTTATGGTCTCTTTCCCACATTAGTGTTTTTATCCAAAATATTTACCCCCTAAGTTTAATGGCGTTAAAATATATAGCCTAAAGCGTGACGCTAGTGTAGGGCTTTTTATTAAAGAAAAAAATATTCAAAATATGCTGACATCTTAGGCAACAAAGAAGTGTGTGTTTACGCTTTATTATAATAGTATAGATAAATCTGATTATCTTCCAGGTTTCGGGTTGTGGCAAATACTTTTTTTTAATAATATACAATTTGTTGTTGTTAGGACTTACATTTGGATTTCTTCTTGTTCATGTGTTCATTGTCGACAGTGTCCTCGGTCCAGCCGACTTTCTTGCGCGGCGCTGCTCGCGTCGGTCGCAAAGTGATCACCGTTACTGGTTCTACGTTCGCCTACAAACATAAACGTTTGCGAAACATTAAATCTAACATTTAGACCTTGGTTTCACTAAGTAGCTACTCGGTTGGTGGAAACAAGGTTTAAATCCGTCTAGGTAGGCGCAGCTGTTTGTGAGTTTTATTTCCACTGGCCCAGTTTCAATTGCTATACAAAATAGCGGTCAAGTGCTTATGACTTAGAAGTAGGTCTCAGTAACAAGGTCCTTAATTTTCAACAAGAAAAAAAATTATGCACAATTTTATAAAGAAAAAATATTAAATTATTTTATGATTTTCTATTCACTCTATAAATGAAATTTTACTCTTCTTCTTACTAAATATTTTTTATATTTATAAATACGTTAGCTGTCGCCCGCGATTCCGTCCACGCGAAATTAAAAAAAAATAGCTCATATTGTTCCATACCATCTACATCTTAGGCTACATACATCCACTTGACCATCTTAATTTACGCATTTACAATACCATTAAGAAGTAAAATTTGTTGAGTCTAAATCGTTACCTTATCAGTTATACAATTTGTGAACATTATGTCAATGGCCTAAATATGTTTAAAATCCGTTTAGTTATCAGTAACTGTTGATTTTGTTATTCATAATGTTTAATAGTAAACGTAAACAAATAAATTGTTTTATCCAAAGATGATACAGTTTTTTTTTAATATATCAAAAGGCGAGCGGCGGGAACACCGAGATGATCAACGACGGCCACGGACATCCGTAACACCAGAGGAACCACAAATACGTTGCCGGCGCTTAATTTGTGAGAGTCAAAATGGCGGGTGTAACTTAATTTAGTTATAACTAGCTGTCGCCCGCGACTCCGTTGGCGTGATATTAATAAAAACAAAAGAAAGTAGCCTATATGTTCCAGACTATCCTCTACATCTATGCCAAATTTCATCCAGATCCGTTCAGCCGTTTAGGCTACAGACTCTAACAAACATCCATCCATCCAAACTTTCACATTTATAATATTAGTATGAAGTATGATTACGTTCTAGGGAAGGTACGTACGAACGTACGGTAAGGTTTTTTGAGCGAAGTACTAAATAGTACATTTTTTTAGTACGTGGTATAATTTAATTCGCAATGGTACACCCGCCATCTTGACTCTCACCTTAATTTTCAGTTCAGTTTATATCATTGTTTTGTATCACCTTATTGAACTATATTATCTAGATTATATTCTAGATTAGCATGTTGTGTTTAAACAGCAGTACACATTAGAAGTTACTAGGAAAAAATATAAAAACCATCATATAATTTATTTTTATTCACTTATATGCTTGTGTAATACAATGAGTAAAACAAATATGAATTGATAAAAAAATTTATTACAAGTATTTACTCTGCTCTTCAGAGAGATATGTCATATTTATCTTCTTGCTATCTCAAATAAATATGATTATAAAATTTATCTGATGACCTTTCCTTCAAAGAGAGCATTAATTTTAGCTTCATGGTATCCGAGAAAATTTGCTAAAACATCCCTTGTATGTTGTCCTAAAATTGGGGGTGCAGTCCGAGCGCAGTTGCCCCCCGCACTATACACAGTTGGGGGTCCAACTAGCTTCACAGACCCTGCATCTGGATGAGGTAGTTCTTTCACCAGCTCTATAGCTTTCACATGCTCATCTTCAAACACATCCTTCATAGTATTCACTGGTCCGTTGGGGAATGATGCATTTTTGAATATCACCGCCCATTCTTTCTTCGTTTTCGTAACAATAACATCGCTGATAATTTTAATTAATTCATCTCTATTGATTACTCGGACAGAATTATCTATAAACCTCTCATCATTAATTAAATCTTCCTTATTAATAAGTTTACAGAGATGTGCAAATTGCGCATTAGATCCAGTTCCTATAACAATTTCGCCATCTTTGGTTTTAAATGCTTGATAAGGTACGATGTTAGCATGAGCTGTTCCCCAACGTTTGGGCTCAATCCCACAATTCAAATAAATGTTAGCTACATTAATCATACTTGATATTTGTGTTGATAGCAGATTACAATCAATCTTTTGTCCTTTGCCTGTGTTTTTCCGATAATACAAAGCAGTCATTATAGCTCCGAATGCATGCAAGCCAGTTGTGATATCAGTGATGGCAACACCAGGCTTCACTGGGTTACCATTCTTTTCTCCGGTTGTATTAAGTAGTCCACCCATTGCAGCTGCTATCACATCATATCTGAAATAGATAAATTACTTTAAATAAAAAAACATCTTTGATTCAACTACAAATAAGGTAAAATACTTTATACTGTGATAATACTAAAATATTGTACCAATTAATTTTTCATGTAAAAATAATAACTCACCCAGGTTTCTTAGCATAAGGCCCGGTAGAACCAAAACCAGTGATTGCGCAGTATATTAGCTTGGGATTTACTTTGCTCAAGTTGTCATAGCCCACAGCCAACTGGTCCAACTTGCCAGGCACAAAGTTCTCCACCAATACATCACATTTCCTAGCCAAGTCATACATTAAGTTTTTACCTGAAAATAAATTTCTATATTAGCCTCTCTAGAACATAGGCTTGTTGTTATAGATTTTAAGTAATTATATCTTATTATATGTATTTAAAATGAGTACAGTTATTGCAATAAGGGGGTAATTATAAAGCTAGTACAAAGACTAATAAGAAAGAGTGAGTTCATCCACTTTTTTAATCAAACTGAAAAGTAGAATTTAACATCAAAGCCTCAATTACATAATTACAGATGCAGATTGTAAAATACTGCATTTATGAAAAGTTTACTTACCCTCATTAGATTTGAAATTAACACAAATACTTTTCTTATTTCTATTAACAGCCATAAAGTAAAAGGAATCCTTGTTTCCTTTTAAAAAAGGTGGTCCCCACTTCCTTGCTTCATCACCATCTAAGCTCTCAACTTTAATTACGTTCGCACCCAAATCGCCTAGAGTCATAGTGCAAAATGGGCCGGCGATTACCCGCGTAAGATCTAACACGTTAACATCGCTGAGTAAACCCGCCGGTTTAGATGAATAATTCCGTCTAATAACAGGTGCTAACAAGCTCAAAATACGAAAACTAGGTTTTAAAATATACGCGCCAAAAGTTTTAGTAGAACCCATTATGATTGCGAACGTAACAAAACAGCCTACGGACGCATCGAGCGCCTACCGGTTATCTAAACCTGAAGTTAGTTTGTCGTATCGTAGTAATAACACATCAAACATAGAAGATAAGGTCGTGTTTACATCTACACTATTATATTACCTCTTGTATTTGTGAGGAGACCGTCGTAACCGCAGTGCTTGTCGTAGCCATCTCCTCAGGTTGAATCGTCCTCTGGCGATCGCCCATTAAAGAAGTGTTTGTTTGTTAAGTGTTTTCACATTATAATCACGCCTCAAGACGGTTTTTTACCTAAGTATCTAGTCACGATTTAGAAATAATTCACTTATCTATTACTATTTATAGGTGACACACATTTGACAAAACAAAATGTCAAAATTTTTGTTTTTTCCAATTGTCAATTTTTGACAATAGCGAAAAGTGTTGTCCGAATAAAATATTTTTAAATCAAGTTAATGCCTTTTAAAAATTTATGCGGTGAAATACGGCTAAAACAGTACTTGAATGCTCATATAAAATAAAATCACTTAAAATGTACAAAACTAGACTTTGTTTTGTTATATAACAAAGAATCTACACCTCTTCTTGGAGGGACGGAATAGCAACGGTGGATAGAGGAGGGGAGGGGTGATGGGGTCATGACATGACACCCCCCTGAGCTGGTTGGTCAAGAGCTCAAAAAAATTTATTTATATATTTTGTCAAGCTCTTGACTTGACCACGACTATGTGACCTCCCCCTGGCGCCAAAGCTGGATCCGCCCTTGCGGTATAGCGATAGTATGTTGACGACCCCAGAGGAGTGTGGATGAAAAGTCAGAAAGGAATTATTCACCGACACTATGATATCCCCTAAAAATCGGGAAGTCACTTTATTTATCATGTAATTATAAATAAAGTGCCTTATTGGTCATACACTGCAATACTTTTAAATGACATCTTTTTTGCTTTAGAATCTAGATAGGCGCATTTTCACAAAATAACTTTTCAATAACATAGTTACTTTTATTTTAAGAAATGGTGCCTAATTTGTGCCCTTCACCAGTTAGCTTTACATCAAATGATTCAATTACTTTAAAGATTTCAACTACTTTAAAGTAGATATGACGATGATTTTCCAAAAAAAACAAAGGATTAATGAAAGACTTTAAAAGATGTATGTATTTTTAACCATACTAAAAAGATGAAAATCTAGCATAGCAATAAACTGAGTATGAGGTAATAATATTCACAGAAAACTATAATAAACTAAATTCTGATGATAGTTTTCCATCCGCAAGTTTTCATTATTTACTCATCGCATAAAAAATTAAAGCACTTCGTGACGGTGAGAAATTTTGGAGTTTTTCCAGGAATACAGTTTGATTTTAAAATAAATCAAACTCTCTTACGAACGGACTTCGGTCTTTGCTCCGCGAACTTATTTATACAGTTATTTTTGTATCTATTTACATTCGAAAAACATATACCTAGTTTTACAATTATTTTCGCTAAATACGTTTATGAAGTAATGATTGTCGAAATTACTGCAATGCAAGACAAGTCTCGGTATCTTAATCACTGAAGAATATTGCTCATGCACGGTACACCAGCACAGTTGGTCAGTGGCTCTCAAGGACTGGACTGATATTTAACTGGCACATCTATGACTGGCCGGCTTAACTGTTCAACTGTACTGGCCAAGTGTAAACCACGCTTTAGGCTGGCTGGTTTAAAGAATAAGATAAATAACAAAAAAAAATAACGATTATTTTTATTTTAAGTTTTAAGGTTAGACTGAAATTATATAATCTATAATTCTGCACCTGCAAGTATTCGGTATAATTACGTACCATTACGATTTAAGAGAGCTGTAAAAAACTATGTCTGATCTGCATTTTATGACTGCGACTGCTATAAAATTATTTGCGTCGCGAATATAATTGCGTTGCTACAAACATCACTGATGTTTTTCTCATTTCGTGTTTACATTACGAAATGTTACTATAGATTCAAGACTCCGGTAATAAACAGATAATTTTAAAACCCTCTATAACATCCATCAAGAGCTCAGAAAAAAAAAAATGTCATTCAAGGGGTTCGTCAAATATAAATATTTTTAATCGAATCCGTTTCAGTAACCGGCCGTTAGCCTCATACATAGTGCGGTGATCGTAATATTTTCCAGATGCCGGAATCCAAATGAAAATAGAAAAAACACAAGAAAAATGTCTGCGATTGTTGCGAGGCTGCCGTTTGATGTAGGAAATATTTGAAGTTTATAGATTTATGATACTTCTGAGAGACAAGCCAGATTAAAGTACTGAAGTTTTGTAAAAAGATGAAAATCGTGTAAAGAATTAAGAAAAAAAATTCTCGATGATTTATTTGATACTGATCCTCGAACCATAGACGCTTTCAACCATTATCTTACTTTTTAAATATGATTAGTCAAATACTTTGTCATAATTAAACTGGAGATTTCCTAGAATTAATTATCATTATTTACGAGTGTAATAAAACTCATAGCTTTCTTGAAACAGGACATCCTGTCTGTAACACTTTGTGTAATGCTGTCGTAAATTGTGTAATGTAAATACATTACATAAATTATATTATATCCGGTAGCTTAGTAATAAATATGTCCTAATTCTGATAAATTCATGAAATATTAAGGATACGTTTTAAAGTGATGAAATCTCAACCTCGAGTGGAATGGCCGCCATCTTGCCAAAAAACAAATGACGCCTGTCAACGAGATTTCGCGCGAAAGAAATGTTTTATTTATTTTAAAGTGAAAATTCTTTAGGAAATTTATGTAGTAATATAATAAACTTATCGATTGCCATCTGTGTTTATTTATTTTCGGTGTGTTTGTGCGTCTGCGCACTATTGGCAGAGCGGTTCGTAACTCCGGATGCTCGTTATAATCTGGCCCACTGTGAAAGAAATCGAAAGTCATAATTATCTTACTAATTAATGGCGTTTGGATGCCAAGAATTACTGACGCTATAATAAGCCAATCAATATTTATTTATGTGTCAAATTTACGTATAATATTATGAATCAAGTTTTTTAGATCAATATTGTGGTTCGTGAAAATTTTTTTAACGAGGAGAGAGCAAAAAGGACCATACTTTGGGTTGGTTTTAATAAATTGATCAATTCTTAATAGTGACATGTATCCAACGTAATATTTCTATCATGATGATGGTAGAAAATTAAGTATGTGAATTATTACTGTTTACAGTAAATTTGTCTCAATAATATCGAAGGCTTTGGCATCGAATCGCTGAGATTATTTTGAGGCTTATGCTTATGAGTCACATATTGATGCCCATTTTTGAATTTGGAACGCAAAAAGTTGAAATTAAAAAGGTAACGGTAGTGATTTTTTATTGTTGACTTTTGTTTTATTTTTTTTAAATGCGTACTTTTAGCCGATATCATTATTCTTTTTTTGTAACTAAGTAACTACTTAAATATAAAGGAATTCAGTGATAAGTAGAAAATTGTGTCTAAGAAGTCGAATTTTCAATCCTAGCTATATTGAATAGAGTTGAAATTAAAAATTATTTAGATAGAAAAAGTTCGTTCAACGTACAGAGTGAGAATACAATACATGAAGTCTGAAATCTTCACGGCCGATATATTCCAGCGAAGCAAATATAGATCGGCTTATCATTCTCCAGAAATGAATCGACAGGGCCGAACTCGGGTAACGGAAATTTAAATGTTTTTTTTAATTTTTTTATTTAAATGAAAACAAAAGTAAACAGTAAATGATCTAGGAATTCGTAAATACATTGTATAAGAGCAACGAACGCGAACATTTTGGCAATGACATCGTATTCTGTAAAAAGATGTAAACAAATCCGACAACGGGACACAACTCTAATGATTCTGTACTGGCAGGCGATAAATCTCGAATACGTTGCCAGAACGAAAAATAGAATGTTGTCGTGTTGTTTGTTCTGTACATATTAGTTTTGCATCTCCGAGGTGCTCAGTTGCATCTGCACAGTGAGCGAGGAAACTAGGCACAATGGTCAACCATCCGTCCGAAGGGCAGAGCTTGGCGGCAACCTACTGCATCCTCTTGCTGCTTCTCGGGGCACTCTGGATGTTATACTCCGTCTTTTAAACCAGTAAGTACAATTGTGTGAATAACAAAATACTTATTCTTCCTTTCCAAATAATTGGTAGACTTCAGTTTTATATTTCCTTCATTTGGTTTTAAGTTTAAGTTCTTTTGCTAGTAAGTTTTAACGTTCTCTGCGTTTCAGGTCTGAAGATTTTTCGTAGAGTTCTTAGGTTTCTTTTGATTTACCTTCTGCATTTTTTTCTGATTTTTTTAAATCGCAATAAAAAAAATTGTAAGATCCTTTTACGTCCGAGTATGGCCCAGTGCTATGACGTATGATTCCGGGCCCGGAGCGCGAGGATCTTCCAGCAGTCAGTTGCGCCTGCCGGCTGCCTGCTCGCCGCACGCCGCTCGCCGTTGCAGCCATGCCGATCAACGCGGAGACCGTCAACCTGGCGGCCACTTACATGATCCTGGTCATCCTGCTCTTCCTACTATGGCTCATCTATTCCACCATCTTCTAAATCCGACACTCTGTAATATGTAAGTGTACAGGTCTTTGTTTGACTGGAAGTTGACAATATCGTCTACGGAAGGTGTTAGCTTTATTGTACTTTCTGTTTAGCCAAGGCAGCCGGACTCTAGTTTGAGAAGTTGTGGTTGGTATTACATATTGTTTTATTTCGTCGTATCTAAATAATAGTTGAGTGTTGTCGTTATGTCCATCAGCGCGTCACCGGCCGCTTCCAGAAGGCTGCCGTCAAAGCAACGATTCTATTATTGTACACTCATATTTATAAATGTGGATAATATTTGGTGTGAAAGAGGCGTGGCCTCGCGTAGGCGATCGTCGGCCGGAGACAGTTTCGTGGGGCGAGTCAGTTTTCTGGAGCGACTTGTCAAGTGCAGAGCCGGTGCCGACTGCAACATGCCCAACCACGAGACGACGAGCCTCATCGCCACCTACCTCATCCTGGTCCTGCTGCTTGCCAGCCTCTGGCTGCTCTACTCCGGAATGTTCTGAGGTCTTGTACTGTGATGCTTCTATCAAATACTTTTACCGTTCTTAGTGATTCAAACGTACGATTTTCATGATTTTAATATTAATCGTGGTGATGTAGAATTTATATGTTACGGTATGAGAATCGCTTTTTAGTTGGACTCCTGTTAAATTTAATGAAAAGAAATCGAAATCAATATAGGAACTAGTTATAAAATAATTCAAGTTACTGCTATGTACGGCAGTTGTTTGTATTTAACTGTGTTTAACTTAATCTGACAGTATAGTATGTTTCTTTGCCATTAGCTCTATTAATAAAAGTAAATGAATGGATGCGTTGCTAGTTCACAAATAGCAGAGCAATGGACCGAATAATCGAGAGTGATCATTTATAATTAGACTTGCATTCATTTATATCATGTCGCTTTAAATAAATAATATCTCAAGCCAAAATTCAATGATATAATTTCAGTTTCTAATTCTATATTTGTTGATGGCGCCGAACTCCCGATTAAATCTTCCGTTCTAAAATTACATAAAGAATTTAATATCCTATAGGTGATATAGTTGAGTTTTTTTTGTAATAAAAATGATTTTGTATTCGTGCCAAGTGTTTTTTAAAACGTTCTGCGTCGTATGAAACGTAATCGTGTGTAGTAAACATGTCTGTTCTTGATGCCCACATGCCCACAGACAAAATAAATTGCGTGTACTAAAAGGTATTTGAAATGAAAGTAATTTCCAATGTGAATAACTCATCGCAATCATTTTTTAACGTCATAAACCTCAAACTTATTACACTCGCGGGACTTATAGATACCCTCAGGGACCAATTAACTCTGAAATATATATCTACTTAATAAGGTTACTGAGTACATTTTAAAATTTGCTTTTTTTTCGTAAATGCAACGGAGTGTTGAAATTTGGCAATAATTTAATGTGATTTATTATTTTATTTTTTTATACTTTTGCTTGATCTCGGAAAAAATGCACATTGCGCCAAGTTTTTTTAGTGTTATGCTATTGAGTCATTATATTTATCTCTGTCTCAAATAACGTTATTATCTGAAGTCAGTGTTCAATCGCAAATTAGCCATTGGTTCAATTTCTAGTGTTTTTTAATTAAAGTGTATCGTTTACCGTTAATTAAAGATAATGTTCTTGTAAAAAATTGTTAGAAAAAAACTATAAAAAAGTTGACGATAATTGATGCTAGCAACACTTCCTAATTTGATCTTTAATCATTGTTTGTTTAATTTTTATTACAATTTTAATTATTATTTAAAACAGATATTTACGTCATGTATTTACGATAAATGAGGCGATCGTAGTTTTATTGCAGTCGTTATATTAGTTTCGGTTTCAGCTGCTTTTTGCAAGCTCATTAATTCTCTCGCTCCGTTAAAATCCGACATTTAACGTGCAATGAGATGTTCTGTAATTACTTTATATTACAGGATGTTGTAATAGTTTAATCTTGATTATTTTTAATGTTTTATTTTTAAAGCCAGCGTTTACTAAGTTTTCTTTAACTTCAGAAATAAGTATTAAATAAACAACATTGTAACATATCAAATATCAACTGCTCATATTTAAACTCAGCCTCTTTTTATGGTCTTAGAAGTTTTAGTTCCTAACTATACATTTTTATTTTTATTTTGAACAAACCGATTAAAACACTACTTTAAAAATAACCATCGTGAGTGGCCGTGGCGGGTAAATTATGACACACAATAAAATGTCCGACACGTCCGGAAAATTGTTTGAAAGCGATTGCAGCATTCTCAAAGCGGCTCCGGTATGCAGAAACACATCAATTATTCTAAGATAAATCCGAACACAAAAGAAGCGACTATTAATCAAATTTCAAAGATGGCTGTCGACGTGTTCTTTGACGTTACACTGTCAAATATTTGACATTGACAGGATAAGTGACAAATTGTTGAAAAATGAGGACAGCTGAATAACAATTATGATAAAAACATTTTTAAATTTCGAACAAAAGCAAAACACAGTCTTAATAATCCAATTAGCTAATCTAGGTAACATATCGCTTTAGTTCCTTTTTAAAAATATTTTACGTGTGTAGTTAGATTAAGCGTCTGTTGTAATTTAGTAGGAGTTTAATTCATCAAAATCTATAACCGTGGTCTCTTCTTCGTCGCCTAGCGTTTTCGATTTGTCTTTACTTCAAATTCTTCAAAATTGATTTACAAATATATTCGCCCTTCTGATTCCCAGTTTTCATATAAATGTTTCAAATTCCAGAATGGTTTATTTTAATGTTGAACAGAATTCCAGCAACTGAATATACTTGGCAAGGACGCGGACGCCATCTAAATGCGTAGCGCGGCCGACACGACACCCGCATATCTTACGAAAAGGGTTTCCCAATGAGAATTGACGGTGAAGTCGTCATTGATAGATTTATAAATAGTTTTTAGGACTTCTTTTTCTATTGGCAACGTATGAGTCTAAAAAATAATAGAATTCAGTAGAGATAAACTCTACCAATATAAGCTCAGTATGAGAAACTCAGGTAAAAATACAAATCAAATGACACTTTATTATAACTAATTAAAATCGGTTAATGCGGGCACAAAGAAACAGTGACTTGACTGTTATCGAAAAAGACTAAACCTTTTGGATCCTATCAAACAGGACAAGAAGGAATAACATAACGAAGATATAATCATCAATAGAGAACAGTTGAAAAAACGCGCAGTACATTCCGTTATACGCTAGTAAAACGGTCCGTCAATTACAGAAATATAATTCCAGGCCAGGTTGTATCCCCAAATATCCCTGGTACTATCGTCATTCGACTGATGTTCGTCATTACACGCAAATAGTTGCTGCATTACGAACATAAATTATAGCATGTTATAGCGACATTTGAATCAAATATTTTTCAGTTCAGTATTTTTATACGGTTGCGTAGTCATATTTTTTAACACGCAAAGTTTTTTCAGTCTTTTAGAGTGTTGTAACTATAATGTATTATTAAAAATATTCACACAAACTTTCAAGGGCATATTATTAACGTGGTCATTGTTGGTCATTAGAAACTCAATAACCGACTTTACGTATAGTAAATAGATAGATATTTAAGAAATATACGTTTGTTACAGGTGTTGCGGTTAAAACTCAAGAGACCAATGAAGCAGGTGAATAGTAAAAAAAAAACTAAAATGAATGTAACATAAGAGAGCCGTAATTTTAGTATCTAAGTTATTAATTTAAGTATGTCACATACCCAAGCATTTAAAAATCCGTTAGACCGGAAGAACATCGATGGAAGTAGCTCAAAACTGCCAGAAGACCATAACGAGTAGACCGGAAAGACCACGGACACGGACGGTGCTGGGCATTCCAATTTAAAAAAATCTCCTGACCAACGAGGCCTAGGCCGCTAGAAAAGTAAACAACGAGAAAGACATCTTTGTACTTCAAATTAACATGAACGACACGTTTTTTTTGTTCCTAGTTTGTAATCGTTGCTCGATGCGTATCAACCTGTCTTTAGATTATCGTTATGGTGTAAGAGTTTTGTAATAAACGTTGTTTTTTAAGTATCTTGCATTCTTTTATTCCACACTCAAAACCCTCTAATATTATAAAGGAAGTAATTTGAAATAACCGTAGAATGATAATGTCACTTAACAAAATAACTATACAAACCATATAGTTCTAATTACACAAGATACATACGGCTTTTAATTCATTTTTTTAACATAAGATGGCAAACGAGCAAACGGCCACCGGAATCCGCCAAAATGACGAAGCGACTGCTGCCTATAGACATTCGCAATAGCAGATACGTGACCCTTAATTGACGGAGGAAGAGACGCACATAAAGAGGATATTTCCCCTCCCTATGCGTCTCCTCCACCGTCAAATCCAAGCTCCCTTTCCATCCTATTCTTATGAGAAAAATGGTGGGAAGAAAAAACACTAAAGTTGAGCCTCCGGCACCACATTCAGCAGGCGAAACGCGAAATTGCTCACACTTCACGCCTGTCTTCTATGTGGTCGTGGTATTACACCGGGTGTGCCAGCCCATTCGTGCTAAGATGTAAAGCGGTCTTTACCAGTTATATGAACAATCAAAAGCACTCCACAACAGACAAGCATAAATACCTTCACATCAGACGTATAACAGGCATGGTTAATAACTATGTCAAAATCAATTGGCATGCAGATATTTGATGCATCAGTACAATGTTATCTTGCGAATCGGCAGTTGAAAATAACCCCGATCTGCGGACTTGGGGCTTGGGTCAGCGTAAGCCATTCGCCGCTAACGATACGCCAAAATAGTTCCAAGTTGGCATGAGTCCAAATCGATGCTTGTTATTGATAAATATTGCCCCAATACATCCACAGGCCTTAATGAACAATGACTAATGTTTTTTATTGTAAATGCATCTAATTCTAACATCCTAATTAAAGTACATAGGAATTAATTTAAAAAATGAAAACCTATACTATAGTTTGTCTAAATAACTTAGATTAGTTTGATAAATGACGCATATAAAGGACCGAATTCAATTTATATAAAGTTAAATGCCATACTTAATAGACAGGTACCGTAGTACACGTTAACACGCATAGCAATTTTGAACTATCGATATTCGGTTTAAATAATTAACAAACTCAACTAAAATTATTATTTTCTTATTCACAAATTTATAGGACAATTTTAGTATTGGTTATAGTGTAGAGAATTTAGCGATGACAGAAATAATATCGAAATCCAATTCGATTATGTACGGCTGTAGTAGACATTTATTTACTCTCATTATTTGTTATGGTCATTATTAATGTGAGAAAACAGTGTTTTTTTTAACTCTAAATCTGTCGATTCCAACTTTTATAAGAATAAAAATCGAAAATCGATAAGATGCATGATTGATTTTACCACAACCCATCCCTACTAAATTTGAAATGAATTGTCAAACTAATTAAATTATTTAGACAAATTATAGTCTGATTCCGCAAGACGGTAGTAAGGCGGTAGCTATGTACTTTATTTTAGTATAGACGTTCTAGACATTTAGATCAGTTATGAACCTGATATCATTTTTTATGTCCTAATCCTATTTTACCCACATTGTATTCAAAATCTGAATCTGTTCCCAAGTTACTTCTACATTTTATGAATTCATATTAAATTGAAACATAAATTGAAGTTTTAAACAAATATTTATTAGATAAAACAAAATTAACTACGTAGAACAATTATATAAATAGATAGTCAATAGAGTTTACAGAGTTGTTGTCTTTCCTTTATTCTTCTTTACTTTTTTCTCCCTCTCCCTCTTTCTTTTCCTTTTTTTCTACCTCTCCCTTTAATTCTTCCTCTTTCTCCTTTTCTACCTCACGCTTTACTTCTTCCTCGTTCGTTTTATCTATCTCTCCCTTGAATTCTTCCTCTTTCTCCCTTTCTACCTCTCTCTTTTCTTCTTCCTCTTTCGTGTTTTCTATCTCTCCCTTTACTTCTTTCTCTTTCGGTTTTCCTACCTCTACCTTTAATTCGCCCTCTTTAAGTTTTTCTACCTCTCCCATAACTTCTTCCTCTTTTGGTTTTTCTATCTCTCGTTTTTCTTCTTCCACTTTCGGTTGTTCTACTACTCCCTTTACTTCTTTCTCTTTCGGGTTTTTTACCCTTCCCTTTATATCGTCCTCTTTAGTTTTTTCTACCTCTCCCCTGACTTCTTCCTCTATCGGTTTTTCTATCCCTTCCTTTATATCATCCTCTTCAGTTTTTTCTACCTCTTTCTCTTTTTCTACTTCTTCAGTGACATCTTCTTTCTTTTTTTCTACCTTTTCTTTTACTTTTTCAGGTCTCTTTGTTTCTACCCCGACCTTTAATTCCCCCTCTTTCGGTTTTTCTACCTCTCCCTTTACTTCTTCCTCTTTTGGTTTTTCTACTTCTCGCTTTTCTTCTTCCTCTTTCGGTTGTTTTACCTCTCGCTTAATTTCTTCCTCTTTTGTATTTTCTACCTCTGCCTTTACTTCCTCCTCTTTTTGTTCTTCTAACTCTCCCTTTGTATCTTCCTCTTTAGATTTTTCTACTTCTCCCTTTACTTCTTTCTCTTTCGGTTTTTCTACCTCTCTCTTTACATTTTCCTCTTTAGATTTTTCAACCTCTCCCTTTACTTCTTCCTCTTTCGTTTTTTGTATCTCGCCCTTAAGTTGTTCTTCTTTCGGTTGTTCTACCTCTCCCTTTACTTCTTCCTCTTTCGGTTGTTCTACCACTCCTTCTACTTTTTCCTCTTTCGGTTTTTTTATCCCTCCCTTTATATCGTCCTCTTTAGTTTTTTCTACCTCTCCCTTGATTTCTTCCTCTTTCGGCTTTTCTACACCTCCCTTAATATCGTTCTCTTTGGTTTTATCTTCCTCTCCCTTTGTTACTACCTCTTTCATAATTTCAACCTCGCCCTTTACCTCTTTCCCTTTTTCTAGTTCTCTAGTGACTTCTTCTTCTTTATTTTTTTCTACCTCTTCTTTTACTTCTTCGGGTCTCTTTGTTTCTACCTCTACCTTTAATTCTTCCACTTTCTTCTTTTCTAGTTCTATCATGACTTCTTCCTCTTTCGTTTTTTCTTCCCCTCTCTTTACTTCTTCCTCTTTCGTGTTGTCTACTTCTCCCTTTGCTTCTACCTCTTTATTTTTTTCTTCCTCTCCCTTTACTTCTAGCTCTTTGTTTTCCTTTCTATCTTTGTGTTCTGCAGCCTTAGTTGTATTTAAAATATCTACAGATTCTATATCTTCATCTTGGGTATCAGCCACATCTTTAATGTTGATTCCTTTTACTACATCTTTTTTTGAAGCCTCACTCGAAGAATCTTGTTTGCTACGATCTTCACCAGTTCCGTTTTTAGCACCCTTTCCTTCGTCGTCATCCTTATAATGAACGTGAAAGAAATGCCTATTGGCCCGTGAAGTAGACTGGACTTCTGACGGAATACCTTGTTGCGATGTTATTAGGGGTTGCAATGTGTCGTGTTGGGAAACCGGTGCCGTCTCCTCCTGATGCGGCGCTGGCACCCCGTCCTCTTCCTGACGTTCAAGTATATAATCATCAACGTCTTTCATATCGAACTTAGAAATAATCAAACCTGATTCAACAGACTTTGGAATATCATCGCCCATTTTGATTTCTGAGATTGATGGTTTACTAGATTTTTTAAACTTGGCCATCAAGTCAGCGGTAATATGTTGTTCTTCCAGACGAAGCAAGCTATCAATGTCTTGCGAAGATTCATTGCTAAATTCTTCAATATCTAACATCTCCGAAGCTTTACTTTGTATTGTTGTCGTTGACTCCGTTCTCCGTAAATTACTGCCCGTGTTTGTTTCACTGTGTTCATCCTGCACAAGTTTATCCTCGGTCGGACTTCTCATCTGTATTTGACTTGTACTATCTAAATCTGTAGTGGCTATCAGTGGTTTAACATCTTGTTCTGTTTTGTCAGAATCAGTTATATTATCAGATTCCTTGGAATCGGATGCCGAAGTCGATCCAATATTTAGATCCTTTAGGGGTAAATTGAAAGATCCACTTCCAAATGTAGTAGACGGTCCTGGATCCGTAAATTTGTCTTCAGTCGGCCTCAAAACCATCGGTTCTGTTGAGCTTGCCCTTTTCCCTGATGGAGGTTTGTTGTTTGAATTGACGATATTAACTTTACGCTTTCTTTCTTCTTTCGTAACCTTTCTATTTCTTCTATTGGGATCGTCAAAACTTGACGGTGGGATTATTGAATTTCTGCTTTCTGGGAAATGGTTTAGAAGATATTCCCAATCATTCAAGTTCAATGTGAGAATTTGACATTTGGTAATAGTACGATACGAGTGGCTATACGGCAGATTAAGTGTTAAACCTTGCAACTGAAACAAAACATCATAAAGACTTTATGTAAAAACATTTTTATTACAAATACTATGTGATTTTAAATTCATACCACGCCAAAGCAGTTTCCAAGATAGTACACTTTTGTTGTGCTAGTTTCCTCACTGCTCTCCAACACTCGGCCCGTGTGTATAAAATACATGGAGTCTGTTATCTCATGTTGCCTCACCACGAACATTCCTTAAAAAATATTAAAAAAATAACAGCAATCCATGTATCGCCACACGCAACAGTTGTTTCTGTTTATTTTCTATTTATTGATATTTCATTAATCAAAGTCAGCGCCCGTTGGACTAGATTGATGTAAACTGGGATTTACCTTCATTGTAGGTATAAAGATGTAGACAACCAACGAGCTGCCTGAGGAACGCTGGCTCACAATTTTGAAATACATCGCTCTGAAATGCAATTTCGTAAAAAGCAACGCAGCGAAATTATCTTTATAGTCATTGGTTAAATATTTACTGTAGAACTACAAAGACTAAAGTTCTTTAGGATTTCGATCATTTTGATGATCATTAGACAATCTTAAGTTACAAAAAATTGAGAAAAGTTTTTGAGAGTTTTTTCAAATTGAGAAACCTTGATGCATTACACGATGCCAGTGCAAGGAATTCGCATAAAAAATGTCTTGAGGCATTAAGTAACTATGCTAGAGTTACAAGAGGTATTACATTAGTCAAGTGATCTATGAATGCCGCGGACATGAGCCTCAGTCGCAAGCAATTAGGCGCGGTCCTCAGAAAGTGTGGCACTTGTACGCCACGCGACTGCCGCCACAGGTGCAGAGAATACCTGTTTACCAGCTTCACCAGGTTCTTGGAGACGCGGTTGTTCTTCAGATATTCCTGTTATGTAAGCTTATATTTTAGATGGATAGAAAATAATCACAAACTACTAAAGTGCAGTACTTTATCATCTATATTTACTATGTGAAAACAATAGAATTAATTTTTGTTTCTAATAAATATTGTTCAGTAGAAAAATCAATATGAAAGCAGAATATCAACGCTAAAAATCTCGCACGTAGTAATGGCTAAAATTGTCTACTATCTAAATTTTAATTACCTGTAGTTCTAAATATTTGCAGAAAAATTCGTAAGAACGAAAAGATTGATGTTGAAATATATTAGAGAACTCTCCGACATAAATCAGGAATACCATAGCGGACATTATTTGAAGAATTGTTACAAACACCACCTGGAAACATTTAAGTTGTGGAGTAAAAACGTATGGGTATTTGTTGTTTTAAATAATAGAGCGATAAATCAATCGTCACTCAATCGTTCGGATGTTTCAGCTATGGATAAAAATGACTATTTCTAAAAACTGCAAGGTTAACGATATCAATTTTACAAGTCAAAATATTTATTATCCATTATAATCTTGATTGTATATCTTTATTTATACCCAGAAGTTTATTTTGGCATGAAAATATAAAATTATTTTTGCATTTCGCGGCAACAATGCTCATACTCAAACGTCAATCGAATTTACACAGATAATATTTAATGGGAAAGAACGAATGGAATGGAGCGGATAAATAGGCGGGCGCGCGTCACTGATGCATTGGCTTTTGTCAACCTGCCAGCTACATGTCGACGAGTCTGTACTGATTGTGTTCGATGTACATATGCTCATAAACAAACAAGTCTATCAACATTATTGATTCATAGTTTTTTAATACGTTGACAGAAATAATCGCACACTGTTTATCATCGCCACCAGTTTTCATTGAATACTCCGACGTGGGAAAAATCCTTTTGTTGGACTGGACATCTTCTAATCGTTCCGCAGTTCCTTTCTGGTGGCCTAACCAACATCTGTAATGTTTTATTTAGTACCTCGGATCTATTCTTCGGCAACACATCACCGACTCCGTTCTGTGCGAAGGTCATCAGCACGAAGTACATGGAGCACAGGTAACGGTTATCGCACCATGAACTGCCGTCATCTAATGGTTTACACTGTTGTTAAAATCAAATAGCTGCTCATTTATCAGCTACCATTATTGCTTATTTTGTCGAAAACTTTTTTCACATTATGACGGTTTAACCTGACGCGTACGACCGTTATATTATATTAGAAAAAAGTATGGCAGCTATAAAATGTGACAAAACAAAACAAAGTCATAAATATTACAGACTACATATTGGTTAATTTAAATTCTACGATTCGGCAACTGTCATGACAAAGTTAAATTCGGGTATTTACGTCATTGCGAAGACAAAATGGCGCTGCAACATGGCCGACAGGATGTATTGTGCGCAAGCTGTCACACATATTTTACTCAGAATCAAAGCGTTTTACAAATTCCATTTATACACTATCTATTTAATTTACGATTACCCTTTAGTTACACGGTATTCATATTTTAGGTTAGATTGTCAGTTTTTAAACAGTCATCTAAAATTGTAATGACATTTTCATTTGCCAACAGTTTGAACAGATAAATAACACAAAATATTTACTTTTATAAATCCAGGAAGACTTGGGTTTGGCTCTGTCCTCCAGATATCCTATAAAGTACCAGCAGCAGGAGGTGATGTGGACAAAGAGGGAGAACCAGATTGACACCGTGTACACTGTCATTAGTGTCATATTCACGCCCAGACGCTCATGGTGTCGGTAGATTCCTTTGTAGAGTGTCACCTGCAAGCTTCTTCATATTGAATCTAGTTTTTTAAAAAGGTTCTAGAACAAAAGTACCGCAATTAGCGATTAAAGGAAAAGTACTAAGAGTCTGCTACACCACTGACTATGTGTACAGTTAAGTGTGTGCGTCCCTAAGCTACGGATGTCATAAAAATATTAAAACAAATAATTACAACTCTGAAGATCCTATTGAGTCGTAGAAAGGAGAACATTAGCCCTCTGTTGTCGGGTCTCACGAAGCAAAGGAGTTCAGTCGGCAGACACGATATCACGTCAAACTTTGTCTCCAGTTTTGAATACCTTACAAATAATGACTTTTTAATTACCATATCTATTCAAACAACTGAAAAGCTACATAATTAAAATAGTAATTTACCCGTGCACTCTGGTCCTTAGACCGCTACCAACATCATCATCCTTAGTGACAAAAGGTAGTATGTAGATAATTAAAAACTTCAAACAGAATGCCATATCAAGTGCGTACAGCACTAAGACCAGCAACATGTTATTGTCTTGAAAGCCGGCATTATATGTGTCACCGACTACACTGAGCAGAGACACGATGATGAGGTAAGATTGGATGTAAACATTCTTCACGCGGATATATTTGAGGAAACCTCTGCCGATTCTTACATGCAGGTTAGAGAAACTATGTCTCTTGTCTTTTGCTCCGTCTCTTGTCATTTTTAAGGGATCTTTATTCATATCTCCTATGATATATTTCTAAAAAAAAACATAGTAATAAGTTGGTGTGGTCCTTTAACCACTTGCAGTAATATAAAATATTAAAAATAGAGGATTTTGAGAGTAGCCCTAGTGGTACAGAAGGTAAGGAGTAAAAGGTTAGCATGGTATGGGAGGGATAAATCGCATGTTACAAGAAGAACGTTAGTTATGATTGTGGAGGATACACTGGTAGAGGATGGATTGCATGAAAGGTGACATGATCAAAAAGGCAGTGATGACTGAGATGACGTATGATAGAGTTATGTGGACAAAAACCTGTTGCGCCACTAAGAGTAGGATAAAGAGGAAGATGATGATGAGTCAAAATTTTGCATATCAAACGGAATGGTATTTAAAGCTTAGCTTTCTCTACTAGTTACTGGAAGTGACAAACCTCATTGTACTGTCGATACGACTTCATAAGTTGCACAACGTCGGGGAAGTCACTGACGATGTTGAAGAAAGTGTTAGCATTAATCTGCAGGAGGTGTACTTTGCTCAGTGACACCAGCGACACCGCAGAACGATGTGACCTCTCGCCATCCAGGTCGCCAAATATACTGTAAATATTTGAGTATATAAGTTACTTAAAAATTATTTAAGGCAACATGTGATTTCTACAGATTTGACTAAATTTTTACTGTTTTTTATATTATTTTATGACCTATCTACTGTATCGGAATCTACTGTTACGTCTTAGTCGACTAAAGTTATTCATTACCTTCCTTTAGTAAGTATAACAGAGGTTGGGGCTTGAGGTTCACCTCCAGTCAACTCGACGCTGCCAGAGTCCACGAAGAAGATGTCCTTGATGACGTCATCTGTCTCCACGATGACGGTGTGCTTGAGGAAGTGCACGCTGTGCACTGCGCGCCCGATGAGGCGGAGTAGAGATTTGTCGCACTGACCCAGTATTGGACACTGAAATGTACAAAGTTATAGACATGCTCTACCAGACAACAGGCAGGAACATTTATAGAAACTTAAGTTTAGCAGCTGTAATTTTAACTCATAATTGAATTCTGTCGGATTTTGTGTACCACAAAGTTAAAAAAGTCTCAAGAACGACTACGCCACTTGACTTTATTTTAAGACCAATCTTACCATAGCGAACGTGGAACCGTAGATATCTAATATAGCATCCGTTCGGAGAGTAATTTGATCGCAAAGCTTCAGTACAGTCCTGTATTCCAATCCGCCCATCTTGTCCCAGTTATAGGCGTAGTAGGCACGCACATCTCTTAAAAGAAATTTATAAATATCTTTATTGGACACCAAGGAGCATGTATTTATTGCTTACATTAATGTCATAGAACGTTTGATCATTTTACAAACTGCTAAAGTTTTCGCTTACTTCCGTAAATCATGACTAAGGTTCTCTCTATGCATGAAAGCCGACATATCCTTCATGTGCTGCTGAAAAGCGGCCAGCGGCTTGTTCACGTTGGACCGGATGCTGATGATGCGTACGCAGAAGTATGTCGTCAACAATGCAGCTAAAGCAATTATGCTATTACATAATACATTTGTTATAAATATAATTATGTAGTTAAGGTTTCAGCAACAAGTTCCGAAAAGGTAAAAAGATCATACGGTTCATAACACAGAAATAACTCACCAAACCCAGAGTAGTAGAGACTTGGACTTTTATAGGCGTGTGATTTTTCTCTGCATTGGTGCATCTCTGCATGTAGTCGTGAGTAAAATAAAAATTCATTTATCTATATATCCAGGAATTGAGTTTACCAACGAGCATGCCGATGAACATGATCTTCATGATGTCGTAGTTGCTGGGGTTGATGATATTGTAGCCGGTGGTGGACGCCTCAAACGTCACCCAGAAGAAACTGGCGAGGTGCAGGTCCCAGATGTTTTCCATTATATTGAAGCGGACTGGATTCATGTTAGTAGTATAAAGTTACGTGTGTAACGTTAGATGTATTTATATTTTCTTGTGGAAGTGTGTAACGGTAGTGGTTCATTACATTGCATGACATAACATTGGTGAGCATGTATGACTAACAGTTATCTTTGAACAGCTCGACCCAGGAGCCGCCGCGGTCGTTGCGGGGTTCTATCAGCAGCGCCGACTGGTTCCCTATCGTGTAGATGTTCACCGAGTAGAATACTAGAGTACAGGTCATCACATTCAATAGCACTAGGAACAAGGGCGTCGCTTTTATACTGGAAAATAATTAAGAAAGTTTCAGTTAGTCTGTATACAGCTATAATATTAACATAGTTTAAATACTAACACAAGCACGATGTCACGGCGTATGTAGCGGTCGAGGCCCTGCACAGCGGCCGGCAGCCGGTACAGCTGCAGCAGCCGGTTCAGCATCAGGTACTGCCGCGACACCGCCACGCGGTACTTGTTCTCTGCATCACAAACAAATCACAAGTTATGTCTCTTTCTATCACGTGCACGACAGTAAAAAAACGTAATTACTGTATAATTCCTTGAGGACCGTCTCGAGCTTCTCTAGCGGTAAACAACCGAAGAGATCGATGAGGAAGGCACCCCGGATGTAGTGGTCGGCCGTAGTAGCAGGGTGATACACCAAGATACCCTTCTCGTTGTAGTACCCGACCAGCATACGTTGCAATCTGCAAACCATATTAGTAAGGAAAAAAGTAACTACTATCCAAAGATTTTAGTGGCAGTCAGACAACTTACATATCGAAATATGCGGAGCAGTCGAGCAGGACGAGCGTGAAGTAGAAGGGTAAAGAGTCGACACTGAGGTAGGGGTAGCCTGGGATGACGAGGGCGGAGAGCACGGCGCAGCAGCCGCGGTACCACTCCGCGCGCATCAGATACTCGCTATCCGGACGGATAGTAAACCGAGGAAAAATATACCTGCGATAATTTACCAACGATAAATTGTGTGCACGTAGATTTTTCAATATCAGTTACTAATGAGACATACCTCAATACAGAAAGAAAGCCGAGCTTCCTAAATGGCTGTAGGAAAGCGTGGTCATGCTCGTGCTTCCGAGGCAGACGGAACCGCTCGACGTTGGGGATGAGCGCGGGTGGCGTATATGATAGGAAGGGCTGCCGTCGTACCTGCAAGCTGCTATACTCCTGCCAACACACAACCAGTGTAAATACTTACGTATTTAAGCTGAGAGGACTTCTTTCTTGTTATGGTCTAAAAACAAAAGAAAAAGAACATACAGTTTGTTCCTTAGCAAACTCGATAGCATCCTTTATCTGTGGTATTTCGATTGCGTTCAACAGGTACTTGCGTGATATCGATAACATTTGCACATGAGTCGCTGCACGCACCGTATAATACGCCGGTAGACCTACAAAATATTTTTTTTACTTAAGTGAACTAGGAACATTTAGCATTAGAAAGGCACAACAGAATATGTCAACTTACGTAGAACACACTCCAGTACACCGAAATGATTTCTCGGTCCTATTTCATTGAACACTTGCTTTGTGTCGGGATCAATTATCTAGAAGTATTTACTTTATACCAAAACGGCAAAATGAAACTTCATGATAAGTAGTACTAGCAACCATAGTCAGATTCATAATAAAAATGTATTTGCTGGATTTGATGCATTGAATTTGTTTAATGCTGCCTTTTACAAAGAGGTTTATTACCGTACCTAATAAAGTCCTCACCTCACAAATCCCTTGCTTAATGACATAAATTTCATTGCTTATATCACCGGTGTTCAGGAGGATCTCATTGGGGGACGTGTAAAACACGTTGACCTTACTCGATACAGTCTTCAGGTCCTCCTTACTTAGGTACTGTCACAAGAATGAAACAGTGAAACTTTGACAAGAAACTAAAGGAAACGAGAAGCCAAAAATAATCCAACTAAAGTTCTATTATAAATCAAAGAAGATTTACCTTCATAAAGGGTATGCAGAGGATGTATTTACTTCTTTGTCTGTTGACAATATCCTGGTACACGTGCGGCGGCAGGTCGAAGTAGATAGAACTCTTTTTATTGGTCATACGATATCCCTGGAATAACAAGACATGTCACTGATATCGCATAATATCTTTAGGTAGATAGAAAATTTGTAATTGCCTACTACCTTGTCGGTGTACCAGCCGAGCTGCAAGTAGGTGACAAAGCGCTGCCGCAGAATAGGGTCCACGTCGTTCCTGATCAAAAACTTCGTCACATCCGTGATGCTGGCGTCGTAGTCTTCTCTATAAATGAGATAAATATCAATGGTTACGCCCGACATTTTAAATTTAACTCACACTAAAAGATACCCAAGGGGACCAATTAGACCCTAGGTGCAACAGTAATGAAAATGTTTTTCACTTACTTTAGAGCAGTGGCGACCATGATAGTGGCGGAGTAGACGGCATCCATAAAGATGTGCAGAATGACACACAGCTCTAACACAAGCATGGTGTATAGCACATTGTTCCAGTCCGTTATAGCGCCCGTCTCTTTATGACCTTCACAGGTGCAGAAGAAAAAATTACATCTTTTCACCGTAATAAATAACATACAGAAAATATATGATGAAACTTCAAATGTAACTGTAGCTTCAACTTACAGGTGACGGTGATCAGGGACATGGCCCAGTACATCCCGAAGGTGAGAGTATTCTTGATGGTAGTGTCGTCCGGCGGCATATGAGCCCAGAACGGTGGGTGCGTCAGGTTAGTTACCGAGCAGTGTCCGAAACTGTAAATAATAATTTAATTTGGAATTTTCTGTGGTGAATAGTAGAAGCAGACGTAAGTGTAACAAAGTATAGTAAAGTGGCAGTCCAACCAGAAGCACATAAAGCCTTGTTGCATGGCGGCGACGAAGTAACACGACATGACCAGGAGCAACGAGTAGGAGAAGAAACGGAGAAAGTTACTATAGTACACCCAGTCGTCTTCTAAAGACTTCAGCATGCGAAACACCTACAATAACAAAGAAAACGTTGATGACATATTTGCATTGAAAAAATCACCTGACGTCAATTTTAATTAGCTATAAAATAAGTTAATAGGATATTTGATTTTTAGTTTATTACATGAGTTTAGAAGTAAAATGCATACTTTTGGTAATCTAAGAACTTTGTTGATGCCAGCGAAATGTCCGTCGTGTATAAATTCGAAGACAGGCATAGTAGCCACGGTGTCCAGCACAAACCAGTGGCTGCGGATCTGTTGAGATGCCGTCTGCGCCAGCGTTATAGGAACACCTACAAATAGTCATGTTCCATATCATTGTTTTTTCTAATGACAGTACAATGAATCGTATGTCAAATTCTTTTCGAAATACACACCATCTTCAACCTTTTCCCCAGTTGAAAGGTAGACAAAGAGATCCAGCAAATAAATGCAAGTCACTACATAGTCGTAGAACCTGAACTGAATTGGCACAGACCTCTTGTAGGCGATGTAGTACGGATGTGTCTGGAACAAGATATTTGTAAAAAACAATTACACAGGCTACTTTCTGACATAAATACCTCAAGCTTAAAAGCACGTTTGCCATCTTATGTTATGAAAAAAAAGAAAACTATCATCCATTATTCCAACAACAATGTATAAGTAATAGAAACTCACAAAACAAACAGCGACGATAACACAGCAAACAAAGGAGTTCCAGACAGTAAGCAACACGGAGCGCGGCTGCAGAATGCAGGGAAACACCGCACGCAGACAGATATCATCAGACTCGTCCATCAGGGATGCATCAGCTCTCTAACCGAAGATAGCAATTATACCAGGATGATAGCAAGAATAAATTCTATAGCGTAAAAAGGCTCCGGTAGAGCCAGCTTTAGCATCTTCGAACGAATGGGCCGGCTCACTAGGTGTAATATCACGATCGCACAAAAGACAGGCGTAAAGTGAGAGCAATTCCGCGTTTCGTCTCATGAGTGTGGTGCCAGAGGCCCAAATTTATTCTCTCTAATCCGCTATTACGAATGTCTATGGGCAGCGCTCGCTGCGCCATTTTGGCGGATTCATGATGTAAAAAAAACCTAACATTTCTCATAATGTAGCAGCCGGCGATGTCGAGCATAATGTCGGTGCGCGCCAGTAGCAACGCGCCCGACGCATCCCGGCTCTCCTGCAGGCTCATCAGGTTGCGCTTGAACTCGCGGATACTGCTCTTGTACCTGCCAGAACAATATCACCTCAGCCATACTGCCTATCAATACTGCATTGCATAATGTACAATAGTTATTCTTACAGCGATTGTTCGGGTGTTTTTAGATAATAATGCCTTTTGACTTTTTCAAAATGCTCCTGTAAATAAAGTACATTTATTAATCGACGTAACTAAATAATTTTCATCGCGAGATTTGAAGTCACGGAAGTAGCAAGCAAAAAGCACATGAAACTCTGCCAGTTTGCTTCCTTCTACCGTTTAAAGCAAACGAACAATAAAATATTGATCAACATTTTAGCATACATAAAACGATGCGAGTATGATAGCCGCCTGTCCGTTGTCTTTTCCGTACTTGAGGGCGGTGCGCCAGAGATCGCGCGCGTGCAGCAGGTGAGCTGTACAGAAGGTGGCGGCGCGCACCTCCACGTGCGCCTTGCCGCAGCCTGCCGGCGCGCAGCCCGCGCACGCTGACAGCACAGAGCCCCGTGACAGGCGCAGCACTGCCGTACTATCATCTTCCGCGGTAAGCATCTGCCATCAGTCACAAATCTTACGTCATTAGAGTTGAACAACATGATCATAAAAGGAATAAAGGACAGAGTATGTAGTCAAGTCGTTATCATACCTCAACATCTCCGTAAGTAATATAGATGATGGAAGACTTCCTGGTGGAGCGCTTGATGATAACGTCACCAGGGATGTAGTGCAGCGTCTGCATAGTTTTAGCCACTTCGCATAGAAAGCTGTACGACAGGTCGCACAAGATGCGGCTCTGGACAGAAGAAAACGTTGAAAATGTGAAGAACAAAGTAAATTAAGAACTGAAACAATTAACGCGACATCTACTGAACATATTCTTCGCAAAATGCCATCGCAAATTATTAACCTTTTGCGTAGCTTTAAAGTAAATATCGGTGTAAACGACGGAAGGTAGCCATGGAGGGAAAGCGGGGAGAAGTTGCGTACTGGACACTGCACGCATCTTATGCCAATACATCTTGTAGAACTTCAGCACCTTCTTGCTCAGGCTGCGCGGCACATTTGACTCTTTCTACAAACAAGATAATAAGGCACTGAACTATAAAACACTCTTTCTTTTATATCAAGTTCACAAAAGTACACTTACCATGTCCCTCATGATCAGTCTATACCGTGCTCTGAAAGCCTCCTCGGGTCGCATGTAGATACCAATCGCCAGGGAAAGAGACGCAACCGCCGACCCGATCATCGTCAGACATCCCGAAATCGTTATGAACAGCGCCAGCACCCGCTCAAAGTCAGACTGAGGATGACGCGTCGCTCTAGGAATATGAATTTCGTTATACTACAGAAACTATCGCTTATTTTTGAAGCTTCGAAGTACCTTCAGACAGATTGTTAAGAGGCTGTTACTAAACAGATTTGTTGAACCATCTTTGGACTAAACTACTTCTCATAAGATGAGATCGTAAGCAAGCAAGTCATTTACCTACCATATAGGTAACAAACAGAAAGAGAAATCAAACGATTACTCAAGACCAGGGGTGGCGAACATTTATGCATGAGTGTCATTTTTTTAATGTTTAAAGCGGTCTTAGACGTGCTATCCAATTATTTAGACTGCGATTATTACGTCATTTTTTTATGTTACAAGGTGGCAAACGAGCAAGCGGTCACCTGAAACCGCCGAAAGGCAAAGCGATCGCCGCCCATAGACATTCGCAATAGCGGATGCGTTGCCTACCCTTAATCGACGGTGAAGGAAACGCGCATACAGAGGTTATTTCCTCTTCCTATGCGTCTCCTCCACCGTCAAATCCACTTTTCCATTCCATCCCTTCCTCTTAAGAAAAGGGTAAAAAGGGAAAGGGACTAAAATTAGGCCTCCGGCACCACACTATCGTCTATCTTCTGTGTGGTCGTGGTATTACACCGGGCGAGCCGGCCCATTCGTGCGAAGATGTTAAAGCGGGCTCTACCGCTGTTGGAATCATTTCCATAGTGCATCTCTACTTCATAATTTTTAGTAGTGTTTTTTTAAAAAAAATTAAAAACATGTTTACAATATAATCTTACCCAATAGGTATAAATATCTTGTTAATGAGATAGAGGCCGGCAAAAAAGAGGCTGACGTTTCGGTCGGTCACCGTGTCGTGCATATCATTTTTGTCATATCGCAGCAATGCCTCGTCTTTGTAGTCTCCTACATCCTGATATCAATAAAATATACCTTTATATTTACAACACTCGCTGTAGCTTGCGACTTTGTCTGCGTGAAATTAGAGATTTAAAAATATGGCCCATGTTACTCACGGATAACATAGCTTTTAAATAGTGAAAGATTTTTTGAAATCGGCCTCGTAGTTTTTGGCTTATTTCAAATTAAAAGTCCAGAAACACATTCATTCCTCTTCATACTTTAACAAGACTTCCATAAAAATTAACAAGTTGAAAATGGAAACCTTTTGAAAGAATATCCATATAATAGTCCACGTAACTCGCAGCACCAAGAAGATGTAACAATTCTTGAGAGTAGTGCCAATAATGCTGCTTCTGAAGTCAAAGTCGTTCAGTGCCCCTGCAGCGAAGGAAACTCAAATAAACTAAACTTAAACAAAAAGGGAGATAATCGGCTGAATACAAGATAACAAAAACCATCATTTTATCCCCTGAAATATAAGTACTTTAAAATGCATCATCTCCCCTAACTTACCCTACTCCCGTAGGGTCGGCGCGCCGGGTTTTCGTCCACACAACCATCATCTGTCATCTCAGTCATCACTCCCTTCATGATCATGTCACCTTTCACACACCATCTCTATCTAAGTCTATCTCTACCGGTGTACCTCCACATTCATAACTAACGTCCTAAATACTTTTAAGTTAAAATTAAGATAAGTACTAAGAACTTACAAAGGTATCTAATAGGCCTGTGCACTCGGAGATAGTAAGCTGTCAATTTGCTCTCATTCGGGTACAAAGGTATCGTTAAAAAGTAATGGAAGTAAGTTGTACAATCGATGAAGAACGCAACTAAAACAAAAAAGATTACAATTAGAATAAATCTACAGTTACTAAAAGTAGAATAAAATTGACGCGAAGATATTCAACCATTGAGCTAAAAATAATAAAATAAAATTACGACCATTTCCGAGCGGCTAAAACGCGACCGGAGTTGTCATGAGACAATTGACGTCAATCGTCATATTCCATTCATATCATACGCTCAGGTGTCACTTCGATGTAAAAAACAACAACAAAGTATCTCGTTGCTTCTCAAGGTCAAAAAGTCAAAAATCGATCGAATCGATAGTATACTTAAAAAAAGTTTGGTACAATTTGGCGTTATATGCATATTGCCTTTCGTACACATTAACTATACGCGTTACTTAAAAAAAAACATTTTTTTTGTCCGCCAATTGGTCAGTCTGTCCACATCCGAGTTTGTTCAGGGAAACCTCCAGCCGGCTAGACCAATTCAGGAGATAGTAACATAAGTAAATTTTTTAGTTGTTTTAATTCAAGATTCATTGTGTTATGAAAACTATTCAACGATAAAGAATTAAGTAAAATATCACAGATAGAATATCGTCAAAGAACATGAACTGTGATAAAACTTACAAATAGTACAGCAAGTGATTTCGATATTCTCTCTATTCACGTATAGATTGTAGGCGATGCCGAGCACGTGGACGGCATATACCACGTTATAAGACAGGTCTATAATGTCATAGTACGGGATAAAATCCAAATATAAGAACACAATCGACAGCAGAACGAAGCTGCATATAAAAATGTTCCACGCCGTGTCCTCGGGACAGTTCTGGAAGCTTTCGATTATTTGCTTCTTACTCCACCACAGGGGATATTCCATCTGGAAGGTGAAACATTAATGACAATGAAGCAAGCTGACTTTCGACGTTAGTCCAAAGTGATTCTACTTCATTTTTTTTAATAAGTCAAAGGGAGAAATATTCAACAATGACTTATTCTCTGTCATTGGAAATGCTTTTAAAGGAAAAAAGGACTTCCTTCTTACTCCTTATACTCCTAAAATCTGATTTTTTTCTTAACTAACCCTAAAGACTAATGGCCTGTCCCACCACTGGCTGATAGAGGCTCAGATAGCTTAAAAATGACGTCATTATCAGATAAGGGATTAAAATCCGATATTTCCATCACATATTTTCACGTCGGGTCGTAATCAGACAATTAACAATTTGGAGGGACAGGCCCTGAGTGTTTGCAGCTACATTTAATTCTGAAATAAGTATTTTACCTGATTTTCTTGCACCCTAGACTGATACTCCACATCTCTAGATACGGGATATCCTTTATTTAAACTGATATTAGAAGCCATTGTTGTATCGTAACTTATTATACTTAAATCCATTCATCCATTATACGTTAAAATATAAACAACCAATATATTGAATGAAAAAAAATATACTTTGACATTTTCTAGAAATAAATAAAGAAATCTGGCGTTATTGACAAGAAGGCTTTTTGTATTCTATTTAAAAACTCATTCGTAGTATTTTCACGTAATAAATGTTTAAAAAAAAGAAAAGAGTATATATTTTCACATTTTTATTTAATTAAAAAAACAGTCGCTTACCCTAACCAATTTATTTATATAATTGTCTATTTATTAACTATATTAAAACGTAAATATACAATACACTAAAATAAACGAAGGAATGGAAAGTGGGAGCTAAGAATTAACTCCGTTAAACAAGAATCTATTTACAAAATAAATTCAGAAATTTAAAATAAACAATTCAAAACAGTCATAAAAGATTTCACAAATCAACACAATTTAACATAATTATATACAAAAAAAAATTATAAACAACAAATGGAAACAAACTTATAATGCATTTTAATTCTCGTAACTCATAATTTTAACTGTTATTTCTATTTTGATACACAGAATAAGATGGCAACATTGTCATATAAGTATTACAATGAAAACACCGTTAGATGAGTAAATTTTAGAGCCTTCGACTAAACTATCGCACAACTGTTGTCGCAGCTATTCAACTGTTTAGTTTCACAACTAAAAATCCAGTATGTACATCATATAAACGAATCAAATCGAGAGTAAACAGTTGTGGAATATTTTAGTCAAAGTTGCATGCTCTTAATGTGAAATGCATATCGATAACACAGTATAGTGAGTTTAGCACTCAATGCGTCTTCAACCTGACGCTCTCGAAATGTTCTTTCCTGAAGTCTTCATTCATGTAAATACCGATTTTAATCCTCAGCCATTCCGGAGCCACTTTGATGAAGAAATACTGAAAAGAAAGAACATGTTAAAGAAAACAAAGGTTTAACAGTGGTAGAGCCCGCTTTAATATCTTCGCACTGTAGGGCTCGCCCCCAGTAATACCACGACCACACAGAAAACACAATTTATACTTATACTAGCTGTCCCCGTGCGACTTCATCTGCATAAAATTATAAAAATTTTATTTTGTTGTTTACACGTGTCAAAATATTTATCTACTAAGTTTAGTGACGTGAAAATAGGGCTGTAGGGCTTTTTATTCAAAAAAGAATTATTCAAAAATTTGCAGTAATTGCTGACATCTTGGGTAACAAAGAAGTGTGTGTTTACACTTTATTATAATAGTATAGATTGTAAAAAAAGATTTGTATTTTTGTATGATTCAAATAAAAACTACTGGGCTGATTTCAAAAACACTTTCACCATTAGAAAGGAAAATATTTTTGAGTAACATAGACTATGTTATTATTTATTTTTTTAACTTTCGCTCGCGACTCTGTCCGTGTGGAATTAAAAAAAGTGAGTAGCCTATGTTTTCTTCGACACTATCCTCTACGTCTATCCAAATTTCATCGAGATCGGTTTAGCCGTTTAGGCTACAAACTCCATCTAAACTTTCGCATCTATACTAATATAATAAAACGTAAACACACACTTCTTTGTTGCCTAAGATGTCAACAATTATAGCATGTTTTTGAATAATTCTTTTTTAATAAAAAGCCCTACACTTACATCACGCTTTAGGCTTTATATTTTCATATGGTTAAACTTAGGGGGGAAATATTTTTGATAAAAACCCTAATGTGGGAAAGAGACCATAATTTGTTGCCAACATTAAGGAAGCAAGCTTGCCATGATTTGACATTATGTCATGTCACTTTGACGTTTGCAATTGATAAATTGACAAATGTGAACAATTAAATAATTTTTTTTTAATTTTATGCGGATGAAGTCGTATGGGAACAGCTAGTTTATAATAATAGTGCGATTCCCTGAATGCTGCACAGCTAGGCCAAACTGTCACCTGTAGGCCGTGCAGCCAGTAGCCGGTGGTGTCGTGCACGCGGCCCAGCGTGGCCACCGCGTGGCGCGCGTACGTGCGCGCGTCCGGCACCAGCAGCCCGCCGCGCTCCAGCCGCGGGGAGAACGCGTTCATCTTCGTGGCGATGAACAGCGGCGACACGTGCTGCACGTGGATGCCGTGCGCCGCGTACTCCTCGCGGATGGCCAGCGTCAGGCTGCGCACGTACACCTGAACACACACATCGCACAACTAGTCTCGCTTTGTTTTCTAAGAGCTTGGAGATGCATAACTTCATTATTAGTTGTGCTACTAAACAGTGGAAATGGCTGCGAAATAGTCGACAATCGCATAACAGTTCTTAGACAAAAGACCTAAAGGTCGTTTATATGAGCAGTGAAACTGGAAATTAGGACAAACAAAAAAGCGCGAAAAAGCATAGAACTTAGAAGACCATATATTTAACAAGATGTCCAGTCCGTTGTAAAAGACGGTACCTTGGTAGCAGCGTATACAGCCATGAGGGGCAGCGGTTGCAACTCAGCACCGGAGCAGACGTTGACGAGCGCGCCCCGGCCGCGCGCCGCCATGCCGGCCAGCACCAGCCGCGACAGCAGAGTCACCGCTCCCACGTTCACATTGATTAACTCCCACGCCTTGCTAGCCGGCAACTCGCATAACCGCGCCGGATAATCATACTGGATGCCCACGTTGTTCACTGAAATACACAATAAAATAATTATTAGCTTTTGGACTTGTTTACTTCAATGAACAGTTTAGCATTATCAGACGCTCACCCAATATTCCTAACGGTATATCCTTGAGCTCGTCTTCGATGTGACGGTACACTTCTGCGCCTTTACTGAAGTCGGCCACAATGATCTTAGTTTTTACACTGGACTCCTTCTCTGAAACACACGACAGTTTGGTTAAATACCGCAATATTACAAGCAATTACATGTAGTTGAACAGTATTATACCGATCTCTGCTGCGACATTCCTCAGCTTGTCAAGGTTACGGCTGATGAGGACGATGTTGAGTCCGCGACGCGCCAGCTCCCGCGCGTACTCCCTTCCCACGCCATCCGTACTGCCCGTCACCGCTGTAAAAAAAATTAATTTTGACTTTCAAAGCATAATAACAGACTTCTTGCACATAGCAAGCTCGATAGATAACACAACCAAAGCTGATAAAATACTTGATTTTATTCGGTTCAGTGAGGCTGCATCATCTGTGATTCGATCATACATGTTTTTTTTTTTAAAGAGAAGCAAAATGTTAGCGTGGTATGGACATGTTATGCGACGAGACGACGCGTCGTCCCGTCGCGACGGGGATATAAAGCAGAAAGTAAATGTGGATGGCTACAAAAGAAGAGGAAGACCGAAGAAAGTATGTATAGATCGTGTGGAAGAGGATATGTTTAAGAAAGGAGTGGATTCAGATATGACGGCTGATAGAGATGTATGGAAGAGCATATCATACTGTGCCGATCCTCCATAAAGGATAAGGGCAGGTGGACGATGTTTTTTTAGCTTTTGTGTCTCTTTGGTTAAATAATGCATATTTCACATGTTCAAGGTTAATAAGTAATAGATATTTCATTGCGACATCACTTCACGCAATGATTCAGCATTAAAATATTTGCTCAACAAACCACTTTCGTGTTGTCGTGTTTATTTTAAGCTATGCCTATTGCAAATTCAATGACTCGTGTAATTTTAATTAAATATAATATTTACCTGTATGCGATTCGTTATTTTACATATGCTTGTTAAAATTTTTATATCTCTAACGATTTTTGAAAGATCAAGGTATTTGATTACTATTTGGTATTTTGCAGAATATTAAGCAAAGAACATTTCCATATGCATAAATAATAGATAATCTAATCACGAAAACCACAAACATTTTTTTAAAATTATTCAACTTCATTTTTGCTATGCTAACTTCATTAACTGATGGAATTAACTCTACAATAAATATGATACAATTCAAAGCTAACTAATTTATCTGATTTCCATAACAGGATCGATATATGTCGTGACCCAAAGTGTAATATCAAGGTTATGTATTGCAATACACAGGCCATGTTGTATGTTGCCACAGACCTATCGTTTATGGCGAACTAATTTTAACATCATCATCAAGACTAAAAACAAAAGACAGTTAAACACACGCACAGTTTTAACAATTCAATTGTTTAGATAGAACTGTCAAAACTAACCGTATTCCCATCTTCCTCATCTTACTCCCGTAGGGTCGGCGCAACAAGTTTTTGTCCTCCACATAACTCTATCATACGTCATCTCAGTCATCACTCCCTTCTTGATCATGTCACCTTTCACGCAATCCATCTTTCTAAGTCTACCTCTAACGTTGTACTTCCACACTCATAACTAACGTTCTGGTTACAAGCGATTCATCCCGTAACCGTATGTTATCATCCACTTGCCCTTATCCTTTACGGAGAGTCGGCACAGTATGTGTTGCTATTCCATCTTTATCAGCCGTCATATCTGAATCCACTCCTTTCTTAAGCATATCCTCTTTCACACAATCCATCCATACTTCCTTCGGTCTTCCTCTACCTTTGTAGTCAACCGTATGTACGGGGGCTGAAAGAGTAAAAGCGCCCACACACCTATAACACAATCGCACAACTGTTTAGTCGCGCTTTGATTATTATGAGCTTATAAAGACGCGCACACTACTTGACTTTTTAGTTGTGTAACTAAACAGTTGAATGTGTTGCGAAACAATCGACAATCGCAACAATTGTGTGATAGTTTAATCAAAGGTGTGCGTCCGCTACAAGAACTTTTATAATGAAGTTGCGTCAGCAGTTCCTCATGTATCCTGATGTTATTTAGCGACATGGCTGTGAAATTAAACAATCGAAATTTTCCGATGTTTACAATAACAATTGACATTAAAGCTTCAAGGAGATTGGCATAACTTGTCGCAGTTTTATGACATTTTGTGACTGAACCCTTGAACGTTACTCAATGTAAATGTTACATCACTTATAGATTGAGAAACATTGTCGAAAGCTGATAATGTCGCGGTGCGTGTTCATATGTTTGTCCCCTCCGCGAGGGACAAGGCTAGCCACTTTCATTTATTCAATAGTATAGGAAAATCAGGGATACAAATACGAGAATTAATTCAAACTGAATAATCATAAATATTAACTTAAGATAAAGTTATTTTCAAAAGTTAATTTTGGTTTAATACTTATTGTGTTTAATATTTTTTCGTTATAAGGTTTTCTAATTTAACTATTTACATATATTAGTAACCGCTCAAAGCTTTTGTAATTATGCTTCTTTCTGACGCCGGCGTTAAAGTAGGCCGCGATTAGACGACACTAGTCTGAAAGTTTTAAAAACGCAAAGGAATATTATTAACAAGCTTACGCCCGCGACGCCGACCACGTGGAATTACACATAAGTGAGTATCCTACGTATTCTTCCAGACTATCCTCCACAAATACGCCAAATTTCATAAAGATCCGTTCAGCCGTAGAGGCTACAAACTCTAACAAACATCCATCTAAACTTTCACATTTATAATATTAGTAAGAGAGGTACTTACTTAACTATGTTAACGTTATTTATTTGTAGGAATTTAAGTGTCAAATAAAACCCCTGTGGTCTCTCCTAGCGCTAAATTTCGAAACCACTCTATCATTCATTTCTACATATCCCAAACTATTACGCATTTTGAAGAAGACAAATGCCTCAAAATGTACAAGACATTCATCTTGACGGTGTACCGAGAGTGCGGCGATATCTCGCGAAAGTTGACGCAACTGAGCTAAGACTGCGGTTTCACTTGCGCTGCACAAGGTCAAGAACTATTGAACAGTACACCTGTCACTTCCTATATAGACAATGCCTTTTTGCCTTCAATAAGACTGAACTTAAACGTGCTTTGTATAACGCACTAATGTGAACTATATCAACGAATTCCAGAAGTCTATGGGTAACAAGTTTTATTTATTGGATTTTACAGATTTTTTTAAATAATGTCGTCATTAAAAATGGTGTTATGCAATAAAGTAAACATAAAAGTAAAAGCAATGAGAACAGTATTATAAAGGAAGTTATTGTGTACGCAGTGACATAACTTCTGCCTGATGGTGTGGCTTGCGTAACGGTATACGTTATATGCACTAAGTATTTATATGTAACTAACTTTCGCACTCGACTCGATACGAGTGAAATTTAAAAAGAAGTAAGTAGCCTGTATGTTCTTCTAGACTATCCTCTACGTCTATGCCAAATTTCATCGGGATTCGTTCAGCCGTTTAGGCTACAAACATCCATCCATATAAACTTTACTATTTATAATATTAGTACGATTGACACAGTAATAAGTGTAGTCTTTGTCAATAACTCCCAGGATTCATTTAACAAATGAAAAAAACATTACAAATAAGTACAGAATTACAAATAAACGCGGTGCAAAATTAAACTTAGGAAGAAACTGAGTATAAGCAAAATTTGTACTAATATTTGCTTAATATTATAAGCAGATTTTGTAGTAATATTTGCTTATAATCAGTTTTTTCCTCAGTTTAACTTCATATCGCGTTTATTTGTTAGACGTTATTGATAGAGTGCTGACTGTCAGCTATAAAGGGCGGAATGTGAAAGAGGAGAATGCTTGCACCAAGCCGAAAATCAAACCAAGCCTAGATCACGGACGCAAGCTATACTGTTGTAGAGATAATTCATTGTTTTTAGACAATAATATGATCGTACCAACATAATCTTCGACACTCAGACAACCGATTCCCGCCAGAATGGCGCGAATACTTTATACTTCTGATTGACATTGACAGATGTCATAAGGACGGGACGTATATGACAATCTAGTGTTGTGCCGCTACTCAAGCACGATACCGATTTATTCTTAACACTTAACAACGTATCGTTGCTTGCAGGATGAATATTCTAACATTAATAACCGATATTACGACAGTCGTAACAACTCATACGAGTACATCTGCCAAATGGGCACGTGCGATAAAAGGCATTGGGCAACCGACGCCTCGCAGCTTGCCTCAGCATCTTTCAACATCCCTCTGTAGCCGATGCCAGAGTCAACAAATGATTATTTCGTAAACTAACCTTGATTATACATAGTATCGAATCGAGACTTTTTAAAATATTTTTTTAACAGTTTTCTAACACACATTCGTGATTATTTTTAAGGCGCTGTTTCCTTAGTTGTAGCGACGGAGGCAGACCCAAACGTGGACTATCCCTTAGACAACGGCAAGTGGTAAAACAATAAATTAACAATTTTTGTACCGATTAATAAATAATTTATAACTCTTGTTAGGAGCATATACAAACAGTGTATGCACAAAACTGTAGAATTGACTTTGTTGTAAAGTAACAATAATATTTTTACGATTGTCTACAAAACGTTCTCACGTAATAAATAAGCGATGCTTGAGGTTTATTTGCATTATATTAAGGTAAACGTTTTTATATCGCTTATTTTACGTCATACAAAATATCTTACGTCTTATTTTTTAACCTTTTATTTTTATTATAAACCAGAAGTAACCTTTACATAATCTACATTTTTATAATGTGGCATATTGTTTTTATATCTAGCCAGAACTTGAAGCTAAAAAAAGTATAATATAGTTTACTCAGTAACTCAGTATAGTAAAAATAAAAAAGAATAAGTCTACTCTACTCACCAGCCCAAGATCCAAATCTTTTTGTCAAAGATTGTTCTTCGAAAGGTAAGAAAAACGGCTTGAGATACGATATTAACAATTCAATTGAACTCCACGAAGCTTCGATGATAAAATAAATCGTCCACACAACTCCGATTGCCGCCAAAATAAAAAACAACATGGCGACCGACGGAAAAATTTCCAGAACTTTCTTGCTTGTAAGCTGATATATTTTACGTTTAATGTATTATTTTTTGATTTGTAAACAGTTTTTTAAAGCATTGACTAAATTACAACAAATATAGTACTGTAAACACAAAACGCAGGCGCTTACTAATTCACGTTTCTGAATATTCAAGGTATAAGTAGACGTTCGAAGCAGAATAACTTGTTTATACGTTAAAAATAAATTAAACATTTAATCAAAGAATTAAATCCAGTTCCGCGAAAAAATATTTTTTTTGTGCGTTTTTTTATAAAGTAAAAAAACAGATTTCTATTGTTTACTTCTTCCACGTAATGTTATAGAAGTAAAGATATTATTTAATATATTGTTATTGTTCTTCATTTATTTTAAATTCTCATAAATAAAATATGTGAGAACAAATCATCATCCACTTGCCCTTATCCCTTGCCGTCATATCTGAATCCACTCCTTTCTTAAGCATATCCTCTTTCACACGATCCATCCATACTTTCTTCGGTCTTCCTCTACCTTTGTAGCCATCCACATTCAATCTTAACATTTTGTTTTGTATGTCCCCATCGTTTCGTCCCATGTGAGAACAAATGAAACATAACTATTAAAGTAACCTATAGGGACTTAAAGTAAATTCGTCCCGGCTTAGACCTCATAGGGTTCAGGATTCCATTAGGGTTGCGATCTGTTACAACACACTACGTTCTACCGTAATGACAACCGTAAATACGTTATTATTTTAAGTGCAATTAACTAGTTCCCACTGTCGTTATTGATGTCAATTACAGTTCAATCAAAATTATACAAACTTGGTCAATAATCATGAAAAGTTTTGCAATGCAATATACAGTTGCTTGCTCGATTTATCGCCTTACAATATCATTAAAGATTTCACGTCTACCTAATTGGGGTAAACAAAGTAATCAGTTGCTACTATAGTTTCTTAAATTATGATATAAAAGCGAATACAGCCACAGAAAACGACTGGTTAAGTTTCAACCATTTCAGATTGTAAACTAGCGAGCCGACGCAATACTTGACTTGATACAGTTCAAAGGTGAAATTGTTTTCAAACTCAGTACTTTATTATTACGCAAAACAACGTTATAAGAATATTAAGTTACAGCAAAAACAAATTCTTAATAATAATTACGGCACATTCTATTTAAAACATAATTTTTCAAAGAATCGAGCCGTGTTTGAATGAACGTACCCTTAACCATCAAGCTATTGGCGCTTCTAAATAGCAATTCCAAAAAATAGATAGTAACGAAATAAATAAAATTCATTCATATTAACATGAAATACATTTTTAATTCTATTCCAGGATAAATAAAACTTTGTATTGAACTATATTTTCATCATTATTATTCTAAGTATGCATTGTGTATTGTTCGAATCTATTTTAAACAATAATTAAACGTGATTCTTATACCAATGGCAAATCTATAAACAGACATTGGAAAAGCTACACTTTAAATGCAACTGGTTGCGGAAACCAACCAGTTTTTAAAGGTAATAGTGTCAAAGGCGCATATTTCAAAGCTTCAAGGGCCTGTATATTCTAACAAAAATCTTACTATTTATGAATAAAACAGCCTTTAATCTTACCAGCCCACGATCCGAACTTCTTTGTCAGTGACTGCTCCTCCGTGGGAAGGAAGAACGGCGTCAAATATGATGTTACCAGTTCGAGTACACTCCATAAAGAATCTAGTAAAAACAAAGTCACAGCGATAGCACCAATTATTGCTAATATTATAACTAAAACCATTTTTATAAACGAGAAGATAAAAGAGCGATAATCAAATGTTTTCCGTTGTTTTAGACTTTGTTTACAAAACAAAGTTATAAAAAAGAAACACTCGTCGTCACAACATGACCGCGCGACGCGAACTGTTCAATTGAATTTACTGAGCTCAAGCAAAATGTGTCATTGCGTAACTTGTAAAACAATATTGACCTACAAAACTTTATCTATTTTTTATTCCTTTTTAACTTGTATTAAGATTATTAAATATTTAATTTAAGCAAATATTAATTATAATTAAAACCGATATAATACTAAGTTTCAATCTTGATTTATATCGATCCAAAAGCGCCTAAATTTTTAATATAGCAAATAGTACATTTGTATTCAATTTTCATTAAATATTCAGGAGTACAACAGTAGAAAATATGTGATCTAATTATACAAGGAATCGAATTGATTAACTATAAAGTGTTTTGAGACATCGTATACTTTGAATATGGTAAGTTGTCATATGAAAGGCCAACAAGGTGATAATTTTTCTCATAAACAAAATGATATAAAGTCAAAAAGGCGGTTGCCAGAGCGAGAGATGTAGCTAGAGAGAGCTAGTTATACTTGGGGCCGCCAAAATACAAAAATGGCGCTAAATTGATATTGTATTTGATAATTTCGCGCTACATGGTTTTGAATAGTTACAAGGCTATTCCTTCCTCTTTTCTGCATAATGTTATGTTGTATAACATCATGTTCATCAACATCTGTATACTAAATCCATTTGTTGTTGCATTTTTACCACATCGTATTAAAACAACGAATAGTTTTTTATCTGTATATTTAGTACAGTAGTATGTTTTTATATTTACTTATTACATATCTTAGTTTTAGACAATATTTTAATTTATAGAGAAAACTTATTCCCTGTCATTTCATTCATATGTTTTATTCATTTATTTACACGATGTTTGATGAATGTTGTTTCGTGTCTGCCGCCGGGTTGTCAGTCTTTGTTTTACTTAAAGTCTGCTTCACGAGTTTTAGAGGAACTGGAAAAAAAAATGATTAATTAAAACATTTTTAGTATTAACATAATAAAACACTAAACTTTAAGAACTGATAAAATCCATTACACTTTCTGCATCTCTAGGTTACCCTATAGATTAACATTTTATATCGAAATAAAATTCAGGGCCGAAAGTGAAAGATATGAGACGCCAGAACGAAAAGCGCTTATTATTGCCAAACTTTGATTTTACATGTCGCAAGTCGAAGGTCACACGCGGCTGGTTTTGCTACACTCCACATCTGAATACCTGAATATAACTTGAATACTCGTAAATAGGCCTATGTTAAATTATTAGGCTCTTGGTATTTTAAACTACATTGTAGTGGTGTCTATCGCGATAACAGCGCCACTCTCACCGGACCACACGTGGGATTAAAAGTAACTAAATATGGCCACTACAAGCCATATGGTATTAAGATTAAAAATAAAATGTAACACGCCACTACAAATATAAAACTTAAATGAGAAAAAAAAGCGCGTTTTTAATTGCGGTTACATTTACACGAAACGAATTCTAATTTTAAAAATAGCACCGCATTCTGAGGACCTTTTTATGACATTCTGTAACGTAAGGTCAGTTTCCGCTACACAGACTGGTTTTAAAGAGAAAAGAGATGATGACATTTTTGCCCATATTTCGGCAGTACATTGTGGGAAAATATCTATGCTTTTAGAAGCCACTTTTTTTTAAACAATTAACATATTGAAATGAGGTCATCAATTTATTAAATTTATTATTCTATTTGTGCGTGAATTGTGAATAATTAAAATAATATGAAGTCACCAGTTTTTTCAGAAATACGAAAACATAACTAATTTTAGATTTCATATTATTTTTATACCGAAAGTAATACAATATGCGTTTATAAAGTCAGAATTTACTTAGTAAGAACCTTAGACTAAGCTATCGCACGACAGTTGTGCGATTGTCGATTGTTTTGCAGCCAATTTAACTGTTTAGTTGTACAACTAAAACCCAAGTAGTTTTGGCACTCAAAGTGCAACTAAACAGTTGTGCGATAGTTTAGTCAAAGGCGTGCGGGCGTTTTTATTCTGCAGCTCTTTTGGTAGTCCGTTTCTTTATATTCAAAGTGTACCGGTATCGGCGATCGGCGAACTCACACTTGTTGGTTTTTTCTATTATTTAAATAATCTAAATAACGTTTTAACATTTTACCCTTATGGGATATTAACATAAGTTATGTCAACCGACAATACAAATGACCTTTTTTGTACTCACGTATTGTTTGTTATGTATCTACACATTGACTATAGACAAACGGACAAAAGTGCCGCGATTGTACAAAATAAATACATCTTTTTGTGGGTGGTGAAGTAAAAATGTTATTCACACATATTATTATGTCTTTATGAACGCATACATAAATTCACAAAACAGAAGTAGAGAAGATTAATAGCTATTGTTCAATAATTCGTTTTTATTTGAGTTTGGTCCTGTCTTTTAAAAATCAAAGTGTGTGATGGATGGATGTTTGTTACAGTTTGCAGCCTAAACAATTTAACGGAGATCGATGAAATTTGGCATAGATGTAGAGGATAGTCTGGAAGAACACATAGGTTACTTGCATTTGTTTTTGTATAACTCCACGTTGACGGTGTCGCGGACGAAAGCTAGTACGTTATAAGCTAAATACAGAATTATTTGATGTTGTTTTATTATTAGGAAATATATTTGCATAATGTTCTGATTTAAATTGATGATTATCGTACGTCGTAAATAGTGATAGCAAATGCATTTTATTAGTATTCAAATGGTGATTAAGTTAATATATTAAAACATTTTAATCTTAATATAAATAATTATTTAAATTCATTTTCAATCAAAGAGATCCTTCTTTAAAGAGTACCTTGTTTCGATTACTTAGTAAACATAACTTGGTTATCCATTTTCTATTTCATAAACTAGCGTTTTTTATTTTGTTTTTAAAATATACTATCTATCTATAGTACATATTAATGTCTGTAATATTAAAAACAATCCACATGAACACATACTTGAGTTATTTATAATACGAGTAGTTATAAGTATTTTATTACCTGTGGTTGTAAGAAAAATTGATTTTATTTCTGTTTATTGGAGCAAATCTCAGAAACGGTAGGACTTTTACTGGAAGGTGGTATATGCAAGAGTAATTTAGGTTATATTTTTAAACATTTTTTGTAGAAAACTTCATAATAAAATAAACAATAAGGGAATGTAACCTCAACCTTTACGGCCGGAAAGCGCGTACCTATTACGTTCAATGGTATGCATAATCTGTTTTCCGTGAATCATTATAAATCATTTTAATTATTGGAATAACACTATTCTACTTCATAATCGTTTAATTAACATGTCAAATTCATTATTTTAAAAATCTTAATAACCTTTTGAATTATAAAAACATGAAAAAAGTACCTTTCCATATTTCTCTTTTTTCTTTAGGCTCTTCATCTTCCCGTGATTTACTTCTGCAATGTCTTATTAATTCTAACAAGGATAATAACGTTAGAGTGCATAAAAACATATAAACAAGCGTCTCTAACATCGTTAGTTTTACACCGACAGACGTTCTTACGTTCGCAATGCTAACACTGACTGAAGAGTAAAAACTCAGCAGCCATACCGGTTGTGCCTTGTTGCGACATCTTAAACAACATTGAACTTGAGATTTTGTATATAAGCTTTATACAATAAAAAACTATGCCATGTGTTGCAAATTTATGCACACCTCGATATGGCTTTGATAAATTGGAATAGAGGTTCAGATAGATGAATGACGAAGGCCGTCTAGGTTACAGCGTTTTTTGTTAGTGTCATGTTTCTGTGGTAAGAATGATGTGATCGCAGTAGACCGTATCAAACACATGGCCCTGAATCCCAATGGTATCTTGAATTTATTTTTTTCCTGTCTAGTTCGAATTAAGAAATAGTTACCTTTATATCTCACTGTCCTTGTTAATTTCACAACGAGATTTAATTAACATTTTGTCGACTTTTTGATTAAGAAATTTGTTTTGTAAAAACAATTATGACAGTGAAAGCCCCGACCTCCAATTATATTCGGAATCGAATATTACTCGCGATTAGATCTTCGCTTAGTCTACAATTTAGTATTCTGGATCTAGGGTCAGCAACCTTTTGTAGTATCGTAATAATTACTTTTTTTAAAATATGTAATACTTAGAGTGAGGGAGAGAATACTTTAAGGAGGTAAACGTGCGGATTTGATAATTAAATTGCCGAGTCTACAATATTTTGTCAACATTGAGGTAGGCGATAAGAGAACATATTAAGATTTCAGTCAGTAAAGGAGAAAAGTAAAAGCATAAAATAATGATTATCTAATTATAGCGTATATATGACATGTTTCTGTACTGTGTTACTTTATAATTAATTGATATCTCATAGGTCTTTTTAATTACACTTAGGTTTTAATTAAGTATGAGGTCACTCTATTTTTTTTTCAGTTCTTCATATCTACATTAAATTAAGGTCATGCGTCGCTTAGGTCAATGTTTTAGTCTAACGCTGTAAAGTTAGTGGTTTCTGTTCTATGCGTATTCATCTGATTCTGTTTAACAACTTTTAAATTTTTGATGTAAATATGAAAAATTGTAATAGTCGCTAATCTGGAATTGAACAGTTTTCTGCTTACAAGATTTCAGAGACCATTTAAAATTTGTCTAAACTATAATGAGATAAAAAAAGACGTTTCCGATAAATATTTTTTACTATTTAAAATGGCAGAAAACTCGATACCATTACCATTTATCCAAAAAAAAAAAACATATTTACAAAGGTTGACAGATAGTTGACAGTGACAGCTGACAGCGAACAGAAAAGCTGCGCGAAGCGTATTGTTATGTCAATTTGTCAAATAAGTTGTTTTATCGATTAAAACAAAACAAGGGAAAGCCATCTTTGTTGAAGCAAAATATCTAATAAACAAAACTGTAAAGTTACACTACCATGGAGAAGGATCTGGATAAAGTTGTGGACGAAATAATGGCTACACCTCAAATAAACGGATGCATAGTTGCTGATCATCAAGGGCTTTGTCTCGCAGCTAAAGGTACTGCGCATGTGGATTCTGCGGGAATTATCGTGGCTATATCAGAACAAGCTTGTAAGATACACCCTAATTTGAAGCCGCCCACGGTCTGCTTGGAGACAGATAAAAAGTTATGCCTGGTACAACGACACGGCACTATAACCGGAGCCATTTTCAAGCTTAGGACATAAGTTGTTATTTATATTAAGTTTAAATTAATAATGTTTATTTGTAAAAAAATGTTTATAATATATTTTAATTAAGTTATAATAAAGGCATGATTATTTATTTTTCTAAGTTTCAATTTCTTTCATTATGTTGCTTAGCAGTCCTATTCCCTCTTTTCTCTAGTTTTAACTGAACAAACAAATTGTACAATTACAACTGACTTTATAGAACTGAGAACTCTCCAATTAAACTGACATTTTGAAATAAATTTTAGGAAAGGGAAGCTTGACTGGTCTCTTTAATAAAACTCCATAAATATATTGCAGTGTTGTATTTCCATACACAAGTTGTTCAACAGTTTACATTAGTTAAGACAAAAGAAATCACTTTACAATAGACAAGCTTCAAAGCTTTACAAGCATAATTGCTGATGTAATCATACTGAACAGAAAAATAATGTTTAAAATTAAACAAAAGGTATATTTTACACTCTTTAAATGTGAAAAATGTATAATAAAACAAAAATCAGATTGTACTATTTGTAAATAAAATATCTTTATTCAATGTTACAATTTCTATCAAGTTAATGAGTACACATTTATTGAAAAATATTTTAACTAAAAATAAACTGATATAGATTCTATTTTGAACAGATTATCAAAGCCCTTATATTTTTACTTTTAATAATATTCATATAATCACTTTATTCAAACACCAACTTTGAGTTCTTGAATCATATAAAAATGTCATCATACAAAATCACATAATCATTGCATTTATTTTGTCACAGATTGCAATTTTCAATGCAAAATCTTTCCATGTAGTTCCATCGCCTCAACATTTGTATATGTATATGTTTAAATTTATACAAAGACAAAGGATTTTTTAATAATAAAATGTAGCAAACATACAAGCAGACACTTGTATTTAGCAAAAATAGTAAATTAACCACTGCTGATAGACAGTTTTATTGAATTTAATTGATAGAGAAGACATCCAGGTTATTTTCCTGTGTCTCCTCCTCTGGTGAATCAAAATTGACAATGTTCATATACAAGTGTTGTGACAATGAAAACCGACTGCAGGAATATCTTAATCTATATATAAAATTACTCAAAATTTATAAAATCTTTATATTACTTACTTTTTTAGTCCAACAAATGTTTTATCTTTCAGTCATATTGATGGCTCCTGCGTGAACTATCATATGTTTGAAAAATAAAATTTGCAATACTTTGTGGCGTAGGATGTCAGCAATCACAGTTTATTTTTGTATAACTCTTTCTTTAACAAAAAGCCCTACACTTACAATATGATTTAGGCTACATATTGCCACGCTATTAAACTTAGGGCTAAGTAAATTGAAAAAAAAACCTTGTGAGAAAGGGCCCATAACTAGACACTGTCCATATTAAGAAAGCAAGGTTTTTATGGTAATTGTAATATTGACATTTGCAATTGAGAATAAGACAAACATAAACAATAAAATAAAGTGTTTATAATTTGAAGCGGTTTAAACAGCAGTCATACGGTATAAGACAGGTAGCTGTTTGTTACATGTTTTATGAAACACAAACATATAGACAAACAAAAAACAGTTCTTTCTAATTACTAGGTAAATAAGTATTTAAAAACATGAAACAAGGTGTAAATTGTAATATTGTGACTTATGATAGTCTACACAGGAGCTGCTATTGTCAATAAATCTCAAATATTGAAAACTACAATTTTGTGATATAGGTATTTAATTGCAGCTAAGCTGCTAATACAACTTTAGACAAGCCTAATTTGCTAAATCTGAGTCTAGCGTTACTAGTTTTAATATCACTATATAATATTGCTGGACATTTACAGGAACAATTTCCATATTGGTTCACAATTATTGCTTATCTAAAGGCATAAACATTCAGTACATCAAGTATACTATACAAGGCTGGGGAAATCAGACAAATAAATTAACATAAATTTAGTTATATTCCAAAATTTATAATTTGTCAAAATAATTGTAACATTTACGTTATAAAAACTTAATGTTGGACTTACCGAATTAAACAAAAATGGAATTTCCTAACAAATAAAAGATTTTACCAATCATAATAAGTCTTTAAATCTGACTTACTTATAAGGCTTGTTTCTCCTTGCTTCTTTATCACATAAGAAATTATAAAAATACAGTCAAAGCCAAAGCCAGAATCTCTAACACTAGCACTTTTACACTATCTGCACTGACACTTGGGCGTTTTTCACTTACATTAGTTGAGTTCACATTGATTGTCCATTCATATAGCGGATTATCACAAATTAAACTTAATACTATTTGAAATAAGGTTAAATTTTACTTCGCAAATCTTATCAAGTGCTAACAAGCAGTATAAAAGTCTCATTAAAATATACCAAATTGTTGACATTTAGGGCCTGTCCCACTTATAAACTGTCTGATAGCAATCTATAAATAAAATAGGTGATGGAAATAGCGGATTTTGTTACCTTGTAGGACAGTGACTTTATCAGCCAGTAGTGGGACAGGGCCTTAAAAACTACAATTTGGTATTGAGTTTATATATGTACTTTTATACCCTTTGAGAGCACATGAGCCAAAGTAATATTGAACCTTATTTCAATTGTATAAGGTTAAATTTGCGATGTATATTCTGAAGTTCTCCGTCAATGCTTGGAGCAGTATGTGGTGCAGAGGCAGTGCCTGCAACAACGTCACACTGCCGCCTTCACCAGGGAGTCGGCAGCCAGCAGCAGCATACGGAACTGCCTCGTCAGAGCATGTCCAGGGTTTGCGGAGAGGAACGCCATCACCTGCTTCTGCAGCTCCCGGAGCACCACAGGTAAGTGCTCTCGGGTCACCGGGTTTGTTGTGTCTAGATTCATTATAGCTTCCTCCAAATACCTGAATAAGTATATGATTTTTAGCTATTTCACACTAAAATATTAAGTTAAAATGCAATTTTTATAAAATTACCAACTCGGTTTAAATTAAAAAATGGCTTGTTAGGTTTACTTGACAAGTTACCATTACCTTATTCAAGTTGGGTGGGAAATTTTCTTATTGAATTTATCATATACTAGCTTTCGCCCGCGAGACCGTACACGTGTAATTTAAAAAAAAAACAGTGCCTATCTTACCTACCTACCTAGTTCTACCTAGTTTACCTAGTTTTTCCCGACTATCATCTACATCACCAAATTTCATCCATTCAGCCGTTTAAGCTACAAACTCTAACATCTATCTAAAGTTTGAGACCTATGTTTGAGCTGCGTGTCACGCTGCATGTCCGCGGCGAGCTGCTGCACCAGCGACAGCAGCACGTTTTGCTTCAGTCTGCAGGGGGGCCCGAAGACACGAGCTGGTTCAGCTGCCCGGCACGCTGCCACCACCAGCGCGAGGTCGGAGGCGGACAGTGCCAGCTGGAACGCGCCGTTCACATCCCCACTTGACATCAGCGACTGGATCTGGGCTACCTGCATCTAAGTTTAAAAAAAAATCGATACTGATTCGTGAAATAAAAAAATTGAGTCTGCAAAATTTTAATTTGTCAACAACATTATTGAGTACAAAAATAAAATCATACTATAATGAATCATAGACATTTTTAGTGTTGCATCATTTTCGACATTTTTTAAAGGCCGCCATCTTTGAAAGTCGGGCATTCGCTCGCTGGCTCTGGTAGCGTCAAGTCGTATCAAAGTGTTCCCTACATTTTGAGGTTGCAATTGTAATAAATGGTTGATTCTTTGTTCCTCCAAGTTATTGTGATAAAATTCGTTCGAAGTTGCTAAAAATACAATTATTCTACATTACCGTATTTTTTTTCTGGATAAAAAATAACCCTATATGTAAACTACTTCAAAGCTATACCAGTATGTACACAAATTAATTTTACAACTAAATAATGCAATCCAATACCACATCTAGTCAACAATGAATCTGGAAGTCGGTTGAACATTAAATTCTATCGACTTAATTACCTAACGAACTATTAAAAACCAATATGTATAAATGATTTCTATACAAATAAGTTTAAATTCATCAGTACTCTGACTAGGAATGGCAATGATTCTTGGACGCAATTTCTCGGTGTAGTGCGATGTGATTTCTGCAAGAAATATTCATATTGAAAAATCTGTACAAAACTTATCTGGTTAGAAAGAGACAGTCATATCTATATGGTAATAATTTTTGTAGAATTACCTATTGAACCTCATTTTAGCTTATCTTAGTGATTGTAAATTAATTAATATGTGGAGTAAGCTTTTGTATGTGTACCTACATATACATATAGTCCAATTCATTAGAAACGTGAATTTATAACTAATCCAAACAATTTGACATTTATAAGAGTGCAGAGAGATATTATAAACAGAACTATTTGTATTAGATAATTGCTTACTCCTATAAGCTCGATAATAGTGTGTGTTAATGTACGTAGTTACGTGCGTACGTAACGTCCATGTTTGTCCGTGGTTACGTGTACGTAGGTGCGTGCGTGCGTGCGTGCGTGCATACCTGTCTGTCAGCGGCGCTGTGCGCGGCGGCGGAGGGCGAGTGCGCCCGCGACGCCTGCAGCGCCACGCTGCGCGCCTGCTCGCGCCACCACGCTAGCTCCTTCTCTAGCACGCTGCACAACAATTATCTATTAAAATGTCTTTTTAAAACTTACTAGCATCATTGTTTTTGAATAGCTAAGTCGTCCCTTAGTATTAATTTCTGAACCTATATAAGTTCATAGCAAAAGACAAAAATAAACATTTTGTTACACAGAGAAGTGGTTACTTATCGATTCACATATTACATATACATGACATATATCTCGCGAGCATAGTTGTTTCTCCCTTATCAAATATATTTAATATTTTTTGCGATAAAAAACTGCTTTTTATCTCCCCGGTGTATGTGAGGGAATTTTAATAAAATGAAGCCTGTATTTATAGACGAAGTAATTCAAAAGACATGTGTGAAGTGAACCCGCAGTGGGCCAGCGAGGTTACCCTCAGCCAGTGGGGATGTGAGGGGCTGGTGCAGACCTGTGCGTGACGTCACGCAGCGTGGCGGTGATGTTGTGCGGGGCTGCGCTGGCGGCGGCGAGCGCCTCCGCGTGCCGCTCGAGCGCGCCGCGCAGCGCCTCCGCCCCTGCGGCCCCCCCGCGCTCCGCCGCCAGCCGCGCCGCTGACTCCGTCTTGGCTGCGACTGCATGGCACAAATTACATTTATATACAAAAAACTATTTTCAAAATATTGACACTTTGGAATGTGAAACAAACGCTATAAACTTTCATCTTACTTCTACCTAACTTAAAGGATTGTCTACCCTTATGTCCACAAAATAAGTACAATTTTAATTTAAAAGTCGAACTATTCAGTTAAAACGCTCGTATGTAGATAAAATTTAACTATACAGTTCAACTGCCATGAAAAACATCGTGATGCAACTCAGCGATAAAACTTTAAGATATGTATGAAGTCAGAGGCCTAGTCACGGTTAAGTTAGGTAATCACCAAGGCTCCTGGGAAGATGTAAAGTAACTCACACTCCTTGGTGCCGTTCTGGAAGGCCTGGTTGATCTGCCTGAAGATCTGCGCGTGCGCCTTCTCCATGAGCGGCAGCACGCCCTCGCACAGCGCCTCGCGGAACGACTCGCGCACCATCTCCGACAGCGAGGAGGCGATGGCGCCGCTCAGCCGCTCCATTAAACTCTGCACAATCATTTTTAACACACATTTCAATATTATTCTACAGTTAAATTAATTACCTGTATAAAATTGTTGAAAAGGCTAATAGTAAAGATATTTTTTTTTAGTGGAATGAGAAAGTTTAACAATGTCTGGTACAATTTTGTGGAAAACAGATGTTTTTGAATTACCTATGTGGATCTCTAGTATGCTATATATAATTACTAGCTTATAACCAACGAATCCGTCCGCGTGGAGTTGAAGAAAATAACCAAAGCCTTCTAATTCTTGCAAACTATCCTCTACATGTATGTTAAATTTCACTAAGATCGTTAAGCAGTTTAGGCTACAAATTCTAACATACAAAATCCAGCCATACAAAATTTTGCATTATAATATTGGTAAGTAAGATTTTAAAATTTTAACTGCTAGTCCAATTTTCGAGCACTCCACTGACAAGCTGGCGACGCTTGAATAGAAACATATAAAGAAAAAGCAGTTATAGGCTGAGAAAGGAATAGGACGGTTAGTAAAGTCCAACGGGTAATAATTTATACATCGATAGAATACACTTAATAGGGCATTGAGTCGCTAATTGTTAGCTAAAGGTGTCCATTATGGTGTGTGCGACCTTGCTGGTGGCGAGCTTGTCGATGTTGTCGCGCAGCAGGCGGTCGGTGGCGGACAGCTTGGCGGCCAGCTCGTGCTGCAGCGCGTTGGCCAGCGGCTCCAGCGCGCGCGACGCGCCCAGCCCCGCCGCCGCCGCCGCGCGCTTGCTGGCCGCCTCGCCCAGCCCCGAGATGCGCTCCCACCTGCCACACCACACAATACACTATTTTACTCCCTTTCCCGTCCCACCTTTTTTTCTCATCAATCGCAATGACTTGCTTTTTGATGTTGGCAGCAACTTATGGATCTTTCCACATTACGGTTTTTATCTAAAATATTTATCCCCTAAGATTAATGGCGTGAAAATATATAGCCTAAAGCGTGACGTAAGTGTAGGGCTTTTTATTAAAAAGAGAATTATTCAAAAATATGCTGTAATTGCTGACATCTTAGGTAACAAAGAAGTGTGTGTTTACACTTTATTATAATAGATTAGTAAGACTAGTAAGATTTTCGATTCCATCTTACAATTTCTTTGATCTTTCGAAGTTATTACTAAATGTGAAGTTATCGTATGTATGTATGTATGTTACCCGTCAGCCATGGCGGCGTGTATGGCGGCGGTGGTGCGCTGCGCGTGCTCGTGCAGCGCGCTGTCCAGCAAGTCCCGCGGCGCGCGCGCCTCCGCCCGCAGCGCGCGCACCTCGCGCGCCTGCGCCGACACCACCTCTGCACAACACACAACAAAACCCGAATTAAATCTAATATACTCGAAAACTTCCACAAGAAATATTTAAAAACAACCAGTTATGGCAATTTACATATACATTAAAAACATCAACACAACTAAAGGATTTCTAAATCTTGTCAGTCGAGTAATAAAGAGTCAATCCAAGAATTCACATCATATTCAAAACATCCAACAAAAAATACTTAAGGCCTGTCCCACCACCGGCTGATAGAGGCTGAGATAGCTTAAAAATGTCGTCACTGTCAGAAAAGGGAATAAAACCAGATATTTCCATCACATATTTTACAATTTCTTGGCACAGGCAATTACTTTTCTAAAATAATCACATAAAAGTAAGTTGAAGGATATTCTATTCCATTCTTTAGGTAAGAAATAGTAACAAATCATACACAACTGTAGTCTGGTTCACATTTCAATACTGATGATTACTTTTCAATTGTACTGGCAAAGTGTGAACCATGCATAAGGTGCCAAATTTTAGAACTTAGCGAGGGAATTTGAAAAAAAGCACTTTTTAATGATTAAATTTTGCCACAAAATCACATTATACTTAAAAAAATCTTTGCAGGAATGTTTTTATAGTAATAAAGTATACTTAAAAAGTTTGGTACAATTTAGCGTCATATGAATATTGCCTATTTAAATACGCACTAAAAACACGAACGCGACTGAAAGGTCTTTCAATTCTTGTCAGTCGGGTAGTAAAAATTCAATCCAAGAATTCACATCATATTCAAAACATCCAACAAAAATGGCTTACATATCTGAAGTAATCACATAAAAGTAACTTGAGGGATATTCTATTTCCATTGGTTAGGTAAGATCAAATAGTAACAAATCATACACAACCGAAGCCTGGTTCACATTGCAATACTGATGACTACTTTCCAACTGTACTGGCCAAGTGAATCGTACATAATGTTACTAACTTGGGATATTCCCTTTTTCATTGTTTTTAATTTTAATTACATCCTAAACTGTATAAAATATTTGCCAACATCACTTTGTAGCACAATTTAATACATTTCATAATAAATCTATATTCCACATTTATACAAGCTAAATGTAACAAAACTCACCCATTAACTTATCAATCTTCTGTTCGAGTGCGTCGAAACGTGCTCGAGTGACGTCATCAGTGGGGAGCGGCGCGGTGAGCGGAGCGAGCGGAGTGGTGAGCGGAGTGAGCGGAGTGGTGAGCGGAGTGAGCGGAGTGAGCGGTGCGGTGAGCGATGGGAGCGGTGGGAGCGGCGCGCTGATGCTGTGTGAACCCTTGTCGCTGGAAGCCTTGCGCTGGTTAGCTTCTGTGATTTGTTCTAATGATATCTGTGGCCATGTTGTTTCGCTGTCTGAAAATAATAATAACAAGGTTCAATTATTATAACCAGTGTAAACTCCAATAAAGTATGCATAGACAGTTATATCTTTTTTTTTAACTGAAAAATCTCACATTCTTCATTTCGGACTGTGCCTATACTAATTTTAAAAAGAGAAAATATTTTTTTGTATATATTGAAATAACTCTAAAACTACTGAGCCTTTTTCACCATTAAAAAGTTACGTTATCAGTAAGAAATAGGCTATATTTTTTATTGTTTTTTTTTTTTATTTGTCGGTGTTAAATTCGCGAGCAACTAGTAGCTATATTACTCTTCTTTTTTTTTCAATAAATACAATAATACTTACTAGAATGTGTCAGCTTGGCGGGGGGAGAGTTGCCGTGCGCGCTGTGCGTGCTGTGCGCACTGTGTACGCTGTGCGCGTGCGCGTGCGCGCTGTAGGCGTCGGGCGCGGGGTACAGCTCCCCCTCCGCCGCGCACTCCGCCGACACCCCGCACTCACCCTCCTCCTACACACATTATAAATACGAACGTTTATATTGATGTTTATATAAAGTGTAGCCTAAAATACTGAATGCAATTAGATTTGGCATATATGTAGAGGATAGTCTGAAAGAACCCACGCAGGTGGGGTCGCGATTAAAATCTAGTACTAAATAAAAAATATTGTAAATTTTATTTAATACTAGCTTTCGCCCGCGACTCTATTCGCGTGGAATCAAAAAAAAAACAAAAGTAAGCCTATGTGTCCTTCCTAACTATCCTCTAAATCTATACCAAATTTCATAGAAATCCGTTCAGCCGTAGAGGCTACAAACTCTAACAAACATCCATCTAAACTTTCGCATTTATAATATTAGCAAGATTTTTAATTTAGTCTTGATTTACAATAATCACACTAACAGTACAGTACATACCATATCCTCTTTGTAGAACGTCTGTTCGTTATGTGACATGATCTGCTGCACCTCCAGGCTGGGGCTGGAGCCGCCCGACGGGGGCTTGCCCTCCGCCGCCACAGCCTCCTCCACACCTAAGGGGACAATATACGTCAAAAAACATCATTTAAAAAATATATAAAACAAAAGTATTCATATACTAGCTTTCGCTACTCCGTCCGCGTGGGATTAAAAAAAAACGAAAGTAAGTAGCCGTGTTCTTCCACATTGTCCTCTAAATGTATGCCAGATTTCATCGAAATCCATTTAGTTGTTGACTGCAAACTCTAACATCCATCCATCCATTAGTAAGATTAGTAATAGTAACCATTAGCAGTGGGCAGAACTTTGTTAACGACGTCAGGTGTGGCAGACAAAGGCGGGTCCTCTTCATCACGCTTACCCGGAGAACTGAAACAGTGTAGACACAATAATGTAGAAGAAACATACAATAAATTGAATTATATATATATACATAGATAAAATATTCATCGCATACATACATATATTGCGAACGATTAAAAGTTATTTTTTTTTTTATTGAGGCTTTTCAGTTCATTTTACATTTCATTTTTCTCATAAATTTGATCAATATCAATAAAGATAACGACATATCTGGTAATAAAAAATAACAATACTTTAGGTACATACTTGTAAAAATGTATGATTTTAAGTAATAATTCATTCATTCACTCATTCATTTATTTATTTTGAGGTGGGGGAACGTCATATTTTTTTAAGTATGTAAGCTAGTGTAAGTTTTAAGTTACATTAAAGCGTTATCCAAATCAGACGTGTTCGTTATTTCGCTCCCTGCATTCCACACTTCAATTTATTTATTTATTTATTAAAGAATGAATATTAACCTAAAAGCATCCGGCGTCATGAGGTTGAGCTGCGCGGGCGGAGACTCCGCGCGCTGCGCCATCAGGCTGCCCGGCTGCGTCTGGTATAGCAACAACATTATAAAACTAACACAAACATTAACGATTATAATAATAATAAAATAGATTTTAATAAAAACTTTAAATCTACAAGCTAAAATTATCGCTCACTAACTCGGAAATTTAAAAATTTTTCTCATAAAACACTTTTACTTGCATTTGCTACCCGTATTTTACAATGAAAAGAAGTCATATTTCATAACGGCCATAATATGTTAAATTCAATGAATTTCTGTTTTTATGTAGTCCTTATATGAAAACGTAGGAGAATATGAATGATCAAGCTGACCTGGCTCCTCATGAGGAGGTTCTTCAGCTGCTGGCTCTGCTGCTGCAGGATGGTGGAGGGTGCGGGGGGAGCAGAGGCTGGGGGCGCGGGCGCGGGGGCCGCCTCCTCCATGTTCATATTTATATCCTCGCACTCCGCTACAACACCTAAAAGAACATCAAATACAATCAAAGTATAATATAAACGGCGTATATGTCCATTAGTAGGTACAGTCAGCTTCATAAATATGTATTCATTTACAAAACTTTACTCACTTAAGGCGCTAAATCATTTTTCCGATCATCCCATCTATTATTTAAAGTTATATAGCTTCGCTAATTTGGCGAATTCCGGTGGCCTATTGCTCGTATGTCACTTAATAATAAGATAAAACTTTTAAAGGTACTCGACTTTAATATGTCGCATGTACGCGAGTAATACGCACACACATGTTTTAAAAACCGAAAGTGTATACAAGTCTTATATTTATGCAACTGAGTGTACATGAGATGCCTTACTGTGTGCGAAGTCCCCGGGCGGCGTGTACACCAGCTCGCCCTCCTGCAGCCCCTTCGGCTGCACGATGTACAGGCGCAGGCACACGCGCCGCGCCGCGCCCCCGCCGCCGCCCCCGCCCCCGCTCGCGCTGCACTCCCGCACACCCTCCTCCTAACAACTTACATTATTATAGAAACTCACATAAAACAAAGCACAATAACATTAAAATTTCCATATTTACATCATGAGGAAGATCAAATTCGTCCGGAGAGTCACCATTCTCACCGCTGGAGCTGCTACCGAGGAATGGATCCTCGCAGCCTGATTCACATTTCACCACCTCCTCCTCTGAAAATTTACAATAGAGAAATCTGGTAGAATTTTACATTAAAAACTAATTGAGTTGATGGCAAACAATAAACAATATTATGGAGCTTTTAAACAAGTCTGCAGTGTTTTTTTTCTGAAGGAAGAGATTTTTTTGGTAAACAGAAGACGGCAAAGGGGCCTGACTGTACTTTTTAAACATTTTCACACCTGGTAATTAATTTTGATATTTAACCCTGAGTATTGCAAATACATTAATTAACTAAATATAAAATCCGATTAACATCTTACCTGCATCCACAATACAGAAACTCAACACTGGATAAGGCAACAGGAATTCAGAGATGCTCTTACAGTAAGCCATGGCATCATTTACATCACTTGCCATACTCAGCACATACAAACTCCTGGCCTTGAAGTCTGATAGCAGCAGGTAACTGGAACTGTAGTCCAGCATCGCCTTCAGACCCAGGGTTGGCTCTCCATTGATAGTCGGTGAGAATGATATACTCTGGAGACAGTTCCACGACTTGCAAGACCAGACTTTGATCAATGTGTTGTTGTCCGCACCAGTGATTGCGAACTTCCAGAACTGTACACTGCAATAAACACATTATTTGTTATCTGACCATTATAGATGCATATATAGGTTTTTACATAGAAAAAACTCCATAATTTTTTAGAATTCCATGAACAGGAACAATTTCGGAGACCCAACTTTAGTCCCTTTTCCTTTCCGCTTTTTTTCTTATAAGAAAATGATGGGAAGGAAACATGGACTTGACGCTGGAGGAGACACATAAGGGGAAATATCCTCTTTATGCGCGTTTCCTCCTGCGTCGATTAAGGGTAGGCAACGCATCAGCTATTGCGAATGTCTATGAGTAGCGGCCACTTCGCCAATTTTGGCAGATTTAGGTGGCCCTTGGCTCGTTTGCCACCTTACGATATAAAACCGCTCACTACAACGTGAATTTTTATACCGTGAATTCCGTACCCCCATATAACGACAATATAACTCTCTATAACGCGAACATTCTCAACAAAGTTTAAAAGATCAAGTTCCCTATAGCTGGATTTATGCCTGCCCTATGGAAATACGTCTTATACGGGGGATTACTATAACGCGGATTCCACAACAGCGTTATAGGGGGTTTACTTTATACATATTAATACAGTTAGAGTGCAACTCACTCTGTGTTGTAGTTCTTATGGTTGTCAAGGAAGAAGAGACAGCTGACTGGCTTGCCGTCGTGCGGCTGCCACTTGTGCAGGCAGCGCAGGTTGCTGTCGTTCATCATGTACACCTACACACACACAAATCGTACTAACATTATATTTTTGATGGATGGATGGATGACTACATCTATATTGCTTCAAAAGATTTTATTAAATTTGGCACAGATAATACATATTTTAGTAGACCACATATGCTACTAATATTACTATCTCCCCTACCTGATTATATACCCGTAGAGTCGGCGCACCAGGAATTCGTCCTTCAAATAATTTCATCATCCATCAGCTGTCATCACTCCCTTCTTGATCATGTCACCTTTCACGCTATCCATCCAATCAATTATTTTTTCTGTCTAAACCATTTCAGTTTAAGAAAACACTAATTCTTGCATCAATTTACTATCCTGGCTTATTGTGAGGTTATTTAAACAGTTCTGTGTTGAGAAATGTATGGTTGGTACCTGGAAAAACATGACGTATCCATCAGCGGCGGCGGTGGCGAGCGCGGTGCCGTCCGGCGAGAAGGCGGCGGCGAGTACCGGCGCGCCGTGCTCCCCCGCCGCGCGCGCCCCGCCGCCCTCCAGCGCGGCGCGCGCGCTCGCGCTCCGCCCCTCCCCGCCGCGCTCCCCCACACACACGCTCTTCATGTTCCACATGCGAGCTGCGCACACACAACTAGACACTTCTTTTATCTATACTATAATAAAGTGTAAACACACTTCTTTGTTGCCTAACATGTCAGCAATCACAGCATATTTTCGAATAACTCTATTTTTAATAAAAAGCCCTAAGCTTACGTCACACTTTAGGCTATATATTTTCACGCCGTTAAACTTAGGGGCAAATAGTTTGGATAAAAACCGTAATGTGGGAAAGAGACCATAAGTTGTTGCCAACATCAAGGAAGCATGGTTGCCATGGTTTGACATCATGTCATGTCATTTTGACATTTGCAATTGATAATTTGACAAATGTGAACAATAAAATGATTTTTTTATAATTATTTGCGGATGAAGTCGCATGGGAACGGCTTGTATAATATAAACACAAATGTGTTATATAAGATGTCAGCAATCACAGTATGCCCCTGAATCATTCTTTTGTTAGTAAAAAGCCCTACATTTAAGACACTGTAGACTTTTAGGATAAAATTGTCATGCAAGGAAGGACCAAATGTAACGATAATTTTTAGTAAACAGCAATGGCCTTCTATTATTTTAATTTTGATATTTGCAATTGAACAGAATGTAAACAATAAAATAAAGTTTTTATAATGTCATTCAATAAGTTCCTTACCAAAGCACAAAATTTAAATAAGTACAAGAACTCACCAACATTCCCATGAGTGGTAAGGAGTAGCCTAACCACATCATCATCGGGAACCTCATCCTCATCATCAGGGATGTAAGGACACCATACCACACGGTGAGTATTGCCACCAACACCTGTATCCTCTCGCACTTCCACTACCAAATTCACTCTACAACAATAGTAATATTTAGTAGAAGTTCAAACACATTTTCTTATAATTTAAAACCAATGAGGAATTTATCTCTTTCAAAATTATACATACTTAAGACTACTATCAGTAAGTTCAATTTCATGGACATAAAAATTGCCCATTTCGTCAATACATGCTAGTACAACTTGGTTTTGAATGTGGGCAAAAGCCAAGTCTTGAACCTGGAATAAAAAAAAAAACACTGTGAATTCAAAATTGTTAAAAGGCACTAAAGTGAATGCTTAAAACACTATCCTTAAATAGACCTAGATAGGAAAAAATTACTGTAAAAACATTACTGAAGTGTAAACTACAATGCAGGAAATCCACAAAAAAATTTTTTTTAAATTTTGTTATCATATTACACAAATTAAGGGAAGTCATTGGCTCCTTTAATACAGGGGATTAACCTAGTAAAGGAGCCAAGGATATACATATAATTGAACAAAATACCGAATTTAAAATTAGATGTAAAAAAAAAAATGTGAGAAACGTATTTGTAAAATTATATTTGAATTGTGATATTGCATGTTTGTTTGTATAAATAAATAAATAAATAAATTATGTTAGAAATTCCACATTTAAAAATCGATAAAACTCACCTCTCCCTTCATCCCTTTAATTAAAGTTCGTCTATCTGTTCCCGGCTCAGGACTGTACACCACTCTAACCATGCCATTCCATGTGCCGGGATTCGCTGGGTTTGGTGCTGAAACATTTAATGAAACAATCTTATAAAACTTTTAAAAATAAAAGCAGTAGAGCATAATTAAGTTTAGATTTCTCTACTGAATCCACACATAGGGCTAATATTAGTGACACAAGACTTTGACTGACCAAATGGAATTAAGACAACAAGTATGTAGCCTATATTCTTCACAGACTATGCTCTATGTCTATGCCTTATCTATATGATCTATTTACTTATTTTAGTGGTAAACTCTAACAAACTTTTACATCTTTAATATTAAGTAACATTTTAAGACTCACCTTTAATAGAATAAGCCAAATACTTCCCACCGATATGCACAGCAAGCAGCTGTCCAGGGTAAAACTTAGGCTCCCAGTTGTAATCTACAAGGTTCTTAAGCTTAACTTTAGAGCTGCCGTGGTTGTGGTTACCAGCATTGGTGGTCACAATGACCTCAGAGGCATACACCTCTGAGCTACACACTCCATCGCCTTCCGAAAAGGAGCTATAACAAGATTTTAAAATAATTATTAAACTGTTTATTACATTTTAATAATTCATTAGTTTTGCTTATAAAATAAGTCAAGAATGTAACATATACAAGGTATTGTAAGGGTGGGTTAAAAAATAAATGTTAGATGATAATAACCTCATAATCAGGGGTAAAAAAGTACTTTGACTGAAATACACACATGTAAATTATAAGAAACTTTTTTATTGGCAAAACTTATTCTTTCTCAACAGTTTTATTTCATCTATATTTTAAATGTAAATATAAAAATACTTATGGTAAAGCAATAAAATTACATATATGGCAATAACCACCCTCATCTAGTTTTAATTGGAATTTGTAAAATATTTATCATGCTATGTAGCAGTAAAATTTGAATAAAATGAAATATTAACAGTTTTAAAAATAATAAAACTTTAAAAAGAAACTATTTATTAAATTGTGTTTAAAACCACTTACATAGTTTGAGTTGTGTCAGATAACTTTGGAAGTATCGAAGTCGGCTGCATTTTTACACAATTTTTTAAACTATACACATATGTAACAAAAAATGAAAACTTCACTGAAGTATAGTTATTGTTTTATAAAAATTAGTAGAATAGAAGATTTATAAATGCTCGAATGACTGACTGAAGCCGACCGACATTTAGAAAACGCGTTCTGATCTCTCGTAAAATGCTGCATATCTGTCAAACGCAATTTATGATTTACAAAAATAATTAATGAAATAAAATACTGCTATCACTCGTGAAATTACAAAAAAATTAACCAAATTGGTTAGTTATTCTTATTCTTTCCATGACTTCTTATTTTCTTGGGAAGAATAATATCGTCTTCGTCATCTAAATTAAACTTCTGAATGATATTAAAATGAAATATTGTAACTAAACAGCTTTAATTGATAAATAACTGTGAAACATTTATCTGAAATTTTAACTCGCTATATACATTTGCAATTTCAAAGAATGCGTTTTGATATTGTGTTTTTTGAAAAAGGTTTGAAATACCTGTAATCTGTGCATTTATCTTGTCTCATCTGACAGTTGACTTGTCAGAGCAAGGCAGTGAATTGATTTTTTCGAAAATGGTAAGAACTTTTTATAATATTCAATATACTTGAATATTTATTGAAAAACGGCGATAGTAATAATGTGTGTTAAAATTATAGTCGTTTGCGGACAAGATTACTATGCTGATGTCGCGCCCGGGCGGCGAAAATGTCCAAAAAGACGATGTCCCTTGGTGGATGCGTTACGCTGGAAGAGGCTTAGGCACTGTTGGCAGTTCAAGTATGTATTGTTTTATAGTATCTTTGCCCTCACAGGTATTTCTTCTTTTTTTTAGACAAAATTAATGTTTACTAAGTTGTATAAGAGAGGCATTATATTATCTTATCAAAGTGGGTGGAATCCAAACATTTCTTATAACAATATGTCGAATTAAATAAAAGACGTTCGCAAGACTTTTTTTAAGAAGAAAAAATAGTACAGCCCGATGATTAGAGTTTAAATAATCAGAAGAGATAAAACAACTATGCCTATCTCAAATGCTTACAAAAATTATTTGCATACAAAATACATACATACCAAACATTTTATATCTTTTAACTTGAATAAGGTAACTTTAATAGTTACTTCTAAATGAACTTGAGTACTTTTAGTTAAGTGGTACTATTTTGTAAATTACAATATAAAAATATATGTATTACCTATAAAGTATGCAAATATTATGCTGAAAATAATTATCAAACTGTATATAAGGGGAAATAACTAGTTTTTGATTGTATTACTATATGGTGATAGAACTTGTTATGTAAATGATTTATTAGCTTTTTCATATTACACAATCATACTCAATGAGGAATAAACAAATTGTGGTAGACAGTTACTCTCAATTTTCTTATACTTTTATGCATACAAATACAAATAAATACAAATATTTTATTGGTCATCGAATTACAAGTCATAATTTAAAAAAAATAAAAAACTTTACAGATATTAAAAATGAATGAATAAAAATTGTGTACATAAAACAATCATGGAAGCAAAAATTCTTCGAAACTATAGAAGGCTTTTTGTATTAGCCATGACCTAAGTTTATTTTTAAATGATGCGAGGCTGGTAGCCGCTGCGACGGTGACATAATTTCTATAGCTCAACAATCTGCATCTAAAATGGAAGGGAATTCTGTTTGGGTTAGGTATTAGAAATTATTGTTATTTACAAATTGTTGGAAAAAACATAAGTCATAAAAATTTTATTATAAAAATGTGTTATTTCTTCTGATTTAATTTTTTAAAACATAACACAGCACAAGTAATTGACAATTTTGCTGTAGACGGTTTAACATTTTTTTTTTATGACAATCACCATATCTTGTTTCATTAGAAATTACAATTTACAATTGGCTGGAGACACAGGTAATGATTGTGTGTATCGCTTGGGGTTTATAAGTTACTTGTTTTTTTTTAAAGATAAGTCATAGAGATGTTTATATGAATGACTTGGCTGACTGTTTCTCATTATAAATGTAAATTTAAAATATATTGCATTGTCTATTATGCTTATGTTTGTGTTTTCTCTTAGTTGTTTATAAAGATAATAGTAAAGAAGTTAGTTTGTTACAAATTTAATATTAAATTTGGGGGTCGAGGTAAAAATGACACTTATCATAACTTTTGTAGTTCTTTATTTAAATTATCTTTATTATCTAATAATCTGTTTGTGTTATGTTAATTAAAGTGGTTTTATGATTTGTTAGAAATGTAATTTTTCAATTTACATGTGACATGTTATTTTAAACATGATAGAGTTAAAACTCGCAGTCGCGTTTCCTAATTTAGTGTTGTTTGTTAATTAAACACTCGTTCCGACTTTGTTTAGCGTCACGATAAGCATTGCCCTTGTTGATATCGTGTTCACAATTAAAAAAATCATGCACATATTTATATTTAATACATTAAAACCAGAAGAATTACACGAATCACGCGCTTCTTTGACTATCAGCTTATGGAGGGGCGCAACTACTCGATTTTTGATTGTACAACTAAAGACTTGAATTGGCTGCAAAACAATCGACAATCGCACAACAGTTCTGCGATAGTCTAGTCAAAGGTGTACGCGTTCTAAATTCTGCATGTTTAGTACGATCTAATTGAGAATTTCAGTTTAAAAACGTGCGTCGCTGTTTTTTATTTGAATAACACAGTTATCATTTCAAAACAGCTATCATATATCGTTTGATCAGCGTAAATCAGCAGTTAATTTTTCTGCTTCGTAAAGTTATTTAGTACATTATGCAACCACTAACTTAAACTTATTCATTTTCGTTGACCCACTTTGGTCGGTTTATATTTAAGTACGTAAACTCTTAAAGTAAGTTTTCGCTGTTGGATTACTTGTACAAAACATGCTTATTCTTTCCGCCATGGAAACCCGGAGTTAAATGTCGGTCTTTATTAAAGACAAATTTGATAAGTGATATTATATACATTAAATGATTCACGCGATAAAATGTTGTCCGACTTTTATAATGCGTCATCAAACGGGTTTCATGCGACGTTCTTTCCCTCTTACTGAGGTCAAAATCTTTCCGTGTCTGACAAACCCGAAGTATCATTGCCACATTATTACATCTGTAAAAAAATATTTTTGCTCTATGATAGCCAAAGCCAAAGATCTTCGTATCACGTGATCGTGGGCTTGAATCCCACCATTCGACTATTGTCGATTGTTGCATGGTATGTTCACAGTCGCTATCCTGCTGGGCGTGTTCAACTGCCTGGGCCTATTTACGCTAAACGTCCCATGCCTGATCGCCGGTATCTGGCAGATGTTGGCCGGCTTCGTGGTGATAGTCTGTGAGGCGCCTTGCTGCTGCTTCTGCATCGACTACGTCCAGACCCTTTCAGATAAGATGGAGACACGTCCGTATTGGAACAAAGCTATGTTCTATGTGGGGTGAGTGACAGAAACTGGTCAACTAGTTTCAAAATAACAATGTCTGATGTTTAGTAAACGTGTGTTGAGCTATGACTGGACAAGAAAATTAACTCGATGTACTGTTGACTAGCAACTCACGTCAATAATATCTCTAAGCAGGTACAAATTGCGCTGATCTGTGTGCCGGTTCAGTGATCTGCTTCACACATACAAACCGTGAACTGATCTGCAGATCATAATTTTTACTTGAGTTACTCACGATTAATATTCAGTGGTGAAAAATATTGAAAACTATCTCATTTATAATATTAGTGGGATTTAAAGATGGTGTTCACTCATTTACAGCAGAGTTGGAATTAAAGATATGGAAAACCAGCTGTTCTTTTAGTAGTAAAATAAGTGATGTGTTGCAGGCTGGCGCTGCCGCCGTTCTTCCTGTGCTTCCTGAGTCTTAGCACGTTGTTCGGCAGCGGCATGATCTTCGGCACCGGCATCATATACGGCATGATGGCGCTCGGCAGGAAGTCAGTATATCCTAACCTTTATTATACCGAATTATTTGACAATGAACTTAGTTACATTAAACTGTCGTACAAGTACAGTCAGTTAAAAAAGTATATTTGTTATGTAGCTAGTTTTACGTCAATAATTTTTTCAGTGAATGTACAGATAAGGTTAAAAAAGACTTTTCTTGCCGACTGTACATGTTTTGTGTGGTGTAACTATTCTGGTTTAACTCTGTGTTAAGGACTAATATTTTTTGTGAGGGTTTGTGTCTTGTGTTGTAAGTTTTTACGGGTGATGTTTGAATGGATCAAATTAATATAATTAATATAATTAAAAAAATCTAATTTTGTGTGTGTTATGTCAAGTTAATGCTTCAGTGATATAATATATTTTTATTGTATTGAATGGGGTTGAGGTAAATGTATTTGGATCTGAAAATAATTAGCTTAATAATTTAATATGGTTGCTTTTAAAAAATAATAAAGTAATAGCTTTTCGTATAATCAAAGTGACTTCAATCTTAATGCTTTAACGTGTGTAACTGTGTGAGCACTAACCGCGGGCGGGGGTGCGGGGCAGGGGCTCCCGCGACGACATGGCGGCCATGGCGACGGGGGGCACGCCCCCGGGCGCTCCGCCGGCGGCCGACCACACCGTCACCCTCATGGAGGACCCCGACGTCTGGCGCCCTAACTAAAGGCAAACGCCCTTGACCTTTCACGCTAATCAAATAGATTATGCACGTCACAGACTATTATTTTTATCTATGCTATTCTATGGTATTTATGATGCTTCTGTCAATTGCTTTATTCATCTACATTTTTTTTTCTCTGTGGTGTTTTATTTGCTTCCAATGGTAGCATTTTTTTATCTTTTTTGTGTTTTAATCTGTATTACTGTCGACTATTTTAACTAAAGCTTAATTGTCTTCTTCCTAATTAGAATTTAGAATGCATGGCGTTAGAAAACTATTTACTTTATGTACATATTTGTTATTTTTATGTGACGTAACTAATGTAATGTAACGTGATGTAAATATTTTCATCAAGACTAGTTGTGACACAAATTGAGTCGTTAATTGGTCAGTTGAGGCCATAATTTAAGTATCCGTATAAGGATACTATCTGTTCCCATGCGACTTCGTTCACATAAAAATATGAAAATAGTTTTATTGATTATATTTGTCAAATTCAATTGCAAATGTCAAAATGACAGACATGATATGATGACAAAGCATGGCAATTTTGCTTCCTTGATGTTGGCAGCAACTTATGGTCTCTTCCCACATTAGGGTTTTTATCCAAAATATGTACCCCCTAAGTTTAATGGCGTGAAAATATATAGCCTAAAGCGTGACGTGAGTGTAGGACTTTTTATTAAATAATGTATTATTCGAAAATATGCTGTGTTTGCTGATATCTTAGGCAACAAAGAAGTGTGTGTTTACGCTTTATTATAATAGTATAGACGATAAGAGAGTTAGGTAGGTTAGAAGGAGGAAGGTAAGCAACGGATCAGCAATTGCATATATCGTTTCGCTATATCAGCGAATCTAGGTAACTGCTTTGCCTTTTTCTACTTTTTGATCAATATATCTATTGCGTCAGTATATTATAGATATAATATTTAATTGTTTAATATAGAGCGTCAGCTGAAGAGATGAGGACGTCTGCGGCGAACTTGGAGGCGGGTCTCGGCCAGCCCAGCTCCGCGCCGCGCGCCAACCTCGTCGCCAACGAGCAGCCTGTCGCCTTCACCGGACTGCCGCTGCCCAAGTGACCGCGGTAACTAGCCCTTTCTAATCCAATCCATTCTTCTTTGCAACACAATCCATTACTCGTTGCAACCCAATCCATTACTCTTTGCAACACAATCCATGGTCCGTAAACTCTCACTGGTCGTAACCTCAAAGTAATTGATGTCTCCCAAAATGTTTAAATATATATGATTTTATCTTTAAAAATAAAATATACTAATTTACTACTGTGTTCCAAATCTTAACAATTTGTGCATAGATTTAAATAATAAACTTTAATATGGCCACTCTGACAATGTCAATTATTTGACAAAATTATTAAAAATTAAACTTATTACATCTTGGTAATTTTAAACATATGAAAAGTAATGTATTTTACCAACAAAAATATATTCTGATGTAAAATGGCTATTAAATAAATGGCAACCTCCATTAGTGTTGCAATTGTTTAAAAATATACAATTTGATATTTTTTAATCCCGCTCGTAGATAGTAAAAATTATTTAATATGTTTTTTTTCTAATGTAAATGAAATATTTATGCAATTATATAATTAATTAATTATAGGTAAAGGTAGCATAGATGTTATAGAATATTGAATTAAGATTGTTACCGATAACCTCAGTGTAGCTAAAAATGGATGAAATATTACAAAGTTATAAAAATAATACTATATAAACGTAATTATTCATATATATAGTAATTTGTTAAAAATAACGTAAAACTATCGTAGATTTTTTTTTTGTAATATTTTATCTGTGCGAAAAATAAATGTAAAAAAGGAACAGTGGGTTCTTATTAAGAACAAAAACTGGTCATAGACTATACAGCCTATGTAATGCTTTTTTTTAATATATATTGTTAATGTCTTAGCATTTTGGTTAAATTATATGATCAGTACCGTTCTTCAGACATATCTATTTGTTAAAGTTTATGGTTGTAATTACGTTTCAATAATAAACACCAGGTTGCATTAACATAATTTTAACATAATTACTAGAATGTTGTAGAATGTTGTAACCAACTGTAGCGAATTAAATCCAAGGATTTTTCTTAAAAGATACTAAATGATTTTCCCCCGGTTTTTAACCTACAAGACGAACCTAACCTAAAAATCGAATTAAGATTTTAGGTTAGGATAAGTACTTTCTAGAATGATTTGGTTACTACATAATATACATAATAAACTTTATGAAATAACCTAATTTCATTTTACGTCCATATATTTTTATAATGTTTTGATTAAATAATTTTTGTTTGATTATTTACGCGTTAATTTTGCTAAGTAATTTTTTTTAGATAAAATCCTTCCTTTGTAATGCTTTATACGTTAATATTGTGATATTTATTTTGACGTATCCCTTATTTTTATCAAGTACTACGAAAGATATTTTACATTTGTATTTATTTAGCTAATAAATAGATGTTTTTAAAGTCTTTCTTGACTTATATGATTTTTTTTATATACTGGAAAGATTTTAAATAATGAAGAAATTAAAAGATAGCATCTGAAATGTTTCGATTCGTGCATTTTAAATAAATTTCCAGTAATATAGAGATATTTTAAGTTAGATATAAATCATTCCAAATTGTACTGAAAATGGGTCTCAATATATTATTTCCGTATTAACATATACCATGTTTTCTTTGTATTCATTTGATATTGAACAAGTACTACCTCAAAATTTTTCATAACCTCTTTGTAGTACATGTAAAAATATATAAAAACGGACGTATTAGTGTCCTGTTTATCACGAAATAATATAATAAAAATTCCAGTTTTAAACGTTTAAATTTTTCGAATTAAAGATTGCGATGTTATATAAAATATTAGAAGCTGATGGTATAAGTATTATATATAAAAGACCCTAGTCTTTAGGTAACTTTATTTCTAGTTTTTAATATTTGCTCATACACGGCCAATGTGGGTGTGATTTTTTTTATATGTCGCCAGTATATCGATTTATTTCGATAACTGGCCACATTGTGCGATTGAGTAGTGCTTCCGGTGAATTATTTTCGCATTTTTTTTAATTGCTATCATTAATTATGATACTATATTTATTGAATTTTATATTCTGTATATATTTCAGGTAAAAGCCTAAAGTTTTTTTTATTATTTTTTAATCTATATTTAAATATGAATAGAATTGAAAAGTTCTATAGTCAATATCGATAATGTAGACTTACATTGAAATATTTTTCCGATTTTTTATTTGCAAAATGAAATCTGCTTTGTTAGAGCATTGTCTGTGTCACTCATAATGTTTTTAAGCGGTTTAAGCTGCGATGGTTGGAAATCTTGAATTAAGATAGATCTCGTTGTCTGAATGCTGCTTAACATCGTATACATAGTTATGTGTAGTCTAAGTGGTTATAATGTTGTTTCTTGTCGATAATGTTACTGTTTAGAATGGCATATCTGTAATAAATGTGTGTATATTGATTTGTTTTTTTATTTATGGACCCTTTACCTCCTACCTAATTCGCAAGGAATAAAAAATAAACCAGTACTCTTTAGACTTTACTACATTTGTGTAAAGTTTTTCAATTATAATTATTAGTATGATAGTTTACTACAAATAGGTAAATGAATACAAAAGAATTTGACGTTTTATCAATACTTTTTTTCATGAAATACCGTCAATTAAAAAATACAATTTCAACTATATTTATCTTATAAACAACTAACGATTATTGAGGGTATATTAAAATTGTGTTATAACAGAAGCAGCTGTCATAAGTTTTGTAAAACAATGAATAATTTAAAATTAGAACATATTTTAAAACGTTCCAAATCTTTGAATTTCTTACACATTCATAGTAAAGGTGATAATAGTGCTAAAATATTGCATAAAGAACGTCCCGGTGGAGGATACAAAAGAATTGATAGTACTGATTCATACGAGGAAGATCTGGTGCAGACTGACTCATCACTGGAAGGTTCTAGAAGTAACGAATATTTATATACTTTAGAACAGAAAATTGAAAAACTTAGCGGTAAGTAAATATTTCTTAAACAACTTTAAAAAGTTGTAAACATTAACTTTGCATTTAAGTAGTAAACTACTTAGTACTTAGCAATTACTTACTTAGCAAAGTTAATGTAAATTCTTCTCGTTACAGATTATTTACTCGATCAGGAGAAAATCTTGCTTGATATTAAAACGGAATTAAAATTAAATAATTCTTTTTATAACTTTGCTTTAGCTGGAATAAATACTGAATTGACAGAGAAAGGTCCAGAAGATAATGAGTAAGACCAATTTTATATACAAATACAAAAACCCTAGAAATTAATTAAACTTTACACACACTATGTAGTGGCGTAGCGAGATTATCTCGCGCCGGGCACAATAACTTTTTAGCCACCATGCAAAAACCATATTGCCCCCCTCCTCCACGAGAAAACTATATTTCATAAAGATTATTCAGCATTTTTTTTGTTTTACGCACATTACGAGCCTCGCCCGGAGAATGATTCCACTTTTCCCCCCTAACTACGGCATATTTTTTCTTTTTTTTTTGTGACTGAGTTGTCACTGTTTGCCTTGAGGCATTTACAGATTCACCGGGCTTGAGGTGGCCGAGCGCAGATAGCGCTTAGTCTATACCTCAAACTACGGCACGGACGGTGTAAGCTATTAGGAATCAATATTTAAACATTATAATCGAGAAGGCAATACATATTAATGTTGCAAGATTTCATTATATAATTAGCTACTGCATATTGTTTGATTAGTAACGATTTATTAGTATGAGCTTAAAAAACTTGCCTCCACTCTACTAGACCGGACGACAGCGATGATCGTGCGAAGAATTTGTTATACGCACTCAAACCTAAAGACATGCAGCGCCTGGAGCGTGACATAAAAGAAGTCCTGTCAAAATTTCTTCAAAGCGATGTGAGTATACTTCGTAAGTATTCCTAAACAGTCTTATTTGCATTTGTAGACAGAATTCATAGCTACCGTATTAGAGAGAAAGCGTCGGTCTGCGCAAAACAGTCGGATTATTTCCAACCGTCACCCCGCTCTGTCTCCACCTTTTGCGAGGAGAGGACGGTTGGAACTTATTTATTTATTAACGGTTCCATCTGTCAATCTATTGGTGATGTGGGACAAGGTGGGACGGATGAAACTATTCTCATCCGCCACGTGGGGACAGAGTCGGTGGACGGTTGGGAATAATCCAAACAGTAATACGTAATCCTGTTAACGCCTAAAGTAATTAAAAATGGTGTGTTGTTGAAATGCTACCCAGGGCTTTGGGTAAAAGGCTAGAACTGGAGATAAATAGCGTAAATTTATAAGGAATGTAGCACATTTTTCTTTACCAGGATCTGAAAGAACAGCTAGTATCAGCAACGCAGCAGTGCGTGCAGGAGTCGATACAAAACATACTGTCAGACGGCTTGTCGGCGCGCTATCTGCCAGCACTGAAACGCTCCCAACAACATCTGCTCAACCACGTCACTAACGTCATCCGGGAATCATTTAGAGAGTGTATTTTGTCTATTTTATTTATTCTTTTTTTTATAACATAAGGTGGCAAACGAGCAAGCGGCCACCCGAATCCGCCAAAATGGCGAAGCGACCGCTGCCCGCAGACATCCGCAATTGCAGATGCGTTGCCTACCCTTATCCGACGTAGGAGGAGGAAACGCACATAAAGAGGATATTTCCCCTTCCTATGCATCTCCTCCACTGTCAAATCCACTTCCCATCCTCTCATAAGAAAAGGGTGGTAAGGAGTAAGGGACTTAAATTAGGCCTCCGGCACCACACTCATCAGACGAAACACGGAATTACTTCCACTTCACGCCTGTCTTCTGTGTGGTCGTGGTATTACTGGGGGCGTGCCGGCCCTGCAGTGCTAAGATGTTAAACCGGGCATTACCACTGTTAAAATCCTGCTGCACCTTTTAGTAAAAACTTAGTAGCTAACAGTTTAAATTAATACTTATTGCTACACACAGACGTGGGTGTGGCCACCTGATAGATGATGAGGTCTAAGCCATTAATGTGGCATTTTTCGAAAACATATTCTACTGTTTCTGACTCTCTAGGGGTGTAGCTGAATCTTTCACTACCCTGGTGACGCCCAAACTTATACTAATATTGTAAATGCGAAAGTTTGGATGGATGGATGTTTGTTAAAGTTTGCAGTCTAAAGGGCTAAACAGATTTCGATAAAAGATGTATATGTAGAGGAAGTCTGGAAGAGTATACGCGACTCATTTTGATTTTTAAATCACACGCGGACGGAGGGGCGGACGAAATCTAGTAATCACAAAATTAAATTCGCCCTTACAGTGGATTTAATATGAGAAAACTACATAGGAAGTAAAACTAATGTATTTACAGTGGAAGATAACACGAAACTGCTATCCATATCTGTGCACAGAAGAACGAAGACCCTGCGCAGAACGCTGCAGGAGCACCAGAATCTGTTGGAGAAGGTGGATCTCAACGGGAACCTGTTCGGAGATTTGAAGAGAGGACTGCAAGAGTATTTGTTTCATTTATAGTTATTTTAAATAAGTCTAAGAGATACGTAGATGCTATATTTTGCAATGAATTTTCGATGATTTTACGACAATACTTACATAGAAATTTTATTTTTAGAAGTAACCTATATTGATTGAATTAAATACATTGAAAAGAAAACATCTCTTCTGTTTCAGAATCCTTCAAGAGGAATTAAGGTTATGGCGCGAGAGTCTATTCGACGTGTTGTTCACACAGAGCCGCGAGCAGCGCACTAGTGAAGACGAGGTGTCGAGTACATCATCCTTCGTGCCGAGCAGTCCGCCGCAGCCCGCAGACCCCAAGAAGTCTATTATTGATCAGCTGGTAAATAACACTTCAAAAAAATTATCACGTAACAAGTTTAAATGTAATTAAGATGTTAGAAAATAAAATTAACATTAAAATTTAAGTTTAGAAATTTCATTTTTAACGCCTATAGTACTTCTAATTTTGCGGTCTTTATGTCTCTGTCTTTTGGCTTAGTTCCATTTCTAGTGTTGTTAATTTGATGAAATAGCCTAGCTAACGAAAGCTGACTGGTAGATGACAGAAGATATTCACCAAGAGATGCACCTGGTCACTTTGATGGGTGTAGGATAAGAATGGGTAGATGTCATATAACTTATAACACAGCTAAACTCAAGTGACAACCTTCGGTGTAGGCAACGATAGTTTCGAGCCCGTTGGAGGTCCTACTTCAGGGTAAATGATCGGGCATACTCGCTATCGCGTCGCACCGGTCGGTGCCTACTCCGAAGGTTGTCACGTTTAGCCGTGTTTAAAATGATATTTGTGTATTTGTTTGAAGTTGAAATCAGCGGAGATCCAGAAGCTGATGCGCGCGGGGAGGGTGAACAGTGCATTCGAGCAGGCGCTGTCTGCGGGCGAGCTGGCGCTGGTGGTGGCGGCGTGCCGCGCGGCCGAGCCGGCGCGCGTGTTCGCGCCGCGCTGCTGTCTGCTGCAGCCCACGCTGCTCTCCCTCGCGCAGCAGCTCGCCACGGACATGGTGCACGACACACAGCTCAAGTGCAGGTCGGTGCACTCCTCCGATGCGGAGCCAGCCATCGGGACTTGTACACATCTTATTTTTAATCTATGTTCATCTAATTGCAGATATCTAGAAGATGCTATCATCAACTTAAACCCCTTGGACGCGGTGACACGCAGCCACCTGCCAGTCGTGGTGAGGGAAGTCCGCAGCCATCTCACAAAGTTTCTGACAGACTACCCGAACCACGTGGCCGGTCGCAGAGTAGCACTCATTATCATGGCCGCCAATAACTTATTGAGTTAAAAATGTTATGCCATTATCTGCAAGTTTTTATTGTAATTTTTGTTTTCATATGAAACATGTTCTACTAATATAGAACATGTTTGTTTTTATTTTATTAAAAGTTTAATACTGGTCTGTCGTTGCATTATTTTATCCGATTTGTCCGTATTTAGGATGTGTTTTTTTTTTTTTTATAATAGAAGGGGGCAAACGAGCGGCGGG